GTATTACTGTTAATTAAATATGAGTTGAGAATATATTATTTTGTGAATAAGATATATTCACTCTCAAGAAATAAGAAGATTAGAAAACTTAGAAATGATAAATGCTGAAAGATTTAGTTGTAGAATATACTTTATAAATCTTATACAATTCACATTCGAAATATAAATTGATAGAAAATGCTTGGTTATGATAAGAATAATACCAAAAAAAAAGTATACAAAGAATTAAGATATTATTGCATTCATGCAACTAAAAGTTCTATTTCATAATATTTTAAAATGTGCTAAATTAATTTAAATTTTAGTAATGCTTCAAGAATTTTAAAAAAGAAAAAACTATAAAATAGAACTCTATCAACAAATATTGGACACAAGAAGTATATTAAAATAGATTTAAATTAAGGGTTAATTTATGTTAGTTTTTAAATTAATCAAGTTTTATGGTAAGAAATTATAATTTACTCCAATAATTCTCCTAAAAGGAAACGGTTTTTTATAAAAAACTCTCTCAAATCTATAAAAAATTGAAGTCTGGGTAAACCATTATATTAGATGTATCTAAATTTTAAATAATATTCTTTTACTGCAAAGGGATAAAAAGGATATCTTGTACTTTTAACCTAAATTTCTTTAAATCTATAATCTGAACAATACTTGTTTTTGACATCCCATAGATGGATAGAGTTATCACTTCTGCAAGACGCTAATGTATATTCCATCAGGAGAAAAAGTAACATAAAGTATTTTAAACTAGCTATATGGTTGCAGAACATTTTGATAATATTATTCCAACTAAAGTGTTATTAAATTTGAAATGTTTCTCTTATTGGTAATTGAAAAAGTAAACTGTAGAGTGTGTTCGTTTAATCTAATATTCTAAAACTATTCTCTGATATTTCAATTTGAGAGAATGTTCGAAATAGAAATATGAATTATGATCTAGTGTATATACTATTCCAAATTAATTAATTTAATTATGAATTTGATAATTGTGGTTTTATTAGCAGTGGCATATTGCTATCCCTTAGTTGTCACTAATACTGACTTAAGCTCTTCTGATTTATTCATCAATTAAATAGATCTGATGAGTAAAATAAGATAGCAAGTATGTAAAAATATGATTTTAGCAGGAAAACAAAAGAGTAATCATAATAAATATTCAAACATCTCATTAAGATAATGAAATATTTTAAAACAAATTACTCAAAAAGATAGAAAATTTGAAGAGTTTTAAAAAATTGCTAAAGTCTAAATCCACTTTTGTTTCCCCATTTGTTGATTATTCTCCTATCTAGTTTATTTAAGGACTTTAAAAGGATCAAGTAATATACCTTATTTATTTAAGTTTGAAGTGTAAAATATCCCCATGAACTTTTAAAATTTGAAGGCACTAGAAAAATTTGCACAACAATAAGATGCAATATTGATTGTGCTATTTTCAAAAATATCTTCGAATGTGAAGGTATTAGAAGAAATATCTGAAACTTAGGAAGTAGTTATTGATATAATAATATTCTAGCCCTCAGATTAAATAATAGCTGTCGAGTTAGCTGATGAGAACTAACCATCTACAAATACAGTACAAAGAATTATCATATATTTAGATATACACAGTCACTTCTAATTAATTAACAGGATACATTGTCTTCTTTGTTTCAATGTTTGCCTTGTGGATAGCTGTCCAATGTAATGGAGCAATTTAAACTCCAGAAAGATTTTCAAAATAAAATTATTATATTGGAAAAGAAAGTTGATTTATTTTTTATGTATAAATGAAAAGCGAATATATCACTTTTAAATATTTTTCTGAAGATCTTTAGTTTTTTATGCCAAAACTAACGGGTTAGTTGTAAATCCTACATTTGCATGATTTCCATAGGTACTGCTAGTTTTATACTGAATCTTTTCTGTTCCAAATTGAATTGATGAAGCATTTGATTTTGGAGTCTTGTAACTTGGAGATAATAAAATATTTCTTTATGCATTTGGATTATATCTACATAATGGTTTGCTTCGACTAGTAGCGAAAACAGGTTACTATAATTTATATTGTTCTCTAAAGATTAAAAAACTGATTACTAGGATAAACTTTCTTTAACTCCCATTTTAACCATCTATTCTGCAAATGTTTTTTGTGGCTTTGAAAAAAATGGGACAGCTTTTGGAACTCCATTTTCCACTTTGACACAGGCACAATCATTAACTCTGGTTTATTGGAAGAAGGGGTGAGATTTATCCTTGGTGATTTCTTTTTTTTATAAGGTTGCCGAAAAAATATTTTGATTTTGCTATTCTAGCTTTGCAGTTTGTGGTCTCATTTATTTTTATTGGGTAGGTTATGATGAATTTTTTGCAGATTAAGGTCGGTTTTACAGATTTGATTAGTTTTCGTTTGTTAACATTTACAATGTTTCCTATTAACTCATTGTTAAATAAAAATAATATAAATTAAATATTCATTTTATCCAAAGAGATTTCATAGAAAATGCCATTATTGATTAATTTATCTGAATTCCCCAATCATTTATAATTTTATGTAATTGATAATCTGCTAATCTTTCATCATTTAATAAAGCATTCATATAATAAACCAATTCTTTTGGGTTAATCTAATATTGTAATTAAAATACTTCAAAATGAAACTATATCGTAATTATATTTGCTAAGTTATTAGTAATTGTAAATTTTGATGTTGGATAATCTTCAATAATTGTATTTTTAACATTAATAAGTATTTGTTCGATATCATATTTTTGATAATGTTTTCCAGCAGGTTTGAAAGCTCCAGCTATTCTTTAACATTCAGAAATAATTTATTATCTAGATTTTGATAGTTTTTTAAGTTCGAAAATATCATCTGATAAGTGAAAAGGTAGCAAATTTTCTTTAATAAAAAATTAATCATTATATTTAAGTTTTTTTCCTACTGATGCGCAATTCAAGAAGGGTTTCGTACTTATATAGTTTTATTTTTCTTAGTCCATTAATTGCTTTAACCTTTTTAAATACTTAGCAAAATCATAATCAGTTGGTATATATTTAAAAGGTGTGAAATAATTGTTCATCCCTTAAACTTTAAAAGTAGGAGATACATTGTCCACTACATTAAAAACTTTTTATTTGGAATTATTCAATAAAGCATTTCCTAGATGGAAAAAATTTTTGATTACTTTTAAAATTTGGCAGTTCTCTAAGCTATGTAAAATTATTTGAATTAAATGCTTCTCTAATTATTTTTATTTCTCTTGTTTAATCTGTATAAAAAGACGAAGAAAATTTTGTTGGTTGTTCTGTGACGTCAATGAGTCTTTTCTCTTCAGTTTCTATATTTAAACAGATTTTCATTATTAATTTATTAAAAATGCAAAAGGAAAAGAAAGTTGTCAAAGCAGTATCTTGTTGGATCATACTTCGAAATATTATGATGTGGATTAATATTCTCTTTTCTTTGACTGTAATTGGGCTAGGTAATGAATGAATTTATTAAAAGGAATCTACAAATATACTGATGGCAATTTTAATAATTTTGCAGATGTTTTCATTCCTTTCTATTTGATATTTTTTGGAGTGTTATTGATATTTGCTGAAGCAGAATGGATAATATTAATAAAACACTTTAAATTTTTAGACAATTATTTTGGAAGGTATCTATGACATAATATGTTTTAGAGGGTTTTATAATATCTTTTTAGGAACAATGCTTCTAAATATCATAAGTATCAATAATGATGGGGAAGCCGATAGAAATATCACCTGGGTGTTAGTAGTTATTGTTTCATCAACGATGGCCTTTGTTGGAGTAATGGAGATATTTTTGTACATTTGGCACTGCGGAGCAAAAAGTGATAAATATGCAAAATATGATGAAAAATAGGATATGCAATAAAAATTACTAAAAGAGGAAGATAAGCTGACCTAACAAATTTCACAAAATGTACGAAGTGAAATTGATATCAAATATTCTGCATCAATGCAACCTTAAAGTGCAGTTGTAGATTAATCATAATAAAATTATTAATAATAATATCAATAACCCTATTAATAGTAATACTAGCCTTTTCAACAATAAGATAATTAAAACTAGACAATATTTTATACACCAGAGCAAATATAGAAAATGTAATAAAATCCAGAAGAATATTCAAAATGGTTAAAGCAGCAACTCTTAGTAACAGAAGCAAAGATACCAAAAACACAAGCTCTAGATGGGAATTCACAATTATGAATACGATATAAATTTAATAATGAATATGAATATGAAAGTTTCTGTCTCTGGATATTATTATGAATCAGCTGACAATTAAGTAGATGCAGATGGCTTTAATGATAATTCTTCAAAAAAGAGGGAATCCTAAGATAAAGATTAAAAAGGAGAGTTAGAAAGAATAAATTGTACTTTCAAGGAGGCACTTTCAAAGTTGTATGAAAATTAAAAATTTGAAAAAGCAGTTTTTAAAGCTGAAGGTGAATACAAATAAATGATTGAGCAACTTCTTCTATAATGTGAAGTGTTGAATGACTTAATTAACGGCAGTGTAATAGGATCACAATGTAATATAAAAATCTATATAGAAATTTCAAGACCTGAAGCTAGCAAATATCTTAAAGATTTATCAGATGTTTAAAGTCAACTTGTGATTCTTAAATAATAGATAAAAAGAAAACCTAAATAGGATAAATAGAAGCTTCAAAATTAGCTTAATCAAATATCTTCTGAGCCACCTTAATCAGAAAATATAGACATAAACTTATAAATTATTGATGAAAAAGAATTGGATGAATTTTAAAAGAGGATTGAAATGTTAAATTAAAAAATCGGAATAAATTAAGTTAAAACAAGTAATAATGGGGAAACTTTTTTTGTCAGAGGTAGTGAGTTGTTTAGTGGAAACGATAAAGTGAATGAAAAAAAAGATAAGCATGATTTTAATTTAATAGGATAATACACTTATCCTATCTAAGAAAGTGATCCATAAAACATAATTGCTCATACTTAATTATTAAAAATTTAAGCTAATCTATTAAGAAACGACGAAGAGATGATTTAGAAATTGAATCGAATTTAAGAATAATAAGAATCACTCAATAAAACAGAATAGTAATAGGATTTATCTAATTAAGTGTCAGTGATTCAAAAAAAACACGAATTTACTTTGAATAGCATAGATGAAATTCCAAAAATACTGAATAGATTGATTTCATTAAAGTAATTGCACTAATAAACAATATTTTTACCATTATAACTTGAACAGACTTCATAATAATTAGATTGGATGTTACAAAGCTTAGATGAAGGATCAGAAATAATTTCTATTTTAGAAAGATAAATAAAGTGAATTTCATTTATTATATAAAAATAATGTACATTGATCTTGATTTATTTTCATTTTGATTATCATCTAAAAAAAAGCTGAAGTTAGAAATATCTATAAAATCAAATATTTATATAAATTTATATTTTATTACATTTAATGGAATACAAATAGTGTGTAATGAATTTCTCATAATTAAAGTTAGCAATTAAGAATAATAGAACAAATCGATATTTGACTATAGATTAAAACAATCGATTGCTTTCTTCCGGTTGTCATCCCTTTTTTAAACATACAGAATGTAACAAATAGCGGGAAATTTTTTAAATTTTGAATGCTGCAAATCAAGACTATATAGGACCAATAATTATGTAATCTGCAGTTTTGATATATAATCCTGGGTGTGTAATTTATTTTTAAACTGAATTTTAGTCTATAAGCCTATCTTTGTTGTTAATAAAATGGAGAATTAAAGCTTGAAAATATTCCATATCAAGAAGCTTCTCATAGTAAAGCAACAAAATTCATGATATAAGGAACTGTGAATCAGAAAAAAGCAATTACAGAAAATGATGATGTAGTGTTTAAATTCAATGATGCAAATTACTTGATATCAGAACTATCGCTATTTTGTTCTTGGAATGGACCAACCATTTCTTAAGATTCGACATGGAAACTTTAAAGAATCAATTTTCCACCTTTGCCAGACTGGTTCTAGCAAAGACCATTTATCTCACTAAGCTATTTATAAAGTTCTGACTAATTGACTTAATGTTTGATAAAATAGAATGAAAGAAAACCTATAGGCAGCCACTCCTACCAAATTTAATCAATTTACTTGATTGAAGATCTCTTATATGCCATGATGAGCATAGAAGGTTAGTATTTAAAAAAAAAAAATGGTTCATTTGATTATCAAATAGAGGGTCATTTAGAGTAAAGTACTTGTGATCTCTCTTTATAACAAATGGTGTCTAAAATTCTACCAATGTGCTCTTAGCATGATTTTATTGAAAACTATATCCAATAAAAAATAAAATTTGAAAATGGATACATTTCTTAAGCATTTTGCTCAGCAATTAAAGAATTAATGCAAAAATATCTATTAATGGTCAATTAGCTTGATTATGAGTTTAATTAGGGAGAAATAACTTTATAAAAATTTTGGTATTATACTCAACCATCAATAAGAATAATTAACTCAATTTATGTTTTAATTCAAAGTTTATCTAAACAAATTGGGGGCACTTTATTGAGCACAATTACAAATTTTATCAACACAAGCACCGATCCTTAAATAGTGGAAGTTTATTCATTTTTGCTTCAAAAATCATTTATACCTTATATGAAACAACTTTCAAATTGGATATATTATGGTAGAATTGATGATCCCTTTGAAGAATTTTTAGTAGCAGAAAAAAAGATCTAGAAGTCCTCTTTGGAAACTGATTATAAAAATGATTTTTGGGATTAGAGATTTGCACTAAGAAATTCTTAGATTCCAAAATTTCTTGAGAAATATCAAGACATTATTTTAAGAACTGGTAAATATATAAATGTAATTGGATAAAAAGAATCTCCTTTTGATAACTATTTAATTAAGAATTAAGGTCATATAGTATAAAATTAAGATTTTTCTCATTTGGTGTCTTGTTTTGAATGGGCTAATAAAGAAATCATTAATCTATTGTTTTAAAAAGAAAATATTCATAGAAGATTAAAAACAATTAAAACCTTTTTTCTATTTGATTCTGGAGATTTCTTTATTCATTTCATTGAAGCTGCAGAATCTGAATTGGTGAAAGATATCAAAGAAATTTCTAAAGAAAAGCTCGAAAGTTTATTTGATCTTGCAGTTAGATCAATAGCCAGTAATGATGCATATAAAGATGATTTAGTATGCTATATTGATCAATATACAATAAGTGAATAAATTTATGCGATCAGAAATTTAAGGGGAATTGATATTAATGAGAATAAACCTCCTAGAACTTAAAAATTAAAAGGAATCGAATTATTCACTTTGGACATAAAGGTTGAATGGCCTGCTAATTTAATATTTTCTAGAGCTAGCTTATTGAATTACTAAATTTTATTTAGAAGTCTCATGAGTTTAAATTATCTATTAAAATAGTTGAATGAAGCTTGGGTATTTTAAAAATAGCTTAAAGATACTGGATTGCATTAAAAATTTTTAAAATAAAATTTTTTATTATCTAGAATGTAGCATTTGGTCAAAAATTATGTAATACAATAAATCATATAATAGTTATACTATGTGTCATATGATGTAGTAGAAAAGAATTATACAAGCCTAATCTAGAACTTATAAAATGCAGATAATTTTGAGGAAGTTAAGGAATAGCACATGAGATTTTCAGAAAATTGCTTGAAAGAATCTCTCATTATTGATTAGGACTTTTGGAAAATCTTTAATAAATGCACAAATTTTTGTAGTCAATTTAGTTCATAAATACAAAAATAAAATTCATCATTGATGTCTTTTTTTAAAGATGATTTTGTATCCAAAAAAGCTTAAATTAATGAAAAAATTACTGAATTAGTTAGTGGAAAGTAATTTTAGACATTATATGAAACATTCATCAAGAATTTTGATGAAGCTTATAGAGAACTTATCAAAATAATTAAAATTTAGTAAGAATTTTATTAATATTATTTAGTATATCTTAATCAAAGACTTATGTGGTAAGTTTAATGATAAGGTTAGATTATTAATTTGACTATCTATGATTTGAAATATTTCATGCTTAAAAAATTATTTATTTAATTGTTCCATTATTTAAATTTAATTATTCCTTTATTTAAATTAAGAAATATATATTTTTAATATAATTATATAGATTATGATAGCTCTGATAGAATAATTTTTTTATAAACAGCAATGATTTGAAATAATTACGTCATATTAGTATAGATTTTCAAATAAATTTAGCAATTATTAAATAAAATATAGACATCGCATTATTAATTAAATATTTATTCAAATTTAAAAAAATGTAAACATAAATTGTGCATGAAAGCATTGAAGAATATAAACGTTATAATAAAGTTCTAGAAGGAAACAAAAGATATGTGAATAAAAAATTAGCTGGAGATGAAGACTACTTTAGAAAATTAGCTAAAGGTTAAAATCCTAAATACTTATTAATTGGTTGCTCTGATTCAAGGGCACCTCCAAATGAAATTACAGAGACCGATCCCGGAGAAATTTTTATCCACAGAAATATAGCAAATATAGTTATTCCTACAGATTTAAATGTAAAGGAAATACTAAATTTAGATCAACTGCGTAATTTAATATGCCATAGAGCATCTAAAAGTTCATAATATTATTGTCATGGGGCATACATGTTGTGGTGGCATTAAGGCTGCTATGAAGTAGGATTCAGTTGGTGGATTATTAGATTTGTGGTTAAACTAAATTAAATTAGTATATGAAAAGCATTAAGAGCTAATCAATTCATTTGCTGATGAAGATGATTAAATAAATTGTTTATGCTGTATGAATGTTCGGGAATAAGTATTAAATATTTGGAGAAACCCAATTGTCTAGAAATCATGGCAAGATGGTCATCGTATTATTTTCCCAATATATTTTTAGCTGTAATGGTTCACGGGTGGCTATTTAGAGTAGAAACCGGTTTTATAGAAGAACTGTCATTGGAGGATTCCATCCCAGAGGAAATGTCTAAAATCTTTAAAATAAAATTCAATCCACCTAAAAATTAATCTCCAAAGTAATATGAAGATGAGGAAGGCAATGCCATTTCTCCAATGAGAGCCAGAAGAAGATTTTAAAGAATGTAAAGCAGAATTGAAACTGAAATTCGACATTTCACTATTCATATGTAAAATGTAAATGAGGAAGAAATCGAAAATAAAATAATTTAAGATATTGAATAAGATTTAAATGTGTGACTTCTTTAATAAATAAAAATATTATTCCTCTATCAACATATTGCTAAAATTAGATATTATTTTTTGTAAAATTTTGTACAAGTTAGAAAATCTTCCACTAAATTCGTTTATAAATCTTGATTAAGAATGTATAAATATTATGCCTTATCATTAATATAACTATTCAAAATCATAAACTCACTTTAGAAATTTTCAAAATTTAATTATAAAATACATATATATAGAGCATTAAAAATATTTATTTATGTCTCATCTTTGCACAGTTGATTCGTTTGATTTCAAATTATTATTTGCAAAAGTAGGTTATAAATTTTCTACTTCTATGGCACTATTATTATTTCTTATTTTTTTTGAATGATATGTTGGATCACATTCTTCGATCTAATTTTATTTATTATTTCTTTCGTATAACCTATAGGCAATTTGGATATGATAGGAATTTCTTTTAAATTATTTTAATTCAACCTATTTTTTTTTTGATATTTGTTGATGTGGCTGCTAATGTTATTTTTTTCTCTTTTATTTCTTCAAACCTAAATATGTAAAATCACATCAACTTTTATTTATTTGAATGATGAGCTCATGAAAAGTCTTCACGACTTCTTTAAATTCTTGATCATTAAAAAGTTTCTAGCGAGCAGTAACACAAACCTCTTAGTTTTTATTATTCATTAATTTTATAATATACGTACTAGTTAATTTAAATATAATAAAACAAATTGATTAATGATATGTATGATATAAAATATGTTTGATCCACCTTTTTAAAGCTTTATTAATTAACAACTGAGCTATGAAAATAATTTTTCTATTTTGATAATTATAATGTTCAATTGTTAAAATAATAATAATCATCTTTTTAAAGCTGGTATAAATGAAGCCTATTGTTTAAATGTATTCATTTTTTCATCCTTGATTTTAGCATCATCCTATAATGCTGTTTTACGAGCATTTGCAAAGGTTTAGCCAAAAATATTTGCTGCTACTACTCTTTTTTACATACCAGTATATCCAGGTAAAGGTGTTCCAAGTGGTACTATGATATAAAAATATATTTTACTCGGCACTTTTTACCCAGGGTCACCATAAAATTTATGTGTTGCTTCATCTATTGCTTCTGAATGCTATTCTTATTCACTCTTCCAATTTTATAAAGATTCTCTCAATTATGGATTTCCTTGCTAATCTACTTTGAAAAAAGTTTTAGCAGTTTCAGTTTAAGGCTAATGATGAATTAAGAAAGGATATTACAATCTTATATTCAATAGGCTTGGGCTTCACACCTACGATTTCAGCTGCTGTTCTTAACTGTACGTTATTCTAATTTTGATAAGTGTCTTTTAGCTATGATTTATATCTTAATTCAGGTGGCACATCTTAACCCTTGTAATAGTCATCATGTTAAATTGAGTATGTAATTTTGCCATAAGTTTAAGCGAATAAATTTTCAGCTTTCATTGATTTTATCTCTCCTGCATAACCTAAAATAAGAATAATTAAGTCTAATTACCTGGTATGTGATTTTATGGTTTTTCTTCTTAGTAGTATCCAACTTGTTATTCGAAAAAACTTTTCGGAATATGCCCAGTATATCCTGGAACGATGTATTGTAATCGAGTACCTTCAAACATAAAATAAATTAATAAAAATAATCTAATAACAATTCATAAATTTCTAAATAAAAATTACATTTATAGTCTCATAATCATACTTGAAGCTTTTAATTTTACGATATAATTGTTATGATGTCAAAATTTCTAAAAGTGATATTTAAATATTTTATTCAATTCAGTTAAATTAAGTAGAAAATAATAATAATGTGCTTAAATCATTCATTTTATGAATTATTAAAAATATTAATAAATTTATTTTACAATCTTCTTAATTTAAATACAATCTTCTGACTTTGGGGTTAATAGAGAATAGGGTAAATTATTTTAAATTTTGTATTAATAACATATGTATGGAATTCAAAATATATTGCATGGTTCCCCTTAAGCTCCTTCAGTTGGTGCATTCAAAAAGTTTAGAGGATTTTCATTTCCTCCAAATACTTCTTAAGGAGGATCTCCTTCAGCCTACATATTTTCAAATAATTAAATTAATTTTTCTTTATCATTAGGATTAGTATTTAATTGATCAATAATCTTTTCAACACAGTCTTTTTATTTTTTGTATTTTAATAATTCTTCTTCATTCAGTTTATTTTTATTTTCCTTAAAAATAAATCATCAATACTTAAATAAATTTGTTATAAGCATCATATGTTTCTTTCATAGGCTACTCCAAAACATCCTTATCCATAAACTACAATAACATTTTGTCAGCCAATTCATCAAATTATGGAGCTTATTCTAATTTTTCAAAGGTGTCTTAAAATGCCTTTTGTTATTCCCTATTAATAAAAAATTTGAAGCTACTAGTTGTTAGGATTGATTCCCTCTAGGATATTTCCCATCATTCCTTAGAATTACTTAAGCAATTAATCAGTTTCTACATTTTGGCCTTCTCCTCCCTTTAAAGAATTTAGAAAATTTTCACATTCCTTATTTATTGCCTCATCTTCCAATAGAGTTTTAATTACCGTCATCATCATTTTGATCGGCTGTTAGATTAAGTTTGTGCTCTCCATCAAGTGCATCAGCAATATCATCCATAATATCATCTCCCTTCTAATCCATAATATAATATTTATTTTAATGAATACAAGGCTTTCTAATTTAACGCCAATCAGATCCAGAGAAAATATATTAAAGGATGAATAGCATGAACCACATCATCAGAGAAGAACAAAAATTGTCTGTTCTATTAATGAAAAAACATGTGAGATCGATATAATTAGAGAAATGTTAAAAGCAGGAGCAAATGCACTCAGGTTTGTTTTTATTAAACTTTATTTTATTAGTATTAATACAGCCTACACTCATGACAGAAGATAATATGAAAAATTAAAAATGATTAGGGACTAATTAGAGTAAGAACTAGATCATACAATCCCAATTAACATGATGCTTTAAGGAAAGATAACTAGAATTGGTCATTTAAGATAACCAGAAATATACTTAAAAGTATTACAGCTATTCTTAAAAAATAGAAAGGAAATATCATAAGAATTACTTAAGATAATAAAGTGATTGGTGATGAAAATATCATTTGTGTAGATTAAGATGAACTTTTTACTTAAGCAAAGGTTGGAGATCAAATATTTATTGATTATGGCTAAATTGTATTAAATATCAAAGCCTTAGAAACAGATCAGGAGTATTATTATATAGGAATTAAAAAGGGCTAAATAGATTTTAATGGAAAAATATCCAGATTTGTACCCCACAGAAGCCATGTTTAGAAACAGTATATTTGAGTAAGATAAATCCGAAAAAAGTAAATTGTAGTCTAAAAGTTCTTTATCCAGTGAAAATTCAAGAGGCGGTTCGTCAACATAATTGTAATCCAAAAAGCAAAAATATATTGATTAAATCATTTAAAATAAAAAACAAAAGCTCGCTACTAAAAGTTTAATAGTTTTCATTTGTGAAATCGAATAAAATTGTATAAATATGTATTAATTATAAGGTCTTATGAGGCCATTTAAACCATTATTTATAACAAATAGAACCAAAGAATAAAAATAGACTATAAAGCAGTCAGATGATTCGGATGAAGAAATTGAAACCTAAATAACTTCTAAGGATATCAATGATTTCACTATAGCCAAAAGATTAGATTTTGATTCGATTACTTTGTCAAATGTTAGCAGACCTGAAGAAGTGCATGAGGTTCTTAAATATCTTAAAAATAGTTAAAACACTTATTAGGCTCTTCAACTAATATACAGATTTTTGTTAGAATAACAACTTAGGAAGGGATAAATAATTTTGACAAAATAATGGAAATTGCAGATGGCTGTATAATCGCTAGAGCTTATTTGGCAACTTGGGCATAAATTGAGGATGTAGTTTAAATGTAACACGATATGATATTAAATTGCCGAAAACTTGTTAAACCAGTAGTATTTTAATTAATTAGGTTTTAATTTCAACATAAATTTTGGAATCAATGCTTACTTAAACAAATCCTACATTTGCTGAAATGGGAGATATAGCAGATGTAGTTGAATAACATATTGATGGTATTATGTTATCTGGTGAAACTACTTATGGAAATCATCCTATTAAAGTTGTTTAAGCTTTAGCAAGAATTAGCACTAATATAGAGATGCATACTAGATTATAATATTAAGGAATTTTTTAAATTAAAATTTAAGAAAATCCCATAGCCTCTATTATAGCATAGAATGCAATTGAAAATGCTTACAGGTATTATTAGATTAAATTAGTCTGCGTGTTAAACTCATATTATTATTTACAACAGGAGAAACAGCTTTAAGTTTATCAAAATTGCATGCTCCTTGTCCAATAGTTGCAGTAACTGCAAAGAAAACAATCGCTAGAAATCTCAATATAGTTAATGGTGTGATTCCATTTTTGGTAGGCAGCTTAGTTGGAATTGAATAGTAAGAAAAATTTAAATACAATTTAGATTAACTCCAAGAATATTGGAAAATTTTAAATAAAAAGGATGGATAAAACAAGGAGATTATATAATTAGTATATCTGGGTTATTTGGAACATAAGAAGGCATAATCAATTAGATGACAATTTTGCTTATTTGATTTAAATTGTTTTATCATATAGAAAGAATGTTCTATTGTATAACTATAGAAAATCATATGTTGATATATAAATTATATCTATAATTATATGTTTCAAATTATGCCTTCTTGGTTTTTTCATCTATTTTCATAATTTGTTCTTGTTAAATTAAATGAAAAAATAGTATATAAAATCCTAACATAATATTCTCATGAGCTATAACCTTCTTTTAATAACAATCAATTTTGGATTTTGTGCAGAAAAATTGATTTAATAAGACACCTTTGGACTTCAATAATTAAATATACTGAATAATAATGATGATTATGTAGTAATTGAAGCAAACTTTAGTGAAAAATAAGTAAGCATTTTAATGATTTGTGAAACAACACCAAACTTTACAAGTTTAAGTGAGATTTATGTTGATTAAAAGTATTCTTAATTATATGAAGTTTTTAATGCATATGTGATTGGAATGCTTTCGAATTTACTGAAACCTCGTAAAAATTAATGTTGATAAGAGATTCTGAAAAGAACTATAATTCATACCCTACTAATACCAAATTTTCGAAAAGTGTAAGTATTTATGTAGGAATTTTTTCAAAATATAATGATTCTTTATCAATATCAATAAATTCGATATAGTAGAATGATTGCTTAAGGTACTATTCATTTTAATGAGAGCACATGCAAAAATAAAGGATAATGTATTAAAAATACTTGCAATTGTCTTGAAGGGTATTTTGGATATGATTGTGAATTTTAAGGATTTGATATTATGATTTAAGATTATCTTGAAAAGGATAAATTTTACTATATTGATGTAATGTAGATTGGAAGTTCTGACTTTTCTTTAGAATTTTCAAACACAGGAAAGGTTAGTTATTAATGTTTCATGGAAAATCCTTATTTAAGAAAAGTGGCAGTTGAAGAATCAACTGGTATTAAAATATCTCTTGAAGAAATTATGAAATGCTAAATGATTAGTTCATAATTATTGAAGACTTAGTATTATATTATAGTCTAATCATATTAAAATGGTTTAATATATATTCAATACTATTAGAAAGAGGACATAGACCATTTCCAAACTATCATAATTACAGTTATATCAACTGGTGTTATTTGTTTATGCTGTTTTATGATTTGCATTTTTAAATGTTATAGAATCAAACTTGAGAAAGCATAGTAAACAAATAATATTAATATTGTTGGAAGTATTTCTCAGAACTAAAAGATATTCGAGAGTTCCTTTGACTGGACTCAATTAATTCCTGCTGTTGAATATTAAAGTCTATTAAGAAAATTCCCATAAATTAAGGATTAAATAGAATGTTAGATTTGTTTAGATTCTTTTAAATGCGAATAATTTGTTAGAGTGACATATTGTATGCATGTTTATCATTACAAATGTTTTGATAAATGGATGAAATAAAATTTAGTAAAATTATTTGTTTATAAAAGATTTGTCCAATTTGTAGATCTCCATAAGATAGAAAATCTCTAGATAAGATTTTGGTTTAAGAAAATATGGTGAATGTAGCCTAATCATATTCTTAGAGTAGTAATCGAAATCAAGAAGGTCATTCATAGTATATATATTAATAAAGAAATAAACGTTACGGAGATTTTCCCATTTTAACAAATAATAGAACCGGAGGATCTTCAAAGTTAATTTAAAGTAATTGAATGCACATGATTTTATTTTTATATTTATTAAAAAATCTATAAATTCACGTTATTAGTGTAAATTTATCTTAACTCGTATTAATTTAAGTAGTTTCAATTCTAGTATGATTCATAACATTTAGTTGATAAAACTTATTTTTACCTGGATCCGTTTTATTATTTAATTTTGGTTTTGATAATAGCATGAAATCATTATCATTCAGCTGATTTTCATTAGGTAATATATTAGGAAATTCAGATGAATCTTTATCTAATATCTTCAATTTGATTCCTACATTATGACTATTAAGAATTAGATTACGTTCTTGTATAGATTAAAGGATAAACTAAATTCTAGAAATTTCATATAAAATGTTCTTGACTTTCATCTTTTATGCTGCATCCTGTTTTAATTTTTCATAATATTTTGTAAATTCAATAGGATCATATGATTATCCATATCCAGTTACTTTAATTATTTTCCCAATAAAGTTTTATCTGATTTATAAGAATCTAAATTAAGGATAATAAAATGAAATAATTTTTCTATAAAGATATTCTGATTAATTAAATTCATTAAATAGCACAGCACAATAAGATAAAATCAAAATAATTGACCATATTGAACCTATAGAAGCCAAAACCTCATCTAAATGTGCATATGTGATGTAATTAATTTGTTGAATATTATCTAATGAAAAAGTAAATTGTGCATAAATGCTTTTTTTATATATTTATTGTTGAGTATTCAATTAAAGTGATTAAGTAGCTAAAGTATAATCACTTATAAATTAATATTCATTATTTGAAGGGAATACAATTCCATTATCTATATAAGCATAAGATGTTTTGACAGAATATTTATTAAATATTGTTTATTCTTTTTAAATAATAAATTCTAATTTTTTAGGTATCCTATAAAATTCCTCTGTTTTAACATTAAATTTAGTGACTTATATTATAACAGTAATAGTGGTTTTGGAATTAAAGAAATTACTTATTTCTTGATCGCTTGCACAAGTCATGCCTTCAATTATATATTCTGATGAACATGCTATAAATTACAGTTATATGTCTAGATTTTCTGTTGGACTTAATTTGAATTTATAATTTTTTGGTACAACCCAGTCATCAGCATTAGGAAACACAATTACTGGGTCTGACTTAACTTAATTTGTAAGTACATAAAATTATGGAACCAAAATATTATTAACTTTAGAAAATGGATCAACATCATTTGTAAGTTTAATCTGAACTAGATCATAATCAAATTCCATAAATAGATCTTCTTTTACTTCTTCAGATAATGAACTTCTTGGTAATATTTAACGCGTTCCCCATTGGATGAACATATAAATCATGTAAGAGATGCATAAACTATAGAGGGTTATTGTGATCAATCCCCCAAAGAAAGTTTAGTAGGCATCTTTAGAATTGAATGTTGGACGATATACAGCTCCAAATTAATCAGCCTTAGTTATTAATTTAATCATTAATTACCCATAATATAATGTTAGATATAAGTTTTTGATTATATAAATAATTATTAACTATGATTTAATGATGAAAATTATAATTAATATTTGTACATGATTATATCGATCTGCTATTCTGACTTTATAAACATTTTGTATATTAACATAATATATCATTTTTAAGGTGGTGTTCTGGGGATTTTAGGTTTATGTTAAAATGCATTTTTGTACTATTGATATTAAATATTAATTACTTCATCGTTTTTTTCGTAGCTAGGTTATTCTAAAGGTGCTTCGACAGCTGGTTTGATCTCTGGTAATGGCTATCTTTGTTGGGAATTATTGTTTTGTTAGGAAGATTTCATGCTTTATTACTAAAATTGTTATTCAGATTGATCAAAATTAACAGTAGGTCTATCTTATCCAACAGGTGTTCTGGCAAGTTTTGGTCGAGGTTTCATTTCAGATGGCAATTAAGATTTTTATAATTAGCTTGCAGAAATGACAGGAGTTGTTGGTCTAAAAGGTTATTATTAAGAACTCTTTGGTGTCATAGCCTTTTTATTTTAGTTCTCTTGCATAATAATAGATCTGGTCATTGTATTTTACTATACAAATATTAATATATATAAACTTAAATTGCCTCTTAATGAGATAAACTAAAATGAGCATTGAGTAATTCTTCTCCTACTAATTCTCCATCCTTAGCCTTTAAGGCATCTTCAGCATCTTCTTCTTCTATTGTATCTTCACTATCATCAATATCATCAATATCATCTACATCATTATCTTCATCTGGCTCTAATTCATCTGGACCTACTTTGTTAATTTACTCTAAAATATATTAAATCTATTTAATGAATCTATCATCAGAGTTCTACATCAAAAGCACTAATCTTTCTTTCATTCCCAAAGCTTAGGCTTATTCTCTCATTTAAGAGATTGAAAACAAAGAGTATAAAGTACCATTTACGAAAGTTCTTACTTACATATTGTCATGTTCTAAAAGATCATTTAATACTTTTAGAACTTCTTTTTTAAATTCTACACATTTTTATTTCCCCTAATCTCTCATACTGAGATTCATAAATAATGCTGTTGCATATTCATATGAATATTCACTCAAGGACTCCTTTTCATTTTCCAATGTTTTAACAATCCATTTTATCACATCATTTTCAATCATAACAACCTAAGGCTTTCTTCTTAAAGATAATTTTTATAGGGCTCCTAGGGCATTTCTTCTCACTAATGAATCATCTTTTTCTTTTTTTAAAATATCAATCAACGTTTTAATTAATGTAAAAGAAGCCATTAAATAGCTCCTACCTTAATAATCACTAGCCATAGCATTAGTTAAACGTAATGTATATTCCTTTACAGAATTAGGTGCATCAACTAATAACCTTTGCAAAACCGCTGTATTTCCAGGAGTGCAGCCCAAAATATCAAATTAAGCATATTAAATTAAGATTTCTCTTCTAACTCTAGCTCCTTTTGCAGTTGTAATTCTAAATCTTAAGGCTTACAAAATTCTACAAATGAATCCAGGATCACTTGAACCATCCTAAAATACTGATTTGATTTTTGAATAATTTAATTACACATAAGGAATTTAAGGTTAATTAAAATTAAAATGTTATTATTAAGAATGTTGTGGTATGGGACTTATGCTCAAATCATTTTCAAAAATGCTTGCCTTATCATACATAGATATATCTTAACTCTAACTAATAATCTCTTCCACTGATGTACTGAAGAATTGTGATAATTTAGCTAGTTTTTTTAATTATTCATCTAATTGATCTTATGGAACTTGTTTTCCTCTTCTACTATCTTCTAACATTTTATTTAATTAATTAGCTATATCTGTAACTTCTTTGTTTAATTGATACCATTTTTATTAAGCCTCTATCATAGTTTACTTGCTTTATTCAATATAATCTTTAAATTTCTTTTGCATTTAATTATATTTCAAATTATAATCTTATATAACAGCTAACAATTCTTAATTATTCATCCCTAATTATGTAGTATAATTTTAATTAGATTATGTTAAATTCTATTAATAGATCTAATATAGTACCACTTTCTTTGGTTCTTGTTCTGTAAAATTTTAATACATTTATTCCATTACAGTTAATTACTCTCTATTTAATAATTCATTTGTTAATTTAACAAGTTTTCCTTTCGTTTCCAAAATCCATTGATTTGTAAATAAATGTTTATAGGTTTAATGTTCTTGTGGTCTTTGTACATATGGAAGGGCATAATATGGTAGAAATTCAGTGGTTTTAGATAGCCTAAATAAAACAAGAATTGCATACTCCTAGCCTTTGGTATCAAGATATGTTTTAAAATAATGAAGTGCAGCTTTACTAATGATACCTCCTTTTTTACCAGTTTTTGGATGTATTTCATAGATCAAGAAATAGATTTAGATGTAAAACTCCAATTTCTTAGCATCTTCATCCTTCATTCTTAAATTATAAGGAAGATATTTGTTCCATAACATGAAAAACATTTCGTATTACCCTTTATCAAAATACTAATTAATTTGAAATGTAACATACTTCAAGTAATTCAGAATCTAGATGATAAGTCTCAGCTCCCATTTGTCCAGAAGCTAATTCTTTTGATAATGTATCTAAAGTATTCAGCAATTAGTATCTAACTAGATACTCTTAGATTAAACTGATGATTGATTCTTATGTTGGATCAAGGATAGTCTCTAGATAAATTTATTCTTGTTATTATTCTTGCTTCTTAGATTACTGGGGAACAGTTTGTTTTGTTACTTTTTTCTTTGTTGGCGGCTGGTATTTGCTCATTATATATAGTTATTATTATTAAAATTATAATAATTTGTATAAATCAAATCACAACCCTAGTAATTACTTAACATAGGCAACCTTATCATCTTATTTATACCATGTTCTAAAATCAATATAAGTAATCTCTTCTGTTTTAAATATATTTTATCTAATTCTTTATTTTCCTATAAGATTTGTTTCATCTATATAAGATTATCTTTAAATAAAATCAAGATAAATTAATCTCTTCCTATAAATACCTTCTAATTCAACAATAAAGTCTACTTGATAAATTTGCACATTAGCTTGTTTCTTTATTTTTATGATACGCCAATCAGGTCGTTTTTAATTATTTAATTCTTATTAAATTTCCTATAGAATTTCATCCAGATATAAATTTGCCTAACTAAATTCTGGTTAATGTTTTAAATTTGTAGCATTAAAATAAATAGATTTAAGTTCTTCTTTATTTTCAACATTGAGTGTTAGATTGTAGCTATTTTCAAGAATATATATAATTTAATAATAATAGCATTTTTCTAAAGTACTTGATTTTTCCATTAGGTTTTATAAATTACCAAAAAGACTCTTAATCAATTTTATATTTTATGAGTTAGCATAAATTAAACCAAATAACAAATCAATTATTTCTATTTGTTTTGTAAATTTCTCCATATTTCTTTCAATCTAATTATATAATATAATTAATATACAAATTCTTCTTCTTCTACTATTTTAATTTCTACCCAATAAAAATTGCAGAGTCCTTTTAAAGTAGATGGATAATTTTAAATTGAAACATCTCTAATTTGTTCATAAATTTATTTGCAAAATAATTATTATTTATTTGGAATATCCAATTCTTTTTAACTCTTTTTTAAAAAGAATAATCTATCCTATAATGATAACTAGTCTTTCAATTTATTCAAGTATACTGTTAACCTTTTTTATAATATAGACACTGTTTTATGATTTCCAAATTTTTATGAAAATAGAAAAACAATTTATGCATATACAATTAACTCTTTTTAAGTCACATCTTCGACATTTTGCATAACAAATGCAAAATAATTTATTACTTTTTCATTTCCACTTTGTAAATTACTAAAGATGAAAGTTTTCCAAATTAATTCATTTGGATTTTATTCATCGAGTAATAATTATTCTAATTTCTTCAACATTTCAACTAGTTTAATTTAATCCTATCCTCTATTAGTTGCTTGTAAATATAATCCATAAAATGTATTTTCAATAATTTGATAATATGCTCTCTTCAAAGTGTCTTTTTAAGTTTCAGATAAAATATTCTTCATACCATCTTCATTTAAGTATTATTGTAAATTTTCATAATCAAATTCTGCTACAAATTAACGAGTTGGCTATAATAATAATAAATGTTAATAAGCTGAATCAATTATGGCTTTTGGTTCATTTTTTTAATGTTTTTTAACAATAAGATCATGAGCGATATGATTTTTGTTATAAAATTCTGCAATATCTCTATAATCATAATCGAATTCTTTATAAATATCAATGAATTATGAGCTATCCTAATCTGTTAGATTTTAAATCAAATCCCATAACTGCTTTCTCAATTCTAATGGTTGGAATTTCTCTTTATTTATTTTCAATTGCTAAATCGCTTTTAATTGATTTGAAATGGTATATTTGGATATAGATAACACAAATTTAATCATAAATTAATTTCAGAATTTCGAATGTTTCAAGCAGTGTTAACTTTACCAGTTATATTCTTCGGTCATGGATCCCCAATGAATGGTATAGAAATCAATGCATTCACTCTTAAGTGGAAAGAACTTGCAAGGACTATACCAAAACCTAATTCAATTCTAGCTATATCAGCTCATTGGGAGACTGATGGAGTAAAATTAACAGGGAATAAAAAACAAAAAACTATCCATGACTTTGGAGGATTTCCTAAAAAATTGTATTAATAATAGTATAATCCTCCTGGAAATTTGAAATTGTGTGAAAGAATCCAATAATTGATTCCTGAAGCTAAAATTGACAACTCTTGGGGATTAGATCATGGATCCTGGACAATACTACAGTAAATGTACCCTGATTAAGATATTCCTGTTATATAGTTGAGTTTAAGCACAAGATTTTCAGAACAAGATCATTATAATCTTGGAAAGAAATTAGCCCCATTAAGAAAAGAAGGTGTATTGATAATTGGAAGTGGAAATATAATTCATAGTTTCAAAGAAATGGAATGGACAGATACAGCAAAGCCTAGACCTTGGGCTACCTAATTCAATGAGTAAGTTAAAGACATGATCAATAAAAAAGAACATGATAAATTAATAAACTACAAAAAATTAGAATATGGAGTGAGAGCAAGTCCAACACCAGAACATTATCTACCTTTACTCTATATTTTAGGTCTCTAAGAAAGTGCTGATAAAGTTACTTTCTTCAATGATGAAGTTGTAATGGCTTCATTTTCAATGACCAGTTTCATATTGAATTCCTGAGTTTAATCTATATTCATCAATAATATAAATTTATTGTTATTTCATTAGTTTTATTGAGTATTTTTAAATTAGAGATCCAAATTAATTTAAATTTTTTTAATTATTATAATTATTTAGTTAAAAAACATTACATAAAATATAATCTTTGGTAATTTTTATTTTTTTACTGATTAGCTATTTAGTATAAATTCTATAAGGTCTTAGGATGGGAATATTCTCTCAAATCAGTAATATATAAAGTAGCGAATTTAAAAAGGCTTAACCATAAATAATACACTTTATTCACAAAATATATTTATCAGATACGACTGTATAATAATAAATAAGCTGAATTATCGGATTCGTATGAGACCTTCGGCTTTATCTCTTAAACAGAACTATCATTTAATTAATACCACTTCAAAGTAAATGGATGTTTGCATTCTCTAATTAATGAATAATATAAATACGCAAAATAATGACCAAAATTTAAATCTCCATAATGCTTTACAATACCATATAAATTGTAATTGCAATTTAAAGTTGATTTATCAGTACTATTAATAATAAATTAACCCAAATCTAATTTGGCTCCAAATTTAACATCTATGTTTATTTTCTTTTTCATAGGACCTTTGTAATAAAACCTTTTTAAATGAATAACCAAAATATCTGGTAATCTCCATATTTCAAGTTGTCTTGTACATTTTCTTTGTTATCTACATTTTCCACATGTATATTGATTGATGTTTTCTTCACTTAAATAATATTTTAGCATATCTTCAAGGGTAATTTAATTTCCTGAAATATTTGGGAATGCTAAAGATAAGTCTTAAAAGTTATCAAAAGCTAGAGATTGATTTTTACAGACACTACAAGTTACCCTACTTAGCAATTATCCAGTAAAATAATCTGTTACTAAACTATTATCTCTTCCTTTAAAGTAATTAAACCATGTATTAGACTTAAATAAATTGATAATGTTACTATTTCTTCAAGTGTTTATTTATTAAGATCTGCGGTAAGTTCTTTGTAAATAGGTTTTCCAGTGATTCTATTCAAATCCTCGTGTAAGCAAGTCAAAAGTGCTCTTAAAAATTCTTAGGAATCTTCTTGTCTATGACCTCCAAACTTCTTAGTTGAACTTGCTTAAAATTAAGAATTATAATTTTACAGATAACTTATTTCAATTAAACTGGATTTTCACTGGTATTATTGGTAGTTCTCATTTACTTTAGTAATTTCCAATATTATAGAGCAACTGATTTATGTTTTGGATTTAACTCTTATTTAATTTCATCAGATAAAAATTTATCATTAAATTTTGGTGTATTAATAATACACTAAAGAGCACTATTAAAGTAACAAGTATTTCCAATATTATGTAAACCACAAGCTTTAAAGTATTTAATCTCTTTTTTTAAAGCTTTACTATTTTGTTCCTTTAAAAGATTATTTTGTTTAATTTATTATTATTATTATTATTATTATTATTATTATGACGAATTATTTGGCTACAATTTATTCTAACCATTAAATAAAGGTAGTTCTTTTTTTTATTCACACTTTGTAGGCTGAATTAAAACATCTTTATCAATAATAATATTTGAGATTGTTTCATTTTTATTATTAGAATTATTATGACTAATTGTGTTATTATTTTACAGAATAATTTTTATGTTACTATTTTCTTATTTTTCTTATGTTTGTATTGGATTAATTTCTTTCTTTTATAGATTTGAATTGATCTTCTATGTTTCTATGTTTTATATTGGTTGATTCATTATTTTTTGTTCATTTTATTAAATTTTAATGAAACTCTAATCATTTAATTTTATTTGTTTATTTAAAGACTAATCAACAAATTCAGGTTCAGTGGACGTTTATGATGATAACTTATGAGCTCTCTTATAAGCCTAAGAGGATAGTGCCAATATTATTCTAGATCTGTATAGTTTGAATCCGCTCATTAAAAAAAATTAATTTTTGTTTATTAAAATATGATATTTTCACTATTTTAAGCGAATATCGTTATGGTGTTTCAAATTCCTTTATATGGAACTGGCTACTCTTTGAAGTTCATCCAAATAACTAAAATCATAACAATATAAGAATACTTTCTTGGTAAAGTTTAAAGCTCACTTGAAGGAGTCAATTCTAATAAATTTTGTATCTCAACTAATCGTTAAATTGGGACAGCATTACTGAGTTATGTGCTTTCTATTGATAATTTAATTGTACCCTCTTTCTGGATAAAATTTTGATGTCAGTGATCCTGATCTTAATTAACCATCCTAATTATTTCTGCTTTAGGGAGATAGGAATGAATGTTTGGCTCCTGATTAATCATAATAAGTGCTCTTAAAATCTTATGCTCCAGTTGAAAGGTGAAACTTGCCTGTTTGTTCTTAAGTACCTATTTGTTGCATCCTAAAGAATTTATGAGAATGAATATTACTTTTTCTTTAATCCACTGATCTTGGCAGGTGAAGATTGAGATACTTATTCTTGATGTTAAGGGGGTTTTCCAAATAAAATGTCTAAAGTTCGTAAAGTATTTTAGTGCTTTCTTGGACTTTCTTTGTTCTATTATCCTCCTTTTGGACTTTATGGTTTTTGGCCTAATTTTTCGAAATGATTGTATTTATCTATTATGGAAGTACGCACTTCACTCCTTAAAGCTTAATAATTGATCTAAAATAGAAATGAAACTAACTTCTTTGTTTGCCAATTAGCTAGTATATGAAGAAGGTTTTTCAGATATATCTGTCACGTGAAAAATTGACATTAAAATTTATTTATTATATATTATTTTTATTTCAATATATTTTATTAATTAATTACAATTTACAAGTGTGGAAAGCATTAATAAAATACATTTATCTATTTTATTTTATGTTTTAATTATACATTCAATTTTTTTATAGATTATTAATTATATTCTTTTTAATGATAATTATGAGTATTTCATAAATGTTAGTAATGAATATTAATTAAAATTTTTCATTATTTAATGAAAAGATTATTTCATAAACTAAATTTGGACACTGAAAAAAAGATTATATATGAATAAACTCATAGAAAATGTTTCTTTTAAAAAGATTTTGTAAGAATGTAATGGAATAGATCGAAAATTCCTAAAATTACTACTGAATTAAATGTTGTTTAAATAGTTGTTATGGAATCTAAAAAACATTAAAAAAAAATATAAACAATAATGGTTCACGAAAATATCATAGTTAAACAGAAAAAAGATGTATTTATTATAATTTATATAGGGATCTTTGTGTTGGATTGATTATGAAAACTCTATTTTAGAAAATATCCATAGTACATAATATGGTGAAGGTATTAGACTTATCAAATGCTTTGATTAATTTGAAATGTTTGGTGATTTAGAGAGACTAATGTGCGTATTAAAGAAATTTACTATATAATTAGAATTTCCAAATCATTATCAAATACTGAAAAAAATTAACTCCAATGATAAAGCAGAGGTTAGTATAATAAATTATTATCAAGGTTTTTAGAATAAGAAGTAAAAAGGACAAAAATGATTATTAATGTAAAATTTATAATAAGAAATTGATAAATACAACAATTGAAATTACATTAGAGAGAGAATTACGAATATTAAGAAGGATTAATGATGAAAATATTTAAAAATATATAGAAACTTTTGAAAATTAAGATTAAATTATAATTGTGTAAGAGTTAATTATAGGAGGAAATCTGGATCAATATTTATTAAAATGGCCTTTACTTTCAGAAGAAAAAGCATCAAAACTATTTTTTAAATTATTTAAAAGTCTAGCATACTTACATTCTAAAGGTGTCATGCATAGAGATCTTAAACCAGAAAATATTGGACTTAGACTAAATGGTAATTTAGATAATCCTTGCATAACTTCTTTTAGTTTAGCAGATACTGTAAGGATTACTGATGATTCTGATTCTGATGATGATACTCCAAATTATCTTTTTTAAAGATGTGGAACACCAGGATTCGTTGCTCCTGAAATATTAAAAAATTAAGAATATAATTGTAAGGTTGATGTTTACAGTGTAGGAATCATTCTATATTATTCTCTAACAGGAAAGAAACCATTTGATTCATAAAATTACAGAGAAATAATTGAAAAAAATGAAGAAGGTATTGTTGATATTTAACTTTTGAAATTAACTAAAGAAGGGATTCATTTTATGGAAAGTATTTTATAATCAGATCCTAAAGAAAGAATTACATCATAAATGGCATTAAATCATGTTTGGTTTAGGAATGAGAAAATCTCAAAATTAATGGAATTAAAAGTGAATTCAAAGTTAAAAAAGATTTAATTTAAAAGTCCTTAATACAGACAAAGCATTTAAAATCAAAAGAATTTACCTCCTCTTTTGGCAATTAAATAAGGATTAGATCAAACTTATGGAAGTCCTAGATTATCTCAATTAACTAATGGATAAAGAAGTTCTCTCTATACAAATTCTACTCATAGAATAAGTAATTTAAATGTGAGTTTCAGTCCAAAAGATATTAATTCAATACCTAAATAACAATATCATAGTTTATATACCAAACTTAATGAACCTTCTCCTTCTTTGCTTGCGAATTCTTCAAGACCTTCACAAGCACTTTCATTATAGTATCCATTTATGAAATTAAAAATAAAACATAAGCTCATAGATGAAAATTGAAAAATATTGTAAAAAAAAATGAATCTTAAATAACATTATTTCAATTATATTTAGGATCACAAGACAATATTTATATAATTTATTTTATGTGATTAAATTATACTCATTATATTCAATTCAAACTTTCATATTGAGAGTATCTAGTTTTAAAATATTTTGATTTGCCTTATAAAATATTAACTATGATAAATATTGTAATGATTATACTTTCAGGAAATACTGTTTTTTGTTTCTATAATGCGAGAGAATGTCTTTAACTAACAAATGAGGAAGGAGATTTGGATTAGCTGAGACTATTCATAGATTCTTCAGTAGCAATATTAAAATTTTAATTTCTTGGAGTTTTTATTATAGTAGATTTTCTTTGATCTTTTATTTTAAATGAAAGCAACTTTGGAATTCTGTTAGAAAAAAATGGATGATTCAAAATTTCTTTACAACTTGGACGTAAAGTAAAATCGACTTCTAAACATTTTCTCATTAAATCCAAAAGAATTTATGAGCATTAAACTTATGTATAATCAACTTTGCCATTATAATTTTTAAGTATTTTTTTATTTTGATCTAAATCTTCGAAGGGATGTTTTTAAGTTACTAATATATATAGAATGACTCCTAAGCTATAGACATCTATATTGAGAATATATTTCTTGTCTTAAAGAACTTCAGGAGCAACATAACCAACACTTCCACATCTTGTAAATAAATATCTGCCATTTTTATTCCAATTATCAGCCAAACTAAAATCAATTAAACAAGGCTCAATTTGATTATCAGATTATCTAAATTTAATATTCTAAGGCTTAATATCTCGATGAAAAATATTATTATTATGTAAATAGGCAACACATTCAAAAAGAGGTTTCATGATTTACTTTATTTAGTTCTCATTAAATTATTATGAACTTTCTAAAAGAGCTTATAAGCATTCTCCTTTTAATTCCTCCATTATCAAAAATATCTAATCATCATTTTCATATATTTCAACAAGATTTGATATATATGAATGATTTAACTATCTAAGAATCTGAACTTCTTTCTTAAGACCAGAAATTTAGTCCTAAGTAGTATAGTTTTATTTTTCATATATTTTGGCAACATAAACAGCCTTATTTTGTAATGTAGACTCTAATTACAGAAACTTAAATTATTGAACAATAATTTACAGTAGCATTACTGCCATAATATAGAATAGAAGTAATTTTGTATCTCTCTGGAATATCTCTTTAGACACAATATTTGCGAACATAATGATATAATTCAATTGCGTTATTATAGATATCTAAAGAAGTACCTGATTTTATAAATTTCAATCCTTCTATTTCATTTAGACTAGTTATATGTAACAATAATGTAGCATTCAATAGATTAATATGTTTCTTAGATATTTTTAAATATCATTACATTTTTTGAATAAACAAGAATGTGTTACTAAAATTAAATATATTTCTTTTTCAGTTTTCCATTCTTCTAAATTAAAAATTCTCCCCTAAAAGTGATTTCATCTTGCTCATCAATTGGTTTGATGAATAATTTTGAGTTATCCTCTAATATAGTAGAATATTATTGTCTTTGCTTTATGAGCTTTGTTATATTAATCATTAATCGATAATTAATAATTAAACTTTTACTAATACCTTTATAAGTATAATTAAAGCGTTCTTTGATTTTATTTTACAAATCAATGCTTTCACTTTATAGACTCCTTAAAATCTATAAATGAAATCATTAATTTAAGAAAATAAACTAAAAAACCATTCCTAATTTGGTAAATGATAAAAATATTGCAATTTTTAATATAAATGTCAATACATAATTATTTATTCTTAAGTTTAACATCTCTAACTTATAATAATTTTTTAATTCACTATGTACAACCTATAGCTGATTAAAAATTAACATAATAACATTGTAGTTAAGAAGAATTTATATAATAATTCAATATTTATTAGGACTTAAGTGATTTGAATAATATTTGACATAAATATTTTTTATTTATTTATATGCACGTCGTTATCAGACTTCAAAATCATGGATGTAGGAATCATAAGTTTTGGTGGATAGTAGTGGCTCCAAGAAAACGAAATATTAAAGGTAGATTTATAGAGCATCTTGGATATTGGGTACCTCATGAAAGAAAGGTAGTACAAAGATCAGTCATTCTGAATAAACCTAGAATAAGATACTGGTTGGCTATGGGAGCAGGAGTGACTCCAAAAGTGCATAGATTTTTGTCTTGGATCGATTTATTACCAGCTCCCCTAATTAAATTTGGATCAAAGACTTTATATGAAAAACCCAAAATACCTATTTCAGTAGATACATTCAAACCCTTTAACAGGCCTTTTTAAAGCTCTATTGATTATCAATTTTTAGACAAAATAAATGAAAATTAAGTGAATAATGATTTGAAAAGAAAAATTTTATATTCTTAATAAAAAGTAGAAGAAATTCCTCCAACTTCAGTAGAATTAGAAAAGGAATGGGAAAGATTGAGAGCTGAAGTATATTAAATTGAGAAAGACAATAAAGCAGCAAATCCAGAAAAGAAAGAGCTAGTTTTCAAAAAGATTAATGAGATAGCCAAATAATGGTTTACAGAAAAGTAAATGGAAGGTTTAAAACAACTTTCTTAAGAGAAAGCTGAAATCAAAGTAGATAATAAAAATTTGAAAGAATAAATAATGATCCAAAATTTGGCTATACAAACATAAAAGTCACTTGAAGAAAAATCAACTTGGATTAATGGTATAATAATATATAAATTAAGATTTAATTCCTTTAAGTTAAGAAGAGGCCTTCAGATATGTTCTAAAAGTAAGAAAAAGAGTTAAAAATGCCAGAATTGTTCTTAAAAGAATTTATGATTTTGCCTATGCTTAAAGCTAAGTAGTGAGTAGAGCCTTTATAGATGATTTTTTGAGAAATAGAAATAATAGATAGAAAATAGTCCCAAACGATTAACATCAAGATTAAAAGCATGACATTATTGAAACGTAATGATTCCTTAATTTATTTATAGAATGCATTATATCCCTGTTAATAGACCTGTACATCCACTACCTGATTTTGAAGCCTATGATCCTGAGGAATATACAGATGTAAAGAGGCAATCAGAATAACTTATAAAGAATAAAAGTAATCGAATTAATTTATTGTAAGGTTATAGCATTCCGAATGTTTATTTAGAACCTGATTAGCTGGAACCTTAAATAAATAGAGAAGTGGGTGGATACATAAAAGGTTAGGGTGGTAGAAAGACTAATGCTAGGGGAATGGCTAAAATAAGCACTTTGAGGAAAAAGGAAAAGAATGCTTATTAAGCTAGATATGGTATTGGCAAATGAGTTTATATAAATTTAATAAAATTAATAAGATTTAAATGGAAATCTGACCTTGAGGATATAAAAAAGATTAATAATTTATTAAAAGAAACTTAAAATGATTAGTTTCTCTTCCCCTATTCTACCTGAATCTTGGATGAATTCAAATATGCTTCTTCTAAGTTTAATTGCTCCACCAGAAAATTTGAGTCCTGAATATTTTAGTTCCCTTTTAAACCAGTATAAAATTTATGAAAACTAAGGTATGGACCTGTCAATTAAGTGAAAATATTAAACAAATCCTTAATGGACTATAAAGTATTAGTTGAAATGGGAACACCTGAAGCTGCTAAATCAGCAAAGTCATTTCTTGATTAATTATCTTCGAACTTCATCAAATGTTCGTTTTATTCGGATGAGAAGCCCCCTTAATCAGGTTCCTTTAACAATTGCTCACTCGATCTTATAAATGATTCTACTATGAGTACATTAAAATATCGTCATTCTACATCTCTGAATGAAAGTATAAAGTATTAATTTCTGTATAGTTGTATAAGAAGAAGATAAACAGTCTTCAAGTAAAAGAAAAATTAATACTTCTTAAATACACTAACCAACAACAACATTATGTTTGAATGGAATAAAAGGAAAGAACATAGATGCTCAAAAACTGTATAATATCTTTAGTAATTTCGGAAACATTGACAAAATCTTACTCATTAGGTACTATAATCTAGTTTGAAAATAGGTTAAAAAATTTCGCAATCATTAAATATCTAAAAGAAGAATACTCAATATTCGTTTTTGAAAAATGTTAAAAACTATAATTCTTTGATAGCACTATTTCTATTTCTTTCGTTGCAGAAGATGCTATTGAAAAACTATTAAATCTTGATACACTATATAATGAGTAAGATTATTATGTTGGTTCATAAGAAACTGATAGGTAAAATATAAATGATATTTTAGATTTAATTCTAGTAATAAAATGAATCTGTTGCCACCAAGTTAAGTCTTACATATTTCCAATCTTAAAAAGGTGTCATCAAATGCTGAAACTATGTGGGATGTCTTTTCTGAATTCGGTATAGTAGAGGTTATTATCAATATTCATTTTTTTAGGCAGTCAAAGTTCTTAATACTTAGTTCAAATTTATGTGTTTAGTCAAGATGGAAAATCTATAGTAAGCTTTAGAAGTGATGGCTTTAATGCATAATGAAGAGATTGACAATAGAAATATATAAATCTCATTCACTAAAGCCAGAATCTGATTATAATGTAGAACATAATGTTTATTTTATAATAATAATTCAATTAAATATCATATCAAATTATTAAAAACGGGGAGTATTTTATATATTATCTTAATAAATATTATAAACCATAGTTGCTCTTTATAATAGTAATTATTTATTTTCTTAATTATTATAATGCAAGATCATTTGTAAAGTGTATGAATATTTCATTGCTGACGTATGATTTTTATAATCCAAATGTGTGAGAAATCCTTATCTTTTCTTTAAATAATTCTTAGTATTAGATGGATCAAATATCAATGTTCACTACCAACATCATTTAACAATAACAACTCCTCCTTTCACAAATGATCATATACAACTAATTGCTCTATAAAAGGTAATCATATTTTCTTATTTATTCAACTTTAGAACCTAATCGTTACCCAAACTCAATCATTAACCAATAAAATAAACAAATTTAGACAATAGTGTCTACTTATCTCAATTAATCTAAAAATAAGTTGAGACAACTTTTGTTAAACCAATATAATCTAAATTAACTAAAAAACAATCAAATACTTTAAAAACTAAAGAGGTTTGTAGTATTGAAAATGTTAAGAATCAAAAAAAGGAAACTCTTTAAAAGAAAAAAATATTTTTGTCAATGTTAGATATCAAGAAGGCTTAATATAGAAAGTAATTTAATTAATTCTATCTATAGATTTAAAATCATAGAAGAAGATAATCAAAAGAAACCGATTGCAGTAGTCCATGAATCTTCTTGAATTTATTTATGAATTTGTTTTTAGTTTATATTATTCAACAAAACATTATTTCTAATTTTACTCTTTACTTATTATTTGGTTTATCAAAGCTCATACTATATGTATCTTCATAATCATCAAGTGTCTGAAATTTATTGATTAAAATATTTGAGTTTAGAACAAAAGTTTCTCTCAAAATAATTTAAATTTTATAATAATTTTAGGAATTGTTCTTATTTTATCAATTTTTAAATTCTGTATTGTAAATAACTTATATTCTAGATAGTCTTATAAAAAATTGTATGTTTAAATTGATCATAGGCGAAGAATTTATAATTATTTAATAAATCTATTAATAGAATCCTAATAAATCATTTTATCTAAATATTTTTATAATAAATATTATTATAATTAATTTTATAATATAATTATCATAAACACTTTTATAACCAAAAAAAAAGATCATAAACAGTACTATAGATTATTAAGGGATTCTTAATTAAATAAGAATTAATTAATTAGATGTAAAAAAATTATAAATAGATAATATATATGTATGCATTTCAGCAAGTGAAAGTTTTAGCTTGTCATAGCCATTAATATAATATCTGAGAATTGAGATCTTATAGCAATTCTGAAGATATATTACATTAACCTTAGAATTGATTTTCTAATCTAGCTTACTCTTTGAGTTGTTTTATTTTTTTAAATTCTGATTTGATTTCTAAGCATCTTACTTTATATTTTGCTACAAATTAATTTATAAGAATACCTTCATAAATTTATAGCCTTTAATCTTTGCAGATATCATCATTTTCTAATTCTTCAACATATGGGTTTACTGAAATTTCACACTTCACAACATTGTATTCTTGTGTTGGGTTTTTAGCCATAGATTATAGCTGAGGACTTCCATATAATTATGTGGAATTCTAAATTGAATCCAAAAAATCTTTATTTATAGACATATTTATTTTGGTTATTTTTACAGTGATAGTTTTTAAATATTTAATCCTAATTTTTTCCCAATAATCAAACTTTTCTTCTTAAATATTTTAATTAGAGACTCGTATTTCTTGATTTCTAAAATCCATATTTTCTAATTTTTTTTTTTCTTTTTTTGCCACTTGATTTAGATTTTTCATAGTCCTTTTTCTTATTTTTTCTGAATAAATTGTCATTTAAAATTGCTTTTAAACTTCATTTTGCTGAAGTAAAATATTTTCTTCATTAAATTATTATAATAACTTATTTTAACCAGCAATAGCACAATACTCAAATAGTCGTTTCTAAATCTCTGAAACTGTTTTAATCTCCAATATCTTTCTTGTTAAATTATCAGTTAGAACTAATTTTACTTAATATTATACTAAAACTTCCATCATTCTGTAATATTGAAACACCAATATTCTTTTTGTTTTTATTAGATATATCATTCCAGAATTCACTTGGGACTTAATTAGTATTTGAAATCCTTTATTAAAATCGTTATCTAATTTAGTCAAATTATTATTAAAGGATATTAAGTTCATTTTCACTTGAAATAGAATCTATTATTTATTAAAGGTTTCCAACATTTGAAAATGTATTTGTAGAAATAAATCTAAATTAATCACTTTCCATTTTTTTTTTTATAAATTATTATTTAAATTGAGTTCTCTATTTCGTCATTTATAAACTGCCTGTGCTATTTTGGCTGATTATTTAAATTTCATCGATTATTAATTGAAAAAATTAATTGAAATTCACAACTATTAACTGTCATTTAAAAATTAAACAATTTTTATATAATAGTTGATTTTGTTCCCATCTATTTTATTTACTTGAAATTAAGAAGCATTTTGTCTTATCAACTAATATCCTTGAATATTTAACATTTATTAATTTTTTTAACAATAATGGGAATAATTACAAAAACTAAATGTGCAAAATTATTCAAATTAATTTCAAGAATGCTTTATTAACCCATCCAAGTATTAGAATTTATTCTGAAAAGTAAAGCTTATTGCAAGTTGATAATTTTTGAAAATCAAATTTAATCTACTATAACGATCAAGTTATTTCTTAGAAAATTTCAGAGGCACTCCTATATTTATATAATGATATTATTATTCTTTTTTTGATACTTTTCAAGTATAGAGACATACTAAGAAGAATAATCAATTTGAATATAATAACAACTATGTATTATTTGTGTTTTTATAATTTATTAAATAGTATGAATCTTAAATAAATTATATTGATAATATGTAAGAAAATCAAGCTAAATGTAGTTCAAAGCCCATTATGAAGGTTTAAAACATTATAATAAGCTATAAAAATAAATATTAATCTTTAAAAATCATTAAATATTTGCTTTCAATTATACAAAGAATGCAACAGGTTAATTAAGACATTATAAAAAATTAATTCCACTTAATATTTAATTCTATCTTCAAAATCTGTCCATTCTATTTGAATCTTTATAAAATTTATTTTGATACTGATTAATAAATTTCTATATCAAATAAGTTTTACCGTATTCTTCTAACATATAGAATTTAGAATGTCTCTTTGAAAAAGAAAAGCTAATCTAATTATAAATTGATAAAAATCTATGCAGAATCTTCATAGTTATTCTAATAATTTTCAAATTTGATTTGTAATTAGATTGTTAATAATAAAAATAATGAAAAATAATAATAATACTCATTTAAATAATTTGATATTTAGAAGCTTAGCAATAATATCTAAGAAATCTGGTAATTTGAAGTTTAAATATTTGAAAATTTTTATCAAAAAAAAGATGAAGATAGTAGAACACACATGCTTGATTATTCAAAAAAGGAATATGATTGCTTAAAAGGATAAATAATTAAATAGCATTAAAATAAAGACTTTATCAAAAAACCCATTAACCAAGAAATCAATTGGTTTCTGATGAATTAATATATGAGAGTAAAAATTTTAAAATATTTTAGTGTATTTAATTCATTAGAGGAATAAAGTAAAGTTTTGTTAGGTTCAAGACTATTTTACAAAAAATGAATAATAAATGTTGAAGAAACTTACAATATTGTGTGATTTTACTTTAAATTTAAAAAATTGGGTATTTAATAAATTAATAATTAAGTCTTGATTAAAATTTTTTAAGTTTAATAAGTTTTGTTTTATCCATAATATAATATAGTTATATATATAAATAATATGTCAGGAAAAACAAGAGATTACTTTGGGACTTTAAAATCAGTATCAACATATATTATTTTAGGCTGGAAGAACAGTTTTGAAGGAAGATAGTGCAGGAGCCTGTATACAACCAATTCAAAATTAAGTAATAATAGTCAGTTACTTAGGTACTTGAAACTCCTCCTCATATAAAAAAATATCGAAAATCTTATAAGCATTAACATGGTTGTTCAATAGTAAAAAAGAGGCTAAATTTTAGTTACATCCTGGACTAGTTGATGCTCCTAAACAATAAGGAAATTGGATATATGGAAGAAAGACTGAATTTTCAGACAAAGCTGGTGAACTATTTAAACAATAGCCATAAGGAATAAAGGAATTGATCAATGAAATAAATGAATAAAAATATGCATCTCATATCAAAGAGCCATTGGGTACAATGCCAACAAGAAATTATAATTGGCCTGATGAAGCTAAGTCAGATGGATTTGCTTTTGGATAGAAGATTCCTCCATCTGAATATTCTGCTAAAGAGGTTGTATTTCCTCCAGATGCTAAGAGAGATGAGGAGAGAATTAGATTGATGTATTTAAAGAGTCATGGAAATTTTGAAGCAGGGGAATAAAAAAATAGAGAATATAATTGGAAGATCAATCCTAATGATTATAGATTTGGTAAAAAAGAAGAAAGAGAATAGGAATAAATGAAGAAAATATTATAACATGAACTTACTTAAAATTAATATCCTAAAACTACAATAATTTCAAAGAATTAAGAAGATTGGAAGAATTACAATGAAGATCCTTTGGGAAAACCAAAAAATCAAGCATAATTAAATCCTAGAATGCCATAAATATTTGGAGAAATGAAAAAAAATGAATAATGGACAGCTGGATAATGTATAAATGGATAGCCTACTTAAAAAGAAGTTTAACATGATCTTGATTTAGGAAAAGCAACTAAATTTGGTTTTAGAAATTAGCCTAAACCAGGAGATGAAACTAGAGCTTTTGGTGTACCTGCAATTAGAAATGATATAAATAAAAAAGGTATGAAATCAGTTGCAGATCCTCAAAATTATGGTGATGAAGTACCTGCTGTAGCTTTGTTGTTTCCTGAAAAATTCTCACATATGGGATTATCAGAATAAGATTTTTTATGTTTAAGAACAAAAAAAGAAATTAAGGATATTTTTGAATCAATTGGAATTAAATATGGTATAGGAAAATTTGAAGGTATATTTAAAAGAGCCATCGAAATTGTAATTTAATTTGTAATTAATTAAAGCAAAGTGCGTAGGATGACAAAGTATCTGTAAAAGCCTTTTAATTAGCAGTATAAGAGATGCATCATATTGATTGATTTAATAATAATATAATATTTAAATGTCTAAGTGCATTAATGGGTTGAGAAGTAGACTAACAGCCATAATTGGAGCTTAATGGGGAGATGAAGGTAAAGGAAAACTTGTAGATATCTTGGCTGAAAAATATGATTTTTGTGCTAGATTCAATGGAGGAGCAAATGCAGGACATACTATAGTTGTTGGAGGTGTAAAATATGCATTTCATTTGTTACCATGTGGAATCTTATACTAGAGTTGTATGAATGTAATTGGAAATGGTGTTGTGGTGAATATTCCAACTTTATTCGAAGGTATCTTTTATAATAATGTTAAGAATTGGGTCAATTAGATAAAAATAGAGTAGATTATACTGGAAGATTAGTTATATCTAATAGAGCTCATCTTGTTGTTGATGGATTATTAGAGGCAGATGCTAAAAGTGAGAGTGATTCAAGAAGTATTTATTATTTTTATCCCTAGAAAAATTTCTTGGTACTACTAAAAGAGGAATTGGACCAACTTATTCAGCAAAAGCATTGAGATAAGGATTGAGAGTTGGAGATTTATTACATTGGGATACATTTTTATTGAAATATCATTCTTTAAATGCAAAATTAAGAGAATAAGAGGGAATATAAATAGATACTTAAAAAGAAATCAATACTCTTAAAGAATATAGAGATATATTAATAAACAGAAATATGATTGTAGATACAATATCTTTAATTTCTAACGCCAGAAAGGATGGAAGAAGAATTTTAGCAGAAGGAGCTAATGCTACTATGTTGGATATAGATTTTGGAACTTATCCATATGTTACTTCATCCAGTACTAATGTAGGTGGTGTTTGTACAGGATTGGGAGTACCTCCATCTGCTATTGAAACTGTTATTGGAATTGTTAAAGCTTACACAACTAGAGTAGGAGAAGGACCTTTCCCTACAGAACTTACAAATGAAACAGGAAAATATTTATAGAAAACTGGTCATGAATTTGGAGCAACTACTGGAAGACCTCGTAGATGTGGTTGGTTAGATATTCCTATTTTAAGATATTCAATCTAAATTAATGGACATTCATCAATTAATCTTACTAAATTAGATATTTTGACTGGACTTGAAGAAATTAAGATTGGAGTTAATTATTTATATAATGGAAAAGTTATTGATTATATTCCTGCATAATTAGAAGATCTAGCATAAGTTGAAGTTGAATATATCACTATGAAAGGATGGAAATAAGATATCTCTGATTGTAAAACCTTTTCTGATTTACCAATTGAAGCTTAAAATTATGTTAAAAAAATAGAAGAACTTTTGGGAATACCTGTTTCTTGGATTGGAAATGGACCATAAAGAGAAAAGATTATTTTAAAAGATTGAGTTTAAAATAAATAAAATCATTAATTATGTCATAAATGCACACTTTTCTTATTATATAGTAATTTATCCTTTACTCTCATTAAATTTACAATATCATTTGTTGTTTATTGCATTGAAAATCTTAAATTTATTAAATAAATTACTTATTTTGAAATTAAATTTATAGCTAAGATCTTCTACTCTACATAACGTTTTTAGAGTGAATTGTTATCGTTTTCTTTTTTATTATTTATCTTGGAGTTTTTCCATCATGTTCTTATAATATGCATTCAATCTGTTATACAAATTTCGAGTTATTATCTATTTCTACTTCCTTAAATTATTTCCATGAACTCAAAGGTTCTAAATTACTTAAGATAGATTCAATTTTTCTTGTTAACAAAGAACGTTTAATAGCATATATCATAACACTAACATAATAAAAAAGACTTTCTACTCCAGTTGTAAATTTTACACTGTTTATAAAGAAATTAAAGTAAGCATTTTATAAGGAACTAATCAATCCAAGTTTAAATAGAATTATTCCCAATAAATATTAAGGGGCTCTTGAAAATATAATTGTAAAAAGCCTTAATATATAATAATAATTAAATACTTCACAAATGTCTATTGATAAGTATTAGTTTGATCACTATCAAAAAACCAAATAATTAGTAAATGAAGGACAGTTTCATTTAAAATACTAAATATGTTTTTAGGTGTGTCCTATTATTCTCCAAATAATATCAAACCTTCTTATAAAGTAGATGTGAGTAAATGTCTTTTAAATTTTGATGGTTAATCTTAATCATGTAATTTAACAATTATTTTACAAATATAATCTCCAATTTCATAAAAACAAGATTTTAAAAGAGATTTATATTAGTGAAGTTCTGAATGTTATTTACAATTTAAATAAATTTCATTAATAATCAAACCACATTCACAAGATGTATCTGATATTTATTTATCCTGATTATTTATATCATATAAATAGACTCTGAATAATTAAGTAAGCATTTCTTAATTTAAAAATGATGGTAAAATACTATCTTATTCAACTTTTAATCTTTATGCTTACTTCTTATTTTATGATGTTAAGCTCATCATATTTTAAAAGATATTTTAAATAATCTATTTTAAAATAGAAATACAAGAAGGTAGAAGTTTCATATCTGATTGATGTTTTTTGGCTTTTCTTTCAAAACTACTAGATTAAATCGAGATCTTAGGACTTGGATACAATCCTTTTAGTCTTCCACTTGAAAAACCCTCATAAAATGAAGAAAAATCAGTGCTTTATTCAGTTTTAATTTAATAGCTTCTTGGTGTTTTTTTAGGAGACAATGCAACACTAAGATTAATTTGATTTTTTCCTGTATTAATCCATTTTGATAATTCTTGATTCCCTATAGTTAATCTTGGTAATTATCTAATAGTTTGTGCAATTTATTTATTAGTTAATTCTCTCTATTATAAAGTTTCCTTTATTTATCTTTTACTATTTCCTCTAATAAATTTTGTTTCTTATTATGATAATTAAGGAACAAAAAGTTTGTCTCTTATTGACATTTAAACTTTTGATTAATACATTTATCTTTCTGTTCTGAATTACATTAAATTATCTATATCTTTACCCAATAACTCACTTACTGTTATATTCTCTTTAACATTTTAGTTCATATGCCAATTAAGTTAATTCATACTGTAAAACTATATGTAGTTTTTACCTGCTTATAACTAACCTAAATAATCCGTTAATAATTTCTTTTCATCTACATTTATTTCTTATTAATGAATTAATCTATCATAATTTATTTATTATTTTAACAAACCTACAATTTAAACAGTTTTATCGCTTTGATTATTTTTATTTGCTCTAAATGTATCAACTTATAAATTTAATGAAATGCTCAAAAAATATTATATCCAATTTGTACAATCCAAATATTACCAAAAATGATCAAATACATAATTCCCCATATCATATTCATCTGAAATTATTTCTTTATTATAATAATAAATAAATACTCTATACAATCATGGCTATATTTTCATTATATATAATTGAAACTAATTAAAACATTAAATTAAACTCTACTATCATTAAAATAGATTGTCTAGGATTTGTCTGTAATAGAAAGTCTAAGATAAATGCAATCTAATTTAAATCAATATTTTTTTCATAATCATTTAAGGAATCATAAATATAATGAACTAAATTATAATATAAGTAATAATACATAATTTAAATAAGAATTAAGGTACAATTTTAGTAATAATTGGATAATTATTTTCATGCATAAGTATTTTTATAGTCTTTAATGAACGAAGTAATAATAATTTATCTATATCTTTATTTTAATTTAATTTTCTTGAATTTTAATTATGTTTAATTTGAATATCATCATAATGATGTTCCTAAAACTATAGATATCATAATCTTACCCATTCATGTATTGCACTGAAATGACAAGGATCAAAAATATATTTAAAAATTAAGTCCAAATATTCAAAACTTCTAAAGTAATCTAATTATTCATTAACCATAGGTGTATTCTTTTAACAAATCCATTTTTATATTTCTTCATTTGGATCTATTTCAATTGATGATTCAGAGGATTCTTATGGTTCATCAACTAAATCTTAATCCACTTAAATAATATTTTAAGACCTTATTATTTAATTTGAATAAAAAACTAAAAATAAATAATTAATAAATTTACATTAAACAATCTATTCATCAATTCTATTTACCCAAGTACATGCTCCAAAGATCTCACTTTTACATTCTTCAAAATTGTCCACTACTAATTTTATCACTTATTCATCTCTTGTATTAAATATAAAAGTCATAAATATTCCACTTCTACTCTCTAATGACTATCTTAATTGTTAAACCATATTAAATATTGGTTTTAAAAATGAAACAGCAAATTATTTCGAAATTACAAGATTTTCAATTACATTTTTTGCCAAGCCTTATTATCCAATTTATAATCCTAATATCATAGTTCAATTACTTTGAAAAACTTTTTCTACCTCTTCCAGGTGATCTACTGCTTAACATAGCTTTCTATTCTTAAAGCAATGCTATTTCAAGTAACCCTTTATAAAAACAATTCAAAAATTCAACATTCTAAAATCTATCCATCATTATAGACAATAATAATTTTACAGGCTCTTATTAAAATGGATAACAACAAAATACTCAGATAGTAAAATTTTATATACATTATCTAATTAGATTTGAGTTTGTAAAATTAGAATAAAAAGGTAATTATTATGCTAATTATTAACACCCTCTAGTAATATTGGTCATTCTTTTATAATCATCTTCTTCATTTAGCTATTGTATGAAAAATATATTACAGCATATTCAAGTATCATATTAAAAAATAAATAATTTAATCACTTAAATTATCAAATTTGTATTAAAATTGATATTATAATTATTTATTTTATTTAATTTTTAGTATTTTTTATACTTTTTGAATCTTATAAAATAAATACAGAAGTATGTTATAAAAAGGGAAATTATTGTAATTTATTGATCAATTATTATATAAAATAATTTTTATAAACTATTTTTTAAAAGTATTTAATTATAATTATAAAAATTTGATTTACAAATGGGAAATTGTAATAACAGCAAAGATGTAAATTTTGATGATGCTTTGTGTATATTATTTAATAATTTAATTAGTACCATGTAAAGCTGATTTTGCATTACTATTTGTTATTGGTAGAGGTGGTTTTGGAAGAGTATGGAAGGCTGAAAATAAAAAATCAAAGTAATAGTTTGCTATTAAAGAAATGAATAAATGCAAGTAAAGATTATATTATTAAATAATTAGAATAATTAATAAGAAAAGTGTTAGTTCAGTCATGAATGAAAGATATTTATTAAGTAATTTACGGCATCCGTAAGAAAATTAAACTAAATAGGTTTTTAGTAAATATGCATACAGCGTTTTAAGATAGGGAAAATTTATATTTAGTCATGGATTTGATGTAAGGTGGTGATTTAAGGTATCATCTCTGCAAACAAAGAAAGTTCAATGAAAAATAGACAAGTATAGATTAACATTAAATTTTAAAAGAATTTTTTATTGCATGTTTATTACTAGCATTAGATTATTTACATACAAATACAATATTACATAGAGATATCAAACCAGAAAACTTAGTGTTTGATAGAAATGGTATTAAATATTACTAAAGTATTATAGGTTATTTAAGATTAACAGATTTGGGTATTGCTAGAATTTGGAAACCTGACAATGACAATGATACTAGTGGAACTCCTGGATATATGGCACCAGAAGTTATGTGTAGATAAGCTCATGGAGTAGCTTCAGATTATTTTGCAGTTGGAGTTATAACTTATGAATGTATGATGGGAAAAGTAAAAAGATTCTTATTATGTAGAGACCTTACATAGGGAAAACAAGAAAAGAAATTAGAGATTAAATTATGGCTAAATAAGTCTTGGTTAAATTGAATTAAATACCAGAAGGATGGTCAGAAGAAGCAGCAGATTTTATCAATAGAACTCTATAAAGGAAACCTGTGAATAGGCTAGGTTTTAATGGTCCTGAGGAAGTGTAATCTCATCCTTGGTTTAAAGATATTGATTGGAATAGTTTTATGAATTAATCAGCTGCCCCATAATACTCAATAAATGTATTGTTATAAGAATCTATGTAGATCAATAATGATAATTTCGATGCAAAGTTTGCAAATATGAAAGAAGATGAAGATCATGAGTCTAGTTTATTAAATGGATAATTGTTAAGAAGATAATCGATTTAAGATTAATTTAATGGTTATACTTATGACTAGACTATCACACAACAGCCTATCTAAAGTAATATTACTACAAAATAAACTATACCTCATTTAAATACTTAGTAATTGACATCTGCTAAGAGAACAAATATTGAAGAAACTAATCCATAATTATCTCAAATATCATAAAAAAAATACAATCTAATTTCATAAACACCTAGATAACAAACTAAACAAATGTTAACTAATTAAAAACCATAATCTGATAGAAATCATTTTACTAACAAGTTTTAATTTAATTGACTATTTATAATTTGTTTTGTATTTATATCCTAATTTTAATAATATAAAAATAAAACTCTCATTAAATTAAATATGATTTTATTTGAAATTCTAATTTATGAATAGAAGTATATATTAATTCTTTATCCTTATAATTAATTACAAAATTTTCATTAAAATTGAATAATTTCATTAATTTTTATAAAAGTATAATAGAATGAAAAAAATACTTATTGTTTTTAAGTTACATCAAATTATTGAAATGAAATATTAGTTGTTTGAAATAATTGAATTTAAGAAAAGGAAAATGATTGGTTTATTAATATTATAAATTTTAATTTATTATCTTATAAAATAATTGATAATAAGAATATAATTAGTAAATAATTATTTCTTAATTTTTTATTACTTAGATGAAATAAATTATAAAATATTATCAAAACTTAAATTGGGCACTAAATAATATTACAAATATTTTGAAGTAATAAATAATGTTTATTGATTTAATTTATATCATATTGATTTAACTTTGAAAAATTTGATATCATAAAATATCCAATATCTTTAGATAAGCAAGTTAATTATAATAAATTCCAATTTAATTATTTTAAGGATAAGAACTATTACAATGTATAATTTTATATTAAATGAAATTGAAATCAAATATTATCATCTTTCTATTATAGTAATAAATATAAAAATTGATCCAAATTATTAAAAAAGAAAATTCTGAAATTGAGTGATTAATTTTTATGGAGATCAATCTCTTATTGTAATTCTCAAAAAATATGAAATATTAAATTGTATGATTGTCCAAAAATAATTCCTTTAGATAATTCAAATAATAAATATGATAATAAAACATATAGAATCATTAAATGAAATCTTTTTTTTTTTGTTGAAAAACAAAGTGATATATATAGAGATGATTTTCATTAGAATAATACCTTTTGGTCAGAATTTACATAAAGAAAATTCATTTTATTATCATAATAACCAGATAGAAGAACTATTTTAGATTTAAATAATAAAGAATCATGAGTATTTAATATATTGTGTTGCTTTTTTTGTAAAAAATTGATTTATAAAATAGGTAATATTTTTTGTTGTCAAAAAAACATATTTTATTAAGGATCTAATTTCATATAAATTTCTTCTTATAATAATTTATGAATTTTTACCTAATTCTTCAATTAGAATTACTAAAAAAAATATATAAAAATTACCAAAATCTCATTTTAATAGTTTTGATATATTTAGTAACAATGATTTATTATTTATAAATACTACTATCAATTCAATGTAAATCGGTTTTAAATATCAGATAATAATAATTATTATTTATTAGATCAATTTAATATTAATTATTATTAATTATAATACCAGTAATGAAAAGTATAGATACAAAATTGTTTTATATTAAGATGTTTTAGTTCAAATTTTGTTTAATTATGAAATATTTGCTCATTGATACTAAATTTATTTTATTTTATCGTATTTAGCGTATTACTACCGATAGAATCCAAATTAATTATATTTTAATGAAACAAAGTGGAGGATATCAATCTGATCATTCTAAAGCTACATTTTTTAATGATGGAAACCATCTATTTACACAATATGCGAATGATAATTTGCAATTTCATGATTAAGGATGTTTTCAAATGAAATATATCAACAGGGTAACCTCAATAAATGTTCATTGGGCAGAAGATTATCTAAAAATCGTTGAAGAAGTATATAAATCTGAAAATATTTATTAGAAATCTTCTAAATTTATTCATATTCAAAATGCTTATCTAAGACTAGTCATGAATTAAAAAAATTAGTAATTTGGTTTTAGAATAAGTAAAAATGGTCATCAAGCCGAATTTTATGGTGGTAGCTTAGAATTAATCGAAAAGATAAAAAAATATATGATCTAATCAGAGTTTCAAAAGAAATATCAAATAATAGAAAAAATTGGTAGTGGTAATTTATCATCTGTAAAATTTGTAATTTATCATTAGGTCTATAAAATTTAGCATAACATAAGTGGATAAAAGTTTGCTGCTAAAATAGTAAAAAAATCAACACTAGCAAGATGTAGTAAATTTGAAAAGGATTATTTTTTGAATGAAATAAATATCTTAAGATTAATAAATCATGATAATTTGTTAAAATTAGAAGAAATCCATGAAGGAGAATAAAACATATATATAATTACTGAATTATTAGAAGGAGGTTCTATAAAAGATGAGATTTTAAATAATCACTTCAAAGAATAAGAAATGATAAAAGTCATGCATTCTCTATTTAGTAGTTTATATGCACTTCATAAAAATAATATTTATCATAATGATATTAGATATGATAACATCTTACTAAAAGATCCATAAGATTTACAAACAGCTTGTTTTATAAATTATGGAAAAGCTGTATAAATCCCTTCAAAAAATTGTAATCTTAATTAAAATAATCATTAAGATTAAGAAAGGATAATTAATTTATGTCTAAAAAGGGACATATATTCTTTGAGTACTATTTTGTTAACAGTTTTTACAAAAAAAGTATATAACTTAAATTAGGTAGTGGATGAACTTTTAATGAAAAATTATTAATATATTACTCAAACAGAGTATATGGAATTATCTCTTCCACTTTAAAGATTTTTTGAGATGATTTTTACAGACAAATGTAAAAAATAAATTGATATTTTGACTTGTGAAAAGATATTAGGTTTAGATATATTTAGAATTATACAAAAACCTAGAAGTTCTAAAATTTTTCTCCCTTAATAATTATTTCCCTAACTTCCAAGAAGAATGAGCAAATTTGTTCCATGTTAATCAGACAGAGAAAAATTAGATCATTCAGAGGATTCAGTTAAACTACCACCTATAAATCGAGATGCTTCTACTTCTGCTGAAAAAAGTCTCTCTTCAAGTCCTAAATCTTAATGTCTTCTCTACAGTCATCTGACTACAGTTAAGAAAAACAACAATTTAAAAATAATAAATAAAGTTATTAAGTAAAATGATTTGTGACTTGATTTTAATTTATTTAATATTTTAATTTATCTCTTAATTTAATTATTTTGATTGATTTTTCATTTTATAAATTATTTGATAATGGTTTGTGCTTAATTAATATAAGTTTTGTATATCAATTGTTAATCATTTTACAATTTAAAATTAATTTTTACATTTTTGTAAATAATTGGATTAATATTTTTATTAAAGATTTTATCTGATAATAACAATAAGTACTTTAGAATTTATAAACTGGATTTTGAAATAAATTAAGTACATTATAAATGTTTATTTATGTACAAGGATACTTATATATATATATAATACTTTTGTAGAATCTAGTACATGTGAAATACTTAAGAGAATAATTTAATTTTGCGTTTGTTCTAAATTTATCTAATTCTTTTTTTTAATCTATTTAATCTATATCAACCTTTCTAAAGAAATATGTCTCTCTAAAATTTGATAATTAAACTTTCTTTCTAATAATTCCCTATTAATTCTGCCTATTTTATTTTTATACTCTTACTTATGCTCATAATATATATCTCTTGCCTTATTTACTGCATCCATAGTCTTGCTTCATTTTCTATCAATTTTATTGTCATTTTATTAATCAAATCTTATTCTATTAGGCTTACTATTTTTATCTATTAAGCAATCCTTTATATCGATATTAAGTTAAATAAATTTCTTTATATATTCTTTTATAATCTAATTTTTATTATTAGGCAATCTAATTATTCTATGTTATTAAAAAAACTACAATAGTTTATAGTATAATGAATTATATGTATTCTAATTTATTGCTATTTGGATAAGTAAAGTATTATTGAATTATAATTAGAGATATTTAATCTCCTTAAACAATAATGCTTTAATATCTTTATTATATATATCTTTATGATTTAATAATAATTGTGTAATATTATCATAAATTATCATCATTTTTTAACTCCTCTAACATCTGCTTAGGATCTATCACAGATTGTATTCAAACCTCCATGATTCTTATCTATTGTTGATGGTCCACCATTTGCATGAACTCCTGTATATAGATTTTTATCATCATGGAATTTAACAGCATCAGCTTTTGTTCCATTAAAATGAGGTCCACCAGCATTTAGAATTTAATTGTGTACATCTTGAATTCCTACTCCTTTCTTTTCAGCCATCATTTACAATCCTTTTTCAAATTAAGCATAGGTTATTGATCTAGCAGCTGGTGTAGGTTTAATTTTGGCGAAGATCAAATCTACATCTGTAGATGTCAATTTTTTATCTAAGAGATGACAATCTTTGGAAACTTTAGCAAAGGTTTTTCCATCCATCTCTGGTTTATTTGCAGTAAATTGCAAGAACACTTATTAAACATTGCCCTACATATTTTAATTATTATCTATTTTTCATAATTTTTCAGTGCTTTTATAATATAAATATTAATTCCAGTGAAAATATAATATATATAATATAATTACAAACATTCAAATTGATGCCATTTTCATTAATTTTAATTACATTTAATTCCAATTTCCTATTGGAATTTCTAAAATTTATGATAATTCAGTTTGATGTCCTTTAAGTAAGAAATATTTTAAAAGAGGATCACTTTATATTTTTCTATATAGTAATCTTGAATAATTAGATTAACGAATAAACATCAAATCTAAAAGCATAATTCGAATTTAATCAATATACTTTAAATTTTTACTTTGTTAAGCAGCCTATTCTAATTTCTTAAGATGTGTCCAAAAATGATAAAAAGATGGGATAGGATAAAGCTTTTTAGTATTTGTAGGTGTATAAATATGTTTATTGCAAACAAATGTTTTAGTCATGTCAATCAATATCTATTATTAGATTGGACTAATATATTAAATAGTATGTAATAAATCTTAATCTAATCGTTCAATACTTAAAGTAAATAATAAAAATACTCCTTCACCATCTTCATTTTTACATAGTTCTAAACACACTTCATAAAAGTAATCGATGGCTTTTTTTCTATCTTTCTTTTACAATATAGATGCTTAAATGTATAAAGAAAAAGAATTTATTCTATCAAAATATTCAGATAAGAATTAACTCTATTTTCCATTATCTAGATTGGTAAGTAAATTATCAAATTATAAAAAGGAGTAAAACTCTTCATTGATTTCTGTTATAGCATTACTTAATACTGTAGGATCAATTTAAAATAAATCCATTTCTTCATGTCCTATCAATGGATTTGGAATGATTTCATAAGGTTTTACTTATCTCAATTTAATTCTATTATCAAATAAAAAATGAATAAAATGTTCCATTAAAAAATCTACATTTAAACAAATGTATTTAATTTTAATTATCTAATATAATGTCTTTTCTATTAATACTAAATCTTCACTATTTCTGAGTAATCTCCAATATAAAAACAATAAAAATGTTTAGATATTCATATAATAATCAAGAGTTATAATTAGTGTTTTTATCTAATAATTTTCATTTTATTTTTTAAATATTTAGTCAACTAATTATTAAAACAGAGAATTAACTTTAATGTTAAAAAAATCATAACATTTTTCTAAATTATTTAAATTATTGTGAAGTTACATCCAATTTTTGACAGGAGTATTCAAAAGAGTCCTAACTTAATCACTTAAGATTTTATTATTTACACTTGTAATTACTTTTATGTTTACTTTTCAATTATAGTTTTTGCTTTTTCAAAACTCAAATGAGATGGAAATTTTGTTGATTCTCTTTAAGGAGTTGAAATTTATTTAATGGTCTTCTATTTTTATTTCTGATAAACCATTGTTGATTATAGTGAATCACCAGCACATGGTCTAAGCCAGAATATTTTCATTAAAAAAAATATAAATTGTCAAAAAGATGTAAATATAAATAAATTATATAACTTATGAAACAAATTGATATAATAATTTTATATGAAATCCAATATAGAAATGATTTTGATATGTATAAATTAATAAAAAAAAGAATTTAATTATTAAAATATAATTCATCAAATTCAACTCCCCATAATAGATATTTCTAATTCATTTATTGTATTATGAATGTGAATAATTATTTTAAATTATAAGCTGTATGTTTCTGCTAAATTTATTTATTTAGAATTAAATAGTATACTGTCAAAATTATTATTTATTCTTTCCATTCAGAATATTTATTGATTTTGATAATCTTAGATATTATTAGAACCTACTATTTATTATATTTCTTAAATTCAATTTGATTATTTCATTAGATTACTAAACTTTGTTTATAGAATTTCATTTTAACCTGAAATCATATTAAAGATTATGGGAATATGACTTATTTTATTAGATCATATTGATTTATGGTATATAATGAAGTTCTTGTTGATAAGAAACAATTTATTTAGATGGATATATAGTTTAAAGAGATTATGAATTAAATTTCTTAACAGATGAGTAAATTATATTAATTTTTTCAATAAAAATGAGTTAAGAGCGTCTAGAATAAAGACCAGAGACATCTAAATGTTCTCGATTAGAAAAAAGGAGAATGACAAATTAGAATTCATAAAGAAATCGAACAGCTATTCAAAGCAGAACAGCTCAAAATTTTAATCCAAATAGTTACAATGGAATGACTTTAGACGAATATTTCAAAAAAAAAGGATAGGACAATAGTATATAGTAGGTAGAGAAAAAAAAGAAAGTAAAACCCCTAAATGATTTAGTTTTTGGTTACAAGTAATGAGTTCTTCAAGGAATTCCAAAATTAAGATGTAATGAGGAGAACATATATGGGTGATAGCAAATATATGAATATGAAATAAGATTTGAAGAAAAAAATATAGGATTACGATAAGGATTTATTTTAGAAGTATGCTAATAAATTTGATTTGGGAAATGGTTTGGGAAAATGAATTAATTTATATAATTATTATATATTTACACGATTATTAATAAATAAAATAAAAGATTTCAGTAACCTTAGCAAAGCAATATTCTATAATTAATTTAAGCTAAATCAAATTAAAAATAAAAGTATTGAGTTATTTTATATAGAATAAACTTTTAGTTAAAATTCATTAGTTAAATATGGATGTCTCAAATTGTCAATTTTTAATGTGAATATAAGAAGAGAATTAAAAAATAAAGTTATAATACCTACATTAAGAATTAATGTATACATTCCTCTAAATTATGAAAATAGACAAGTAAATATATCATAAAAGGAAATAAAAATAAAAATTGTTTAAAAATGATAGTAAATTAAATGAGCAATAATAGTTAAATTGATATATTTTATTATAAGCATTATATTGTCATTATTGATATTAATTTAATTTTAGAAACTCTGATTTAATATTAAAAGAATTCATGATTGATATCAAAATAAATATATTTATAAATCTAATAAATTTATTTAATCTAGAATATTTAATCCACTATACTTAATAACTTTAATCTATGGATTTCGTTCTTGAAATATAAAATTTCAAGGTGTCTAATCTATCATTTTAGATTTTGTTTAACATTACTGAACACTTCGGCAAAATAGAAAACTTAAAGAATAAAATTAGAAATCATTTCGAACAAAAATTCATGAATCTTATTAAGAATAATGAAAGTTTTAATTTGATTATTAAATAGTTCATTTAATAACTTAGATTATTATAGTTAATAAACAGTAGAATTCTGCGAAGTCCAATAAAATTTTAGATAATCCATGTTAATTATAAATACTGTTCTTGCAAAATATCCATAGTTTTATTCTTGATTTCATTCTACTCTATTATTAAGACTAATCAAACTTATAAATTGATTTTTAAATTATCAGTAAATAATTAAAATAGTTAATATATTTACTATTTTAATTTTTTTTGAAATTGGAATATTGTTATTTGTTTTATGGTTTAAATATCTTATCTTCTTTAGAGATTAGTGATATTAATGTTGATAATCTTATTTTTTGAATAACAATGATGATAAATTAAATAGTAATCAATCTTTTAAATAAAAATCGCAATATTATATATATGAACAATTTAGATGCTCTTTTAGGTATATTTATAATGAGATTGAAATTTATTAAGATTTTCCAGAAATTCTAGAAACTTCAGTAAATTAAATTTTATAATAGCAATTAAAAAAACAAGGCTTGATGAAGTTATCATTGTTTTTGTATATACTTAATCAATTATGTTTATATGATTGGAGAATAATAACTTTAGTTTTAATCCTTTTCAAATAATTGATCCAATATATTATAACAGAAATCTAAGTATGATATATATATATATATTTATTAGGAATATGTGATATTGATTAAAAGTAGAGGGTGACTGACATAGATGAAATATGATTTGCTCTAACAATTTAGATAAATTAAAAAAAGATAGAGTAGTATGCTACAATTATAATGTAATATATATATATAAAATCTACTAGAAGATTAATTTGATTGTTCTATAAATTAAAACTTTGAGATTTTATTAGTTTATGGAAAAATTAAGAATTTTGATTTATAATATGTTTCTAATTTTAATATTGTCTCTAGGAACTTCCAAATAAATTTTTAGTAAAGAATTTAAGTAAATGAATGGATAAGTGAATATTGAAACAGATATTTTTGATAGGATTCGTTTGACACAATATTAGAGATTGATAATTACACTCAGCAATTATAATTCTAATATACAACCTTTGTTGTTGATTTGTAAAAGTTCACCCTCATTTCTTAAAATTCCAGATTATTTAGAAATTAATAAGTAAGGGTTTAATAATATTCTTTTAGAGATTAATGTGTAGCAGATTTAAATTCTTATGATTATTAGAAATCCTTTTAAACAGCAATCATCTCAATTAATTAATTTGCTGGTAGTTTTTAAAATATAATTTACTAAATTGATCTTAAAAATATATCTATTATTGTTATTTAAGACTAAATAAGTGATTTTTTTATAAAATATGAGATTTTAGACAAAAAAATATGTTATATGTAATTTTACATCATAATAATTGTAGAAAATGTTAAAACAAAGGGTATTGTAATGATGGAATCTGTAAATGTAAAGAACAATATATTGGTGATGATTGTAGTCTAAAGATCTTTAATTTAAAATATTAGGATAAATTGGTTCCTAATTAAATTTATTATTTAACCATCGAAAAATAAGAAGTAATTTTTTTATTTATAATATAAGCTTATAAGATTTGAATTTAAAGAGAATTGCTCTTTTTTTTTTGAATGTATTATTAACTACCCATTTTACAAAAGAGGATAATTAAAAGTCTAATCTTATATTTAAATTTCGTTGAGAAACTCTTAAGAATGCATAGATAACTTTCGCTATTCCAATTATTAATTTTCTTAATTTAAATAGCCATTATATCTCTTCTCTACAACTAATTTTGTGTAGATTATTAAATCTGAATCTTAAGAAATATTAAATAGTAATACAATTGTCTATATTGTTTCTTTTGTAGGATTAGCATTACTTCTGGTATTTATAATTGCATGCATTATTTGGAAAAAAAGAATTTCTTAAATTAGTGATATATCTAGAAATTCATTATAGATGTCTCAAAAAACAGAACTTATCAACTAAGTGAATAAATTAATGCCCATTTAAACTTATGAACAATTGATTAAAAATTTTCCTGGCTTGATTGATGATTAATATTGCCAAATTTGTTTACAAAATTATAATAAAGATCATAAGATTCGAATTTCTTATTGCACACATTTTTTTCATGCAGAATGTTTAGATATTTGGATTGAAAAAAATGAAGTATTATTTTATCAAAAATTATTTAGAATTGTCCAACATGTAGATCCTCCTTAAATTATGAAACTCTTAATAAATTAACAGATTAAGATAGAATTGACGAAGGTCTATTTTAAAATATATCTTCAAGTAAACATCCTAATACTTATTTATCAAAATAAAAAATAAGATTGTATGGAGAAATCAAATCAAGCAATTCACCAATAATCAAAGTATGAATTTAACTTAAATTTTAATGTTGAATATGAAGTTTATTAATTATTATTTATGATTTCATTAATTTTCATCTTCTGATCAAAATACTTCTATGAAATTGTGAATATAAGATTTTATTAATGCAAAAGGTATAATTTATTAAAGAATTGTCGATATATACAATTTTCTTAAATTTGATTGAAATGAGTAATCATTTTCAAATTATTTTTCTAATCTAATCTTCTTTCAAATAAAATATCTATTGGGCTACAATAAATATTAAAATAGATTTATGATTACAGAATAAAAATTGAAATTTTGTAGGTTTAATAACTTAATACTAAATTAGAATCTCACTTTTTATGAATATCAAAATATAGATTTCTTTATTATTATCAATTATATATATATAATAATCACTTGATGATTTTCTAAGACCTCAATTCTAATATATATCATCTCAACATTTAAAAGAAAATAAAGTTAGCACAATATTGAATATTAGAAATAAGGGATTTATTTATATTATAATAATAATATCAATTGGGATCTACTTACTATCCTAAAAATAAATGCTTATCTTTAGTACGTAATAGTCTATGAAATAATTAAAAATTATCCTAATTTATAAATTAAAATCTACTTTAGCACTTGCTCCTTCTCTTAAAAATTAAAGCATTATTAATCCTGGTTCTTAATAATTACCTTTGTCTAAGAAATTAGGTCGTTTATGATCAACAAAATTATGAGTTAAATCTGCAGTTGGGAAGTATTTGGTCCATTATTTACTTTATTTGAAAGTGCCCATATAATCATCAATTTATTATTAATATAGTTATTCTGCCTTTTTTTATTTTTTTATATCTTCTTCAATTGCAAATTAAGGTCTTTAATCATGTTCAGACATTAGATGAGAATTTGGTAAAGGATCAGGTTTTATTCTTGTCTTAATTTACTTATAAATTTACTTTAAATAGAGGTTTATTTTTATCAAAATATTCATCTCTGAATTTATGAGTTGAAGGAGGATTATAAAAATCTTATAATTTTTCTTTTTCTCTTTATTTTAAATTTGCTAATCTATTCTTTAAAGTCATAACATCTTCTGGCATAAATGTAGAATAAAATATTTATCTATCAGATTCTTAATTTTTATCAATCAATTTTTTAGGTTAAAAATATTTTTATTCAGTGGTAATTACAGCTGTATCTGACAATCCATAATAAGGTTATTTTAATAATACAGGTTAAGATAAATATTTTGCAGCAGTAGTTTAAGTTTACTTGAATTCACTACTATATCTTTAAGAATTATTATTCTCAACTTTGTAATTTAAATTTTCAGGCATAAATTTTAGAATAGGATTTCTACCAGTTCTACACAATTTTTGTTCTTTACTTAACCTATCTGCTTCTTTAAAGTATGCTTAAGTATCAAATTTAATAGTTGGAAATTCATATTAATCATTTTTGTGACTATTCTAATAAATTTTATATGTGATACAATTTAGAATTTACTACTTTCTCAAAAGCATTATCTCTCTCTTCCTCTTTGATTATTCCATTATTTATTGGTTTAATTAGGTCTGTTTCCTACAAAACTATTCTAGCTTCAGGTTTATTCTTATTAAATTAATGGCTCTCCTTTAAATGACTAGTATAAATAATTTAAGATTTAGAACAATTCAACTTTGGTCTATATGGATAAGGTTTCATCTCATGCATATCAAGTATCTTTGTGATTTTGACTGGAGGTAGATCATGACCTGTAGGTAGTTTCTCACCTGCTGCCAATAATAATTACACCCACTTATCTCTAAATGGTCTAGGCTTTTCAATCCAAACATGATTCTCATTCAATACATAATGAATTTAAACTTATAGTATTTCCTTACTAATTACCTGCTCCTAATATTTCATCTACATTTATTGGCTCTTTAAGTTAGTCCTTAAAAGCAACAATTCTTTTACTTAAAGCTTCATCAATCATAGCTTAAGCTAACTTAAAATCTTATATCAAAATTACTTCATCATCAAAAAATAAATGATGTTTCTAACTGAATTTCATTATATCTTCTTTCTTGATCCATCCATCATTATCTAAATCCATAAATTCAACAAGTCTTAATATGGAGATTCTAGGAATCTAAGTAGTTTTATGTATTAATTTGTCATATTTTCTAGGTTTTGTGAATGATCTTGTAGGAGATTTATTTGGTTATTAACCAGGAGACATTTCTTCCATTTTAGAAAGACTTTTCATTATTTATAAAATATTATAATAATTTAAATGATATATAAATATATTTAATAAAAATATGCTGAAATAAAACTAAACTAATCTTAAGATTTATTAAATATTATTGAGAATAATTAAGTAGAGGATCCAAGATTTTTACATCAAGTATTCATTAAAATTTGAATGAAAGAAAACAAAAATTGTCAAAAAAATCAATTTTCAAGTAAGTATGTTAAAGATTAATGCATATATAAATGTATTATGAAACTGATTATACAATATCTTTTAAAACAACTATTAAATATTATTTTAATTATTTCTTAAAATCAAACAAATTATTTCAAATGTTGTGATATATTAAATAATAAATCAAACAATTTTTATTTTTGCTTAACATGATAAACTAAAGCAAAAATACACTTATAGGAAATTTTATTCTAATTATATTGATACCTATTTATTAGTCTAAATAATAATTAAAAATAATTACTCTTAAATTTATTAAGGTTAATGATTAATTATCTATTCCTTTTTTAAAAATAAGCATGAGTGAATTCATATCATTATGAAGAAATAATTCTTTACATTCTTCTTCTTAAAGCAATTATATATCATTCTATTCATAATATGCTTAATCATTTATAAGAATTAAATCTCTTTTATGATTATTTTCAGATAAGCTACAATTGTTTAAAGAGCCTTTGTACAAACCAAATTTATTCTTTCCATCTTTAAAAAAAGTATTCCCCTTCATATTTGAATACCAATTTTATTTCATCTAATGCTAAATCAAGAAGGTTTGGTGTAATAATAGATAAACATTACACTATAGATTAATAATAATTAATATTTACTATCATTTCCTGAGATTAATTCATTATCTTTAATTTAAATCGATTTATAAACATTTTCCCTTAAGATTTGTGGTTAAAAATTGCTAATACCATAATTTTTATCAAGTTTTGCTGACAAACCTTATGTGATTATCTTATTTCTAGACTATGATTAATTTTAAACAAATAATTGTTGATATTAATAACCTTCAAATTACATAGAATTTAATTGATTTATTTTTTCATTTAAAACTTTATCATAATAATTAGATTCAAAATCAAGTTAAGATACTTTCTCAGAAAACTAATAAAAATTAGTTTATGTCCAATCTTCAATATTTTAGTTAAATTAAATTGATAAAATAGGGCAGAATTAAAAAGCAAATTTTTATTCTATTTACCTTCTTACTTTTTTCAAAAAATTTTCTATTGCTTATTCTGTAGCTGCTTCTGCATCTTTTTACTACTTATATATTTTATTAATATTTTATGGGATATCACTTATTAATAAACAATCTTATATATGATTTTTATGATCAATCAAACATCTTTCACAAATTATTCTATTTTTGTTACAACTTTTATTTAAACATACCCTATTGATTATTTGATCTATACATTTATCATTCTAACAAAGAACTCTAATTTAATTCATAATTTTAATATTATATAAATTTATTTTATTCACAATTCTTCTTTGAAAAAATTATAATAATTTATATAAGAAGAAACAAATGAAGATATTCTTATTAAATAAAACTTATTTAATTAATTCATTTAATTTACATACTTTCATCTTCAGTTTGAACTTTTTCTTGAGAATTACTCATCTACCTTTTAAAAATTTAATTATAAAAATATACCCAGCAGGAGATAATTCCATATCTTTATTCAAATTTTCTATTTGAAATTCTATTTTCTATGTTCCTGAAAAGACTAAATCATATGCTTGATCAATAGGAATGAAATCTTATCTTGAAATATATTTTTAAAGAAATGATTTCTTTTCTATTGATTCTATAAATCTCTTAGGTAATCTAAACATAGGACCTTTGTATATTATAAATTCTAAAAAAGCAATTAATGCAAAAAATAGCACTGTAAATCGAGTTTGGTTAAATAATTATAAAAATACTAGTAAGCATATAAGATAATATCTAGCTTTAATAACTAATGGGAAAAATAAAAATTCAGTTTCCTCATGAGGTTAAATAAGAGCTCTAAGATTTTAATAATAAATTACTTAGTTGTGATAAAATAAACTGCTACATTCCAAAAACCAAAATGATTGGAATACATCATATCCTTATCATAATTAAATAAACAATATAATCTGACTATCAAAAAGATAAATACCTAAATTATTAATAAAACAATACCATTCCTATACTATTTTTGATTATAAATTCTAACAAATATAAAATACTCCCCAATCTTCTTTCAGCATTATTAAGATCAGGTAGACAACATAAATTAAAAATAAATGATAATATTGAGCCTATATATTTAAATTTATCAAATACCTTAAACTAATGCTGATGTTACTAATTACCAAATGCAAACATATTACAATGAAATTGGTTAAAATTTTAACTAATTGCTTATAAATAATTCTATAATCCAAAATATTGCAGCAATTATAATAAGAAGTTTATTTACTATTGGAGTAGATTGCCAAAAAGCAAATAATATATTCTGATTAAATTAATTCATATTAATTAAATAATGTATTAAAATGTTTCTGTTTTTTAGTTTGATTTTATCAATAAATCTTAAGATATAAATTCTATTTTCATGATCTTATAAAATAATTTTTAATAATAAGATTATTACAGATTTTATGGATTATTTATATATATATATATGATAGATTGAAAAATACTTATATATTGATTAGTTTTTTAAATTCAAGAGGATTCAATGAAACAAAGGATGATATAATAAAATTGATTTAAAATAAAGTAAATTATCTTATAAATTAACTAAATTATATAAATTTTAAAATATAAATATATTTTATTTGACAGTTGTCAACTTAAAAAGATATTTATTTTAAACAAAGTATTTATCTTAGCTGATACTCTGTTCATTTATATTGAAATATATAAATGCTTGATAATATAAATTGTGCACACTTGATTGTAACAGTATTAATTTTAATAATACGTATTTCTTGCATTATAAGTGAATATGGTTCGAATCTTGTGATTTAAATATTCTTTTGTAAATTATGAATTCATTCTTGCTCTATGATCAACAATTTCTTCTTTAGCAATAACTTTTGCTTCAATAACTTGTTTAATTCAATTCATTGATAGCTCTGAGGTAAGCTTTACACTTAATATATGTTTAGAACTGCTTGCTCTCTATAAGTGTAGTAAAGTCCTTAAATTTAACCCCGATCTCCTCAAGAAACTCATACAATAGAACATAATACTATAATAAATGATGAATAAAGCTCATTTGAACTATCTAAATCCCAAAAAATATCGAAAGCCATAAAAAAATCAAAGGTAACAAAGTCAAACAACCAAAATTCTTCTCAAAAACAAACTAAAAAAAAGATATTCTTATCCATGAAAGACATCAAGGATGTCCAATATAAAAAGTATTAAGTTTAATTTATCTAGAAACAAAATCCAAAATGAAAACAAAAATGAAGAGGTAGTAACGAAATAAGAAGAGAAGAATTGATTTGTAATATACTCTCCATTATTTTCTATATTAATATCAAATCCTTTATATTAACATTCCTTTTTAAACCAAAAGTATATTAAACATATATTTTTATAAAAAATCATTATAAAAGTCCACTAACAGTAGCTATTTAAGTTGATAAAAGAGACTTAATACAAGTGTAGAGCAACCATTAATTATAAGGGTTAATATAGATTTATATAATTTTAATGAGAAATAAATCGTATGATCCGTCATTAAATAATTTGCATCGATTTACCATGATAAATTATAATAAATATATATAATTTATAATAATAATTATTTACATTGTAAAAAATTTATATTAAATAATCAAATGTATCTTATTGTTTCCTCTTTATATTACATTAATATCTTACAAATAATCTTACTGGATTAATTTGAATAAAATTATTATAATTTTATCAAAAATTCATATTTTTTATGGCTGAATTAAAAAACCTAAATAAATGATGACACTCTTGTCATAATAAACTAAATTTTGCAATTACATACCAAATATGCAAAAGTCTTTAAGACAATCAAATAAATCTAAGAATTCAGAAAATAAATTATAGAAAGAGTTATCAAATAAATATTGTTAAATAAATAATAATTAATTATGTTGCTTTTCATATTTATTGCATTAGCATCCTCATTAAGAATTCCAAAAAACTTTTTCATTTCAAATATTGAAAGGACAGTCTAATTAACTGATAGATATGTCAATATCTAATCTAAAGTAACTATCAACATCATCTTAAGATTACTTTTTAAAATGATGGAGTAATTCCTATTGAAAGAATATATTATACAATCCATAATGCATTGTCAGATAGATTATATCATGTCAATATAGAAGAAAGCAATTCAAAAAAAATAATAGAAGATGTGGATGTAAAATACAAATAGAATGCCACAGTCTATGAATTTACATTAAAGAGATCAATTGAACCATCTTCCAATTTAGAAGTAGAATTAAATGAATATTATTATAAACGATTTAAACCACTACCTAAAGAAATTGGAGTTGAAGTATTATGTTATCAATAATAAATAGGATGAATAATTAGTCTAATTTATGGATTCTGTATATTTCTTTACTCCTTATTTGGTTAAAAATCAAGTATCTTATTATGAAACTCCAAAAATTATGTATATATCTATTTAATCTATAGTTCTTATTCACTAAAATCAGCCACTTAAAGAAATCAACTTCTAGAATTTGGACCTTTCTAGGATATTAAACCTTTTTCTACATAAATTCACACTATCCATTTAGAAAATAATACACCAATGACTGTTTTTACAAAAGCTTCTAAAATCATAGAAGTATCTCATTGGGGTAATATTTTAATTGAAGAAAACTATTCACTTGAAAATCAAGGAGCAAAATTGAAAGGAGAATTTGGAAGAGTTAATTTTAATAAATATAATCCAAATGTAGGAAAACACTCTTTGAAATAATTATCTGCATAACTTCCTTATGATTCTTGGGGTGTTTATTATAGGGATGAAATTGGAAACATTTCAACTTCTAATGCTGCTAAAGGGGTACATTTAATTATGTTATTATTTAAGAAACTTAATGGGGAAAATTAAGCCTTGATCTAATTAAGACCAAGATTTGCAATATTTGGAGGATGGAGAAGTAATTTTACATTAGGATATAATTTACCAACAAAAAAGTATTTGACACAATTATAATTTAGATATTTAGAATAAGATGGAAATAATTTTAGATTAACTTTAAATTTCTCATTTTCTGTAAGGGAAATGGTATCTGATAAATATAATTTTTAAATTTCCTTACCTGAAGGAGCTTATGATATTCAAGTTGATTTGCCTTTATAAGTCGAAAGAAACGATACACTATTATTTTCTTATTTTGATACAGTCGGTAGACCTACAATCATTTTGGATAAAACTACAACAAGCCAATTCGATGATAAGCAAATTATTGTATAATGATATTTCTAACATAGATCACTTATAAATTTTCTGGAATATCTATTTTAAGAGAGCCTTTGATGATTTTTGGAACATTTTTGTTTGCCTTTTTATTGATCATTTATTTAAGAAGATTAGATTTGTAGACTTTAAAATTAAAAGAGTGATATATTTTAAATTCATATGTTAAATCATTAATCATTTACAAATATTAATTTATATCTTTTTTATTAAATAATAATTAAGACTTTTCGAGTATAGTATTACAATATTATTACAACAAATTGCTTAAACTATAAGTTTTTTTTATTTTATATTTTATCCTTTCAATTCCGAAGATTATAATAATATGATAAGACTCATTTGATTTATTATAATAAATTATTTTTTATTTTTCTGAATTTATTATTCGAAATTTATCAAATATCTACCATGTAACTATAAACCAGGCTTATTTTAAAGTTTAGGAATAATTTTTATGATTTTTGAAATATGAGATTCAAATGTAGGTAATAGTTTATTATAATCTTATGTTATTTTCAATTAATAGCTATATATAATGATCAACAAGTTAATGATTTCATTTATTTTAACTTCTGTAATAATATATTATTAATTATAATGTATTAATATTTAATGTATTATTTAATATTATCACTAATCATTATTCTACGTTTAATTCAACATTAATTCCTGGACCAATCTTGAAGTTTGTAATATCTTTGAAAGTTGGTAAAGTGCATTAGAAATCAATAACTCTTTTGTGAATCTAATTCTTAAATAATTTTAATACTCTCATCTCAAATCTATCCCAAGTCTTTGAACCTTCACCACAAGGACTCTTTCTGACAGTCATTTTAAGATGCTTTGTTGGCATTCTGACTGGTCCTTTGAATACAACTTGTTAGCCTGAATCTCTCTTAATGTTGAAATGTAATCATTACTTGAATTCCTCTAGCCTTTTCTGTAACTTAATTAGTGAAACTTTCCAAATCTTAAGCATTTCTTGATGTAACAATCATTCTAATTTTTTTTACTTATTGTTCATCCTCTCCTTTCTTCTCTTTCAAGTCAGCCATAATATTTTTGGTTTTTTAAAATATATTTTTAATAAAAGATTTAAAATATATTTCCTCTATTTGCTCATTTATTATATTATTATATTCACAAAATTGGCAATCTTTTTCTTGATTCAATATCCTAATCCATCTATATCCTATAATCAATCAAAAACATTCCTTTCATTTTCTATTTTAATATATAAAACATCATTTTAAATACAGAGTTTATAAGACCTTAAAATTAAATGATATTATATATGATATATATTAAAAATGAATTGGAATTAATACTTTAATATAAAGATTCTTAAACAAATAAATATTGAAATATAGTATCACAAATAATTTTTATTATTAACATAATAGGTATTTTTAAACTTATTTTATTATTTATCACAAATAACTTGAATTATACTACTTGTTCAGCATAAAGTTATTTGTGAATCAGAATTGAAATCAATAAAAATTTGTAATTCATTATATAAATACTTATGCAATTATTCTTTTTTGTCTAAAGCTAAATCTTATATTCTTATTAAAGTACATTTGTAAATTCTTAAGACTATGTTATTGATAATTATTCTTATAAAGAATGTTATATTATTTAAATGATTAAATCTCAAATTAACAAAGCAGTCAATCTATAATAATCTATCTTAGATGACAGTCCAGAATTTTGGATACAAAGACCTTAAATATTAATTCAATTCCAGTTATCAGATGAACTCTCTGTTGTTAATAGGAATAGATTAATCTAAAAAACAATATATTTTGGAAGTTATTATCTAAAATATGGAGATGATGTATGAATAATTTTTATTATTAAACAGAAATTCCTTGATGTTAGGAATCTATTTCTTGAAATTGTTTATCATCCAAGAACTTCTCAGCCAGGATTTAGATTAAGTAAAAATGGCGAAAAACTGGATGCATATGGAGATATCTAAAATTGGGTTGAAGTCTTAAGAAAGTATACAATCTAAACAAATTTGTAACAAAAATACAAAATAATCAAAAAAATTGGGGAAGGAAGCTAATTTCAAGTATAAATTACTTTATTTTTCTAAAAAGGTTTTCAAAATTAGAAACAAACTAACAGGGTAATAAAATGCTGTTAAGATATATGATAAATTGAAACTACTGAATTCTCCTTATTTACTTGACCTTGTTAAAAAACAAATTAAAATGAAAAGGCAATTTGATCATAAAAATTTAATTCGCCTATTAGAAATATTTGAAAGTGCCAATCATTTATATGTAGTCGAAGAATTAGTTGAAGGAGGTACTTTAGAAAGTAAACTTTCATCAACAACCTTTAATCAACAATAAATCATACTGATCATTAAACAAACTTTAAATGGATTATAAGAAATGCATAAGAGAGGATTCATACATGGTGATGTCAACCTTAAAGCAATAGGATTCAAAAGTGAATAAGATATGGATTCCTTATGTTTATTACATTATTCTAAAGTGATTTCAATTAATGCAGCAAGAAACTCTACTAAAAAAATGTTAAGTCAAAGGCCATCCTTAAAGAATGATAAAGCTCATACATCTGATTTATAATAATTGGGTATTATTTTAATAAGATTACTTACTGGCTATCAGTTTAATCAATTTAATTTACCTAGTTAAATGGATGATATAAAAAGCATATTAAATTTCTAATAAACAAGCAAGGAATTAGAAGTTTTACTTTAACAATTATTATTAATTGATTATGAATTGTAATTAAGTGATACAAATACTCCACTTGAAGTGTTAAAAAATGATATATTTAAGAAATCAATAGAACCATAAAATTTCATTCTTAAATATCAAACATTAAATGATAAAAGAAGGTCAAGTGAATAAAGTAATAGTGATGATGAATCAATGGAAATTCGTTCTAGAGTTAACACATTACCTAATATTTAAGATAGAAAAAGCGAATCTAGAAGTTAGTCAAATAGAGTTAAGAATATGTTATCCCCACTAAAAATATCTAAATTTAATAAATTTGATTCTGGTTTAAAGCCACCTTCACAAAACTCATAAAGAAGATCAAGTAATTTATATCAACTGCCAAGAATGAATCTTATGCCTAAGATAAAGTAAAAAGTTTGATGATTATTATGATATCATTAATTCTCTCAATTAATTAACAATCATTTTATCTCTAAATTATTTGATATAATTATATATATTTAATAGAAATGCTCTTTAATGTGATTGATGCTCTAAATTATTTCCTATTAAATTGATACTATTAATAATTAGATGTAGAATTAAATTAAAAATATAATTAATAATTTTATAATCATTTTTGATTAATCTATTAGGCTGCCTATGATAAAGTTGCCTAAATTGATTTTTTAGCTGCTTCATTAAATCTTCTTTCTTCAATTTAAACTAATATTTTAGTTATCATAATTACTTTATTTTTATAATTTTGATCTTTGAACATTAGGTATTAAAAATTACTAAACTAAGTCTTTGATAATAGTTTCATCACTATTATATTTTCTTTCGAAGTATTCAACAGGAGTATTCATTTTTTGTTTTCTTAGATTTGTCATAATAGTTGCTTATCTTGTAGCAGCTATAGATTTATTTAAATATATCTACCTTATTCTATAGTATTCTTAAATATCCAATGTAAATATGTATCAACAGTTCCTTAATGTACTCTCATAATTTAATTATATTAAACATCTTCTCTATCTCTTAAGATTTATTCTGCCTATCTAGTACCAGCCTCTTGAATTTCTCTTAATCTTCTATCTTCTTCAGCTGATTTAACCATTTATGCAATTCTTTTTTCTTATTTAATTCTGAGTAACTCTTTGCTTAACATATCTAATGTCTCTGCAATCACTTCTCCTTAAATAGCTTCCAAAGCAGCATTCTTTACTTTTTCTTCATGTTGTTACATTAATATTTCTTCTTATTCAGCTTCTGGTAGATCTGGTATTTTAGCAACAGTTAATAATTCCTCAATTAAGGCAGTTCGCTATATGGATATCAAATTTAGTAATTACCTTCTCTTTTCCTTCATACATTATATTCTACATAGCTCTACCTCTAAATAATCTTTATAGTAAGATAACAGCTGAATTCTTTTTATCTTCTGATTATCTTTTAACTGCTTCTTCTTTGAATTATTCATAATTTTCAAATTTCATTTATTGTCTCTTAACATCACCATTTTCAAATTCTTAATTATATGTTGGAGTTGCAGGTCTAATAATGATATTTTTATTTCCAATATGATCTGCTTAAGTATCATTTGATTAATCTTATTTATTTGATCCAAATATTTAATTTCTAGCTTTATTGACTTCTATCTTATGTTGAATTTCTAATCTTGTGTAATCCTTCTCAATAATTTTAATAAATTGAGCTACATTTACTGTAGTTTCTAAAATAGATGGTTTTATTGTAGTTGATAATTCAGTCAATCCTTTATAAGTATTTAATGCAACTGGTTATACTTCATATTTGCTAGCTATTTTATCCAAACTTAATCCTTCTCTTGTAATACCAGCATAAACTTTAGATGCAAAATTAGCATAATCTTCTATAATTTCTCTACCCTTATCTTCATTATCTATTTCTTTTCTGCTTTTCTACATTTTTCTAAGTATTTTTATCTTTCTCTTTTAAATTTTAGCCACCATTCTATTCTTTAACTCTGTTTTCTTAATTTTTATGCTTTCTATTCTTTAAGCATTCTTTTCTTCTACATCCTTTTCTCTTTCTTTTAAAGCCTCTTACAATAAATATAATCTCTCATTCTAATTTCTAACTCAAATTATAATTGGAATTACATCTTAATATCTGTTTCCTTTTTCTTCCATTCTCTTTCTTCTTATGACTTCATTAACACTCTTCTCAATTTAAATGAAGCTTCATCTGATATAGGAGGCAATGCATTCTCAAACCAAACCTTTTCTCTATTCCATTCTATCGACTCTAATTCTTCAATTGAAGCAGGTAATCCCTTATCCCATTTTAAATGTTGCAATGCTAATATTTCTATATTTTAATCATCATTCTAATCATGTGCTGGTGTATATGGGTCAGTTTAGGCTTCAGCTTCTCTGTAATCAGTTTAAATTTCAACATCTTTAACCTATTTAAATAAAAAGTAGGATAACTCTTTCTATAGTCACTTTTGCTGGAGGAGGTTATTCTTTCACTTATTATACAGGAGGTTGACTCAATTTTATAGGAGTATCAGTCATTGTGGGTACTAAAGGTCTTTTGAAATACAGAGGACGAGATGTTCCACTAATGTAATTTTACATGGATTGATTCCTGTATTGATCATGTAAGACATAAGCTTCTTGCATTGAATATTTTTTTTTAATTTTATTATTATTCAAAAAAAAAATATAAAAAATAGGACCTACTTGGATTCGAACCAAGGTCTTGAGGGTTAGAGCCTCAGGTACTAACCGCTATACGATAGATCCAGTAATGCTAAATTCTATATTATAAACTAAATATATTATTATTTTATTCCTAGCCTATCATATATCTTCTTGAATAAATGTAGTTATTATTATAAACATTTATGTGTATTCTATAAAAAAGTGTTATCAACAATATCATATATATTTAAATTGATGAGGAATAATCACACTCCATATAATATTAACATAAGAAAATATATAATTTCGAGTATGAACTATTATATAATTAAAACAAAAGAAATAAAAATAAAACTATATGTAAATTGTTGATTTAAGATATTAGGATTATATTTTAAAAGAATTAAAAGATTATTATATTATTAGAATATTAAATAATAAATAAATTTGATAATATTCACAAATCAAAAACTAACGCACTTAAATTGAATTAGTTTGCTCTTTAACATTATTATAATTTATATTCTTTCATAAAATTACACAAATTAGAGGACTAGGACAAGATTCAAAATGAATGTAATGAATAAATAAATATATAATGTAATACTTATCTAAATATTAATCATAGTTAGTATTTTATTGGGAAGATATTTAGGATTGCAAACATGGAATCTGAATATTAAGTGTAAAATAAATATAGAACCAAATCAAGATCAAATATATCTATCATTTGATAAGTTTTGTTTAATGATATAAGTTAAATGAGTGTTAATTGTTTAGTCTATGATTCTAATTTTGTGCAATATATTATTTATATTATGCATAAGCAATAAGATAGAACTTATTCAATTTGAATGAATTATAAATATCTGTTATACTTCCACGATATTAAGTTAAAAATTCTATATTATTAATATAAAAATGGGTAATCAATGCTCATCAAAAGAGAATCCTTTATCTGATGCACCAATATCAAGAACTACTACATCAAAGATTTCAGTTCAAGATAAATTGCTAAAAGATAACAATACCTTTATAAATTCATGCACTGAAACTTATTTTAAAAAATTTCACAAGGTATTATAGACATTATGTAATATTAGAAAATAGTAGAAAATGACATATAAGAATTATGTAAAAATATGAATTAGAAAAAGTTGTTTGTTAAGATAAAAGGAAAGTATCCTGATGATGGTGAATAATAGATAATTTATAAAAAGATTTCTAATGATATACAATAAAAGGGGAAGCATCTCTATAATTAGTTGATTTTGCATTATAGTTAATTTTTGAATGAGCTTTTTGAATTTGATGAACAATTCCCTTTAAAATCTATAACTTCATATAATTATGGAGATGTAAAGACCAGTACATAACTTGTGAGAAATGTTAGTTACAAAAGAAGTTTATCTGATAATTTTAGAATTTAGCAACCATCATTTCAAGATAAAAATATGACATAATAATCAATTAATAATTAAAATATTGCTAGACAATTTCTTGATAATCAACAATTGGCATACTTATTTTTAGAATAGTTAAGTTGCATGTTTAAACTTTGTTCTACTATTATAGAATATATATATGGATAGTTTATCACTTCTATATTTGGCACAGATATTGATGCTTTTACAGATCGATAATTATTTATAAGTAAGATATATTAAAAAGACCTTTTTAAATCTATACCTTAATTATCTTTATTGTTATCTAATGCTTTACCTATAATTTATAATAGTAGATCAGCTTTAATTAGTAATGATTGTGCATCACCTCCTATTTTAAATCCAAGTTTAATGCCTTAAATGACTGAAAACATTTAGACTGAATATTTCTTTGATTTATTGGATTCGACAGAATAAAAAATAGATCAATAATCAATATTAAATGAATAAAATTAGAATACATAGCCTTATTCTTAAACCTTTGCCTTAATTGATAGTATTATCAATTGTAAAATGCCTTGGTTGAAATTTAAATTGATAGGAAAATTAGATAATTTAATTGTGGAGATCTTTTTATCATCTCGATAAAATACCTAAATTTCGCATTTTAAAGATATCATCCAACCTGAAGATTCTAAAATTGAAGTGTTAAAATATATATTACAAAAATATATGTGTTCAAGCAAAAGTTAAAATCTATTATTATGTTATTATTATTTAAGATGGATGTAGGAATATGATTCAGTAATACATTAGAAATTAAAAACATTTACATGTCCTTATTTTGTTCGATTTATATCATTATATGAAGTGGCATACAATTACTATTAAAAAAGATCAGCAATGTTTTTATTTAATTAATGAATTTATTTAATGTTATTTTTATTATTTTTATAAATTGCTTATGCCAATTAAAATGAAGACTATGTTCACTTCAATTCAACCATTAGTGCTAATCTAAGATATGGATAATTTATATAATTAATTCCTAATACCTTTGGAATGGGATATAATAATTAAACTCCAATTGTTGATGGAACAGCTGTCATTAATTTGACTATAAGTTCTCCAGTTAAGAATGAATTTGACTTTTTTGTCTTTGATTCTCCTTATAATTAATTTTATGTTTGTTACATACATTTTTCAGAAAGAGCAGGGAAATTATGTTAATAATTAGTATCAAGTATATGTCAACCTTGCCCAAAAGATTAGAAATACTTTTAAATTTTAGTATCAGTATTTTTATAATCAGTGATGAGTGTTCAATTAAATTATTAGAATCAAATTGTAAATGCTACTAATATGAATTCATTATGTTTTTTAGGTTGTTAGAGTGATTAAGTAGGTTAATTTATAATTGCTAATACTTCTTATGAAAATTATTAGAATGCAGCTTCATATATGATATTAGATAATACACCTTTCCCAAACCTTGTTAATTGTAACATAACAATCATAAATTGTGAAGATGTAAATTCTGAAATAATAAATAATATATCAGATGTTAGTTTTTTAAATTTCTGTTCACTTATGAGAAATATAAGTTGTGTTTAATAATTTTAAAATATAACTTAACCAGATATCTAATTTGATATAGATTTCAATATTACAGTAAATTTTAGAATAATATAATTAGGTAACTCCAAATAATTATCTATATTATGTCCAATACATGGTAATGATTATTTTAGTAATCATAATTGTCTTTTTATTTATTATTTTATGTGTTATTGCAATGAGATATAAACGAGTTAAAAAGAAAATCTATTAAACAATTAAGAAAAAAAAATGATATAAATATGAAGTTATGATTGATTTATATTTTTTCATTAAACACCTAATCATAATATATATTATAGATACTAATCCAGCTCCACAACTTTTTATTAATATTTCTATTGTTTACATCTTTAATAAATATTTTTATCAGCAATTAAAATTATTAAGTAGCTTTAATTAAAGAATGAGATTTATAAGATTATTAAGCTAAATTATATTCTCAAAAAGAAATAAGTATATTTTAATATATACTATATTTCAAAGCATTATATTAAATACATATATAATTAATTTGACGATAAATAAGACCTTTTATCTAACAGTAATTATTTAAGCATAATAGAAGAGTTTATTAAAGCACTTATAAAAAATTATTAATTTTTTTTATTATTTTCTTTTCAATCCTTTTTCATTTTAATATCTAGAGTATTAATGTTTTATAAAATTTATTAATTGAGTCTTATTACTTATTCTGAAGATCAGAATTCTTTTAAATATGAGTATAAAGTGAGATGAGTTATATAAAGTGAGAATAGATTAGAATAATATGTTTTAGTTGATTTTGATTTTAAAATTTAAGATTTTATTTTGTTTAAAATGTCCTAAAAGAAGCAACAAATGCAAGTCGAGTAAGTTATTGTATTGATGATTTAGATAAAAGGTTCCTGAAAACGTCGCCAAGAAGACCGTCAGAGATACTAAATTGAGGGAAGCTGTTGCTAAGAGAAGAACAGAGAGATTGGCTGCCAACAAAACTAGAAGAGCTCAATGGGAAAAGAATGCTTAAGCTTATGAAGCTGAATATAAGGCTGCAGACAAGAGCTTAGTTGATAACTTACGTAAAGCTAAGACTGAAGGTGGATTCTATGTTCCAGCTGAAGCTAAATTGATTTTGGTTGTCAGAATCAGAGGGTATTATTTATTTTACTAATGAAAGTATCAACACCTTGAATCCACAGGTTAGATAAACCTTGAGACTTTTAAAATTAAGATAACTTCATAATGCAGCCTTTGTTAGAGTCAACAAGGCCACAATTGAAATGATCAGAAAAGTTGAACCATATGTTACCTATGGATATCCATCAAGAGCTGTTATCAAGAATCTTATTTACAAGAGAGGATATGCCAAAGTTAATGGTTAAAGAATCCCAATCACAAACAATAATGTCATTGAATAATAATTAGGAAAAGTTGGTATTCACAGCATTGAAGATCTCATTCATGAGATTGTTACAGTAGGACCTCACTTCAAAGAAGCAAATAGATTCTTATGGTAATTATTAATTCTTAATTTTTTAGGGCATTCAAATTGAGAGGACCAAGAGGTGGATTCATTGCAAAGAGAAAATCTTTCATTAATCAAGGAGATTGGGGAAATAGAGAAGATCTCATCAATGATCTTGTCAAGAGAATGATTTGATTGAACAGTAATTATATATACATTAATAAATAAATAAATCAATTATTTCATGAATAAGTATCGAGGCAAGTATGATGATAGTTACAAAGTAATTAAAACTGAAGGAAATTAAGATATTAAATCTAAAATAACAGAACAACATTTAAATAGATTGACTACTAGAAAAACACCTTCGATTACTTCATAATTGATTAAATTTCCTATTTAAAATCAAGAAAAGAAAGCTAAATCACCTATTCTAAAAGAAGAAAAGATCCTAGACTTATTATGCTTATCAACTTAATAACTTAAATAAGTGTTCAAATAACCTCCAACCATATCCACCCGAAAGAGTATAAAAGTTATAAGAAACACTTCATTGCCTAAAGATTTCTTTACTGTGTGATAATATGATTGTATTATTAATATATATAATTTTAAAACATTTTTGTTCTAAAAGTATCAAGTCATATACTATATCGAAACAATATGTATATCTTCCATTCTATTTAATTCATAAAGAAAAAATGGATAGAGAAGGGATATTAAGAGTATTTTACGATTTTTTAAATTACATAATAATTTAAAATTTATATTTTCCAGAAAATTGAATGTAATTATTCTCTGTATGTAAATCATATATTTTATAAGATGTATATATCTAAGTTAAAATAAAAGCTTAAAATTTATTTATAATTAATAAATTTGATTGATGTTTGAACATGTTAAATGAATTATAATATATATTATTAAATTTTCGGACTTATTTAACAATATTTATATGAATAATATATATAATGGTTATAAATTTTGATCGATCAATTTTAGTTTAAATCTTTATTGAAATAAAATAATTTTAAAATCATTTTATATTTAAGATTTATTTCTTTTTTCATTAATTATTGAAAAAATACTAGATATAATTTTTATTTGTAAAATTTATCTCATTTTGTCTTAATCAATTTTTAATTAATATATTACATTTATATGATAATTATTCAATAAGATTTATAGAATAATTAATATATTAAGTAAAGAAGACAATTAAAATTAATGAAATTCAAAAAAGATTTATCATAATAATTGTTTAGATCACTAAATATAGTGGTTTATTTGAATTAAGTATATTTTAAAAATTGTAATTTCAATGCACGAAATTAAATAAAATATTTCAGGTTGATTTCCAATTTTACCCATCAAATATCAATATTCTTCTTTAATCCTATGAACAATTTCCATGAATATCTTAAACAACATTTTACAATGCCCATATTCTACCTTAATAAATCATAGGAGTATTATTCCAAAAACCTTCAGCTTATGGAAGTTATTTAGCTTCTACAACTTTAGCTGTTGTTTCATTTATTTCTAATATCATACATTCTTTTGAACCCTTATTATTTTCATAATACCCTCCAAAAATCATTAATTAATTTTAATCAATTTAAATTGAGCACATCATTGAAGCTAAGTGTAATTAAGATGTAATTGTACAAGGAACCCATCTATCAATCATTAAAAATTCAATTTATTGATTAATTTTCAAATTTTGAACTAGAATTATATTAAATATTTTTACTTAATCCTCCTGATACTGTAATAGTATCATTAAAAACACAAACACTTGGAGATGCTATTGCATTAGTTAAGTTTGGCAAACGTCTTGTTCTTCTGTTAATACAATCAAACACTTCACAATTTTATGATATTATTAAATTGTCTAAATAACCACCAATTAAATATAATTCATTATTTTTCCATGTTAATCCATGAGAACTTCTCCCATAAGTCAATTATCCTACTTCCTATAATTAATAATTGGAAAAATTAAATTAATAAATCTTTCCACTTTTTTTATTATTTGGAAGGGATCCTCCAGTTAAATAAATTTAACCATCAGGTGTCATAATTGACTTAGAATAAGGTAAAACTTCAACGTAATTTGATATTTGTACAGGTCTCCAAATTTATTCTGGCAAACTTAAATCATATAACCATAAGGTTGATTTTCCAGTTTCAAAAAAGTGGAGTAATTTATATTTCCCTCTAAAGTACTCATTTTATTATAGATAGGTTTCTTAATATTATGAAACATGGCTTTAGCTAAGGAAATTAGTATTTTATAATGGAATAAAATCTAATTTTGCATAATTATTTAAAGCTGATTATACATGCTATAAATTGGCTTAATTTAATTAAACCATTATTTATTATGTTGTCGATTTATTTTATAAGTTTTTCATTGTTTTTTTGTATTTTAATAAAGTTTTCTTTAAATCCATTGTGCAGATTTTCTTAATGAATTGAATTAAATTTGAGCTTTCTAAACCAACATTTAAATGTTCTAACTCATTCATTGTATTTTTAATGCTTTCTTATAATTGATTAAATGTTTATAAAGAATTGGATTATTATTCTAAATATGACTTATATTATTCCTCTAAAGAGTAAAAATGTTAGGTTACTAAAGTAATTGCTATTTCCTTGCCTTTTCGAATTTCTTTAATTGTTTAATCATCATTATCATTCAATCCATATTAGTCGGCATCTTAAATAATTTTTTATATCTCTTGAATTCCAGTACTAATTTTCTTTAAACATTGCTATTTAACATTTTTAAAGCTATCAATATCTGCACTTGTCTAAACTTGTTGATGATATTTTGTATGAGATTCAATGCATTCTGGACACAAAGGTTTTAAACATTCTGGATTTTAACAAAAATTGGTAAATTATTCTGTTGGATGATTTGAACAAAGTTATTTGATTAATGGATTTTAGGGTATGTGATGACTCATATGGATATTAATTTTATTTTTATTAAATTATTAAAAAATATAAAAATAATAATTATATAATTTTCATAAGCATATGAATATAAATTTTATATTTCTAATATATCATTATATATATTTATAACTCTGATATTGGCCTTGAACCTTACTATTTAGATATTTAATTAAGCACCAATTAATTATCTTCGATAATACTATTCCATAATATCTTAGCTGCATCTGATTCCACATTATTTAATTCTTTAATTTGATCAAAACTTAACTTATTCAATTCAGGATTGCCAGACAATTATGAATTAAAAAATGATTTTTAATGTAATTTTTCATTTTTAATAACAAAAAGTATTTATATATATATATAATATGGTCTCAATAATTATTTTATATTAATTGTATCTCATAAATTTACATGATAACTTTTGGTATGATAATGGAGAACAAATAAAATGATAAAAATATCATGTGATATTTATAATTAAATAATCATTCAAAATTATTCAACTTTGAAAAGCTTTATTTATCTTACTATAAAAAATATACTTAAAATATTATAAATTTTTTAATTTTTCTCATGAGTAGGGATTCATAGTAAAAAGTGTTTCTGAATAGATTTGTAGTGAAAAAGAAAATCTCATCAGGTGCTTTTGGAGTGGTCTTTCTAGTTTTTGATAAATAAACTAATTAGGAACATGCACTAAAATTAGAAAAAGAAGATAATGAAGAGATGAGATCTTTAGAAAGGGAAGTGGAAATTCTGAAATAACTGAATGAAGCAGAGGGGACTCCAAAATTGATATGGTTTGGAACAGAGGATGAATTTAATCTGATGGTTATATAATTATTAGGGAGAGATTTGTCATTTTACTTTAGACAATAAAAAAAATTCAGTCTTAAATGTTCTATTTAGATTGCTTATGACTGTGTTTAAATACTAAGAAATATACATAATAGAAATGTTATACATAGAGATTTGAAACCTGAAAACATTTTGATGTCCAAAGATAATGAAAGTCTATACATTGTTGACTTCGGTATTAGTAAGGTTTATTGCGTTTAGGGTGAACATATGTACATTTTGTTCAATTTCAATCTTTTTAGGCCATTTCGTAAAGATAAAACATTTATGGGTACTCCAAGATATGCCTCAATAGCAGCACATTTAGGTCATGAAATAGCAAGAAAAGATGACTTAGAATCCTTATTTTATGTTATTCTTTATTTTCTTCGTGGTAGCTTGCCTTGGTAAAATTTACCTGTTTCTGAAAATGAAAGAACCAAAGCAGTTGGAGATATAAAATAAAACATTGACTTAAATGATTTATGTGCTAATCAACCTTATGAATTAGTTGAGATCATGCAATATATAAAGAATTTAAGTTTTTCAGATGAACCAAATTACTAATACATTTTATAAATGCTTAATTAGATTGCTGAAAATAATTAATTTATACTTGATGGAATTTATGATTGGACAGAAGGTTTGATGAAATCAACTAAAAAGTTCAGTTCTTTAGAATCTAAGAGATCTTTTGAATTTAATAAAATAAAAGAACATTCTCCAGGACCTATTATGAAAAGCTCATCTAAATTATCTAATTAAATAATATGGACAATAAATGAATAACCATAACATGGACAAGTAAAGTAAATTATTCTTAAATATAGTTTCCAAATTCTTAATAACATTTATTGTAACCTCCTGATCCAAATAAGAAACCAGGACAAAGAAGTGATTTTAGGCATCTTTCAAATTCATCTTCTAATTCTAATGTTGGTTCTTTTAGTTCAATGAAAATAAAGTATTTACCATCTTAGATTGAAATTGAAAAACCATCTCTATTTCCAAAATGGGAAAAGACATATATTTAATAGGATTCATAATATTAAGAATAGATGGATGAGAACAATTTTGAAATTCCTTTAGAAATTAAATATAAAAATTACACCAAGATTCAATTATTAGAGTATTTACTGATTTTATTTTAGGATTTATAACAATGGATTCAATAAATTTCTTGAAAACACTTATTGAAAAATTAAATATATTGTAAAATAATGTTCTTTTTTTGACCATCCCTTTCTCCAAATAAAAATAAAGATACTTTATTTATTTATATTAATTGAATTTATTAAATTTCAATAATTAAATGAATTCATTTAGAAGAGTAGTAACCAAAACTAAAACTAGTATCTTTTTGCATAAAGAGAGCATTGATAATGTTTTAAGAGAACAATTAGCTGCATTAAGATTGCTATAACCAAAAACTTAAGTACTAAAAATTAGTAATGAAGATCGTTGATCAAAAATTAGAACAACGTAAATAAGAGTTATTATATGAAATGAGTTAAGAGAATCTATAGAAGGATGATAATGTTGATATAGCAGGATTTTAATAGATTTTTGCTGAATTGTCTTACATTAATAACAAAAAAAGATCATAAATATAAGAAGATATAATGATGAAGAATGATTAAGTTATTACGATTCCAGAAATAGAATTATAAAATGAGATTGATTAAGAGATGGATTGTAAATAGATATTAGAAAAAAGAATTGATTAGATTGAACATTCAGTGAGAATTATAGAAAAACAAAATAATTTATTGAAAGAGTAAATTGAATTATACACTAAAAATGAACCTAAAATTCAATTAAAAGAGATTGAAAACAAATAATAATTGTCATTTTTTATACATTATATTAATACCATTAAAAAAGCAATGAAATTAGAAAAGGAATGGTAGACTTAAAAAATTGAAAAATTAAAATATAAAGCAGAAAAGTCTTAATTAATAACAGAGGCTAATTTAAAAGAATTATTAGAACAAGAGGATAGAGAAATGTCATTATTGCTTAAATATGAATAAACAAGTGATCTTATTAATTAAATTGATGAAGATATTAAAACTAAATTTCATAAAATTGAAGAATGTGCTGAATTATTAGAAGAATTTGATGATATTGATAAATTAAGATTAATATTTGTTTTAGAAAACCCAAATGATTTTGAACTTGATGAGATTTTATAACATGTTAGATGTTAATTAAGATAACCATTTTCAAGATTATAATTAGCTTCATCTTTATAAGAATATATAGATAGGGCAAGATTTAGTGGAGTTTCATCAAGAATAAAGATATTTTTTAAATTTCATGATAATGATTTGAATTATTCAATTAATTAATTGATATAAGTTTATAGAAAATTATAATTTCAAGATGGAACATTAAGAAATAGATATGAAGATTTACTAATATAAAAAGGATAATTAATTAATCATTTACTTTTTTTGAATTAATTGTAATTTTATGAATTAGATGAACCTGAATCTATAGCACCATAAATAGATGAATAATAACATGAAATGGCTCAATATTTTAAAAATATTTAAGTAAGATATTTATCAAATAACAAATATTTTTTTGTTAGAATTTTTACAATGCTTACAACTGTATTATCTAGAATACTAAACTCTTTGTACAATATAAAAGAAATATTGAAATCATGTAATTCTGATATGTTTGGACATGAGTATTTAATTATATTTATTATATTAGGTTCTACTTAAAATGGACATATAATAAAATGTTTATTTAATTATCTTAAGTAATATAATAATTAGAGAAATAATATAAAATTAAATTAATAGCTAAAGATCCAAGTATTAGAAATTCTAATTAATTTTTAAATGCCATATATGATCATATTGAGGAAAAAGCTTTGCGTGAAAAAACTTTAATAAATCCTCAACAAAAATAAACAATTGATTAAATTTTGCCTCAACTTAGTCCAGAATCTATACAAAAAATATCTTAATTAATCAATTAAGATATTTTCTTATAATAATTTTTTAGCATATAAGATTTAGCTTAATTATTAAATAATTAGAATGCTTGTTTGAATGAATCTGAAGTGATAAAATTGATATAAATTGAAGGGTATGATTTGGCTCATTGTGAATTGAGATCTTCTACAAATCATTTATTTAGAGTAATATAAGATATAATAATTGAATGCAGAACTGTAAAAGAATCTAGTGTTCAAGCTAAGAGTCTAGCTAAAAAGTATCACATTTAAGAGATTATTGATAAACATATGTCATCATATGAATATAAATAAAAAGAATGGAAGAAAGAAGTTATAGAAAATAAAATAAAATAAATTGAACATTAATTTGATGAAATATCAGAAGCTCCAACAACTCCAGAGATGAAACTAAAATCAAGTATTGCAACAAATAGTACACATGTAACATCTTAACCATCAAAATTAATCTTGAATAGCTAAATGACAAAAGAATCTACTTTATTAACTCCTACTTCAAATAATCTAAGAAGATATTTGAATACAGTAGAATCTTAAATTCCTAATAAGAAATCATATCTTCCTAAAGAACCTATTTTTGCTCATTTACATTAAATGAGTAGAAAAATTAAAAATGAAAAGATTTCTACTTAAACACATTTAAGAACTTTTACTCTTTAAAGTATTGATTCAACAAAATAACACAGTTAATAAACTATCCCTCTCAAATTACTACCTTCAATACCTGTATAGAATTTTTCATAAAATCTCTTAAAATAACCAACAAATAAAATTATTAATAGATAAAACAGAAAAACTCAAATTGTTAAAACTGAACCAACTGTGAAATTAGAAATTAAATAAACACATAATTTTTCAGACATATACGAAAAATCTAATAAAAAAATATTTGAATTTTTTAGAAATACTAGTATGAAAATTAAATGAATTATAAAATATTTTTAATAAATCATATATCTTACAGTGGTACTCTTTCTTCTTCAGATTTTCTTTAAGTTGGGGATCGATGATCTGAATCTAAAGAATATACTAAATCCTTGTAATTTTCATTTTCCCTTATTTCATAAGTAGCCAATTAAACAGATGATATCTGATCATAAATTTAGTCATAAGTTTCCTCTTAAGCAAAATCTACAACCTTTAATATTTTTATAAATAAATACCACAGCTTCAGAATCACAACAAACTTTTACTAAATATTACAATGGATTAATAAAAAAGTATTTAATTATTAAGATTATTACAAATATGACTCCTAAAATTGATATTTATGAAGAGTTTGAAATTCTAATCCAAACAGAATCTTTTGATACATCCAAAAAACCCTCATTATCAATTAGAGCATCTGATGATGAAGGAAATATATAAGGGTGACCATAAGCCCATATTGCTATCAAAATATGCATGATAATAGAATAGGGAAGTAAAGTAAAGACTGAATCATGTAATGCTTCATCATATGAAGGAGGTTTACGATAAAATTTAAGAAGTAAAAACTTCTAAACTAAAAAGTGAATAAGTAATGCTAAAAATCCTAATGGTAACATTAATGGGATTAGAGAACAATAAAATAAAGTTACAAATATAGTGTTAAGGAGATTCGCATAATATAAGTCAAGATCAAATTCTGGTCCAACAGAAAGTTTATTTAAGTCTCTTTAAATTTTTGCATTAGCTGCTTCTCTCTTTCTAAACCAATTTTTTATTGGGTAAAGCACAAAGTCAATAAAATAAGGAGAAAATATATTTATAATCCAAGTATTAACATATGCTGCTCCAACTACTGCATACCACTCTCTATTAAAATCTGAAGGGAAAACTTCTTTTTATTATGCTGATTACAATGGAGGAATAGGAGAACTTAAATAATATGATAATTTGAATCCATAAATGTTTGCTTTCAAAATCAAAGTAATTAAAGCAGTATTGACAAATAATGATATAAAGAGTTTAGTTAAAGTACCTGATAATTTTTTACTTAAACTCTGATATCTTTCGAAAGTTACAATACTTTTTATTAATAATTAAAGTAAACTATTTACTATTAAAATTACAAAAGCAGAAGCTATTTATAATGCTTGTATTCCAGTATACTAATAGATAATATCTGAACAATAATCAAAATAATCAGCATAAAGAGTTGTTAGACTTAAATTCATACAAAAACATTATTAAATTTAAGATTTTTCACTTGCTGTAGATGCTTAACTTATCCATTATTAAGTATTTTCATAAGTATAATCTCTTATTTCACAATCTTCTGGACTATATTTACTTACTACATTTATAGCAAAAACAATGAAAAAGGTTATGATCATCAAACAAAACACTCCCAAACCAACTATTATTTACCTTAAAAATCTATTTGATGAAGAAACTTCGAGATTTTCCCAATTAATATTACTAGGATTATCTACTTAAGGTATTATTTTTAAAACATTGCCTTTATATAAATATTTGTCTTCTACTTTTTTACCACAACATAAAGTTTAAAAAAAATTGAAATTAGTATTTGTTTTGTATTCTTTAATAAACATATTTTTATCACCAATTCTTTAGAATATTACAAATGCCATTAAAGTAGGGTATTCATCATGTTTCAATCTTTTACCTATAGTATTCTTTATAATTGTTTCTCTTTCAGCCTATATTTCTTATAATTCTTTTAAATATTTCTATTTAATTTTTGGATCATAACTAAATATATATATAATATTAATTACTCTGGATAACGTGCTTTGATTTCCTCTCCTTTAAGTTTGATTTTTAATTCAGCTTCTTATTTGTGAAGTAATAAAGTATTTGAATAATTCTTAGCATATTTCACTTCTTTAACCTTAAATCCTAGATCTTCAATAAAATTTTTTAATTTATTCGGATCTCTCTCATCCTCTCTTAATCCTTTTATCTAATAATATTAGTATATATGTATACTCCAATTGAAAAATTTGCAGGAACCTTTTCTTTCACTAAGGATTCACTAATAGATTTGTTAGACCAATATGTAAAGCCTAAATAAAAGAGTATGAATATTAATGTATAACTGAAATCCATCCATGTTAAAGTAGAGAGCCACATTGATGAATCAGTATAAAATTATTGAATATCTGATGTAGTATAGGTGGTTCCACTACTACTTTCTATTTTGTTTTAATTACCAACACTCAATTTCTAAAAATAAATTTCAAGATTACTTATAATAAATTAAGGTTCTTCCATGCATCTAATCCATTTCCTGTAGAGTTAAAATAACAAATTACACTTGCTATTATACTCATGATAAAGAAAACATAAATAGCATATTCTAAGAATTTAAAATACAAATATAATCCTAAACCATGTTTCTTGAATTCATCTAATCCCACAGTAAATTCATATGGTGTCAATTGACCAGTTTCATCTTACTTGAAAAACATGTTTTATAAAATATATTCATTTGCCTTTATAGGGTCACTCTAAAGTTAATGATACTTATATACTGGTCTGATGTCATCCTATAATTCTTTGATGACAATAGCACTTGATTTTATTGGAAGAGGAACAATTTTGCTCATATTTAAGTTAGCAATTATATGAATAAAATTGATAATAGTAATTAGTATATGAAACAACTTAATAATACATATAAATATCAATATTGATAAGATACTTTCATTAAAATTCTCTTTAATTGTTATAAAAATATCAATAGCATTTTTAACTGATATGATATTATGATCTTCAAAAATTATATTAATATCTAGTAAGATTAATATTTAAGTAATTATCAAAATTTTCAATATTTATTTAGTGTAACCAAAGTAAATAAGTGATATATAAAAATAGAATATAGATAACATATTAATTAACATTTAAAAAATCAGAAAACCTAAGTAACTTTAGATGTTTCAGAATATGTTAACAATATAATTAAACAAATAATTAAAAATATCAATTATAAGTAATTGATTAAAATAGGGCAAGACTTATTAATTTTATAATTAATAAATTATATATTGTTTTCTATTATTTATTATTTCAAATTCTGTGATAGTATTTATATTATTTGATCAAGTTTCTTAAATAAATAATCAATTTAATTCATACAGGTGTGAAATATCTTATTTTTTATCTTCGAATAAAACTCCAATAATAATAAAATGATATTAAATGAATTGATAAATAAAAGGTATTGGTACATTAATAAGAATTGGAGAATTCGACATCAGATACTAACAATATAGATCGCTAGTTTAATTTTGGTTTTTGCCTTATTGACAACAATCATAATTGGAGGTCAAATTTTAGTTCAAAAAAGCATTCAAGAATCTGCAGATATAATATTTATTAGATAAACTCAATCAGAATTAAATAGTGTATGGATGTACAAAAATAACATTCTAACACTCTTAAATTCTGCTAACAAACAGATTTCAATTATCAATAAGTTTAATCACTACTTCTAATCAACTTCATTTAATATAGTTGATCCAGTATAATGTTTAAATAAAGAGAATACAAATGATACTTACAGTTATAGTTCTTCATTCTGTTTTGGCATATTTAATGAGACTTGTACTTAAGAGGACATCAAAGAATTAAAAATCGTTTATAAAATAACATCTATTCTAACTTAATTTAGAAATTCAATTGATAATACCTAAGCTTTATATTTTAGTCATGCAAATTATGCATAATTCTATACACTAAGTTAAGGTTTTTATTTTAAAAGTGGATTCAAACCGCACACAAGACCATGGTATACATTTCATAGAAATTAAACAATTAATAGCACAAACATAAAGGAAATTATATATGGGAATCCTTATAAAATTTTCCTTAGTGGAGGTGGGATTCGTATAGCAATGACATCAAATTTAATAAGTATAAAGAATGAAATAGAGGGTGTGATTGCTAAAGATATTGATTTTAATTAAACATAAGCTTTAAAATATTAGGATGATTAAACCACAGTCACTATTATAAATTTAAAAGGATAAGTCATTTATAGTAAACTTTATGATAATCCTAATTAAACTATATTTTCTTTAATGGATTAAAATTATTCAGGTTTTAATCAAACAGATTTTGAATAAATTTTAAATTATCATAATAAAGTAAATTATTCTAGCAGTTGTAGTAATTTTAAACAATAAGATAATGTTCTTTGTAGATATAATTCAAAATTAAATGATTCTAGTATTATTTAAACAGCTAATATAAATGATACTCCATATATACTATTACTAGTTAAAAATACTAATTACTTGAAATTAGTTTAATTTTTATAATTATCTCTTATAGTTGATGAATATAATAATATCATTCAATAACATCTCATTATATTCTTATGCATAACACTATTAATCATATTTCTAACATATATGATTTCAATTCTATTATTAAATTAACTAAATATCCTAATTATGCAAACTAATGATCATCTTTTTAATAAAAAAGCTTCAACTTTCAAAAATGGAGTTTTTAGAAACAAATATTATTTTCAATCAACTGAAGTAACAAACCTATTATTAAGTGTGATTGGATTGATGCATAATATTAATTCTAATAGAAAAAATGAAGAATGTTTATATGAAGAACAAAAATAATTTCCTAAAATAATTAGAATGAATGATATTGTTAGATATGTTATTAAAAGTTAAATAGATACACTATAAAATAGATTATTGTAAAATAAAAATAAAATTAATAAAAAAGATTTGAGGATATTAATAAATTACTTTAGATAACCTGAAAATTTCACATGAAGATTTAATTATAAATATTCTTTTTAAATTGATATATTTTTGTGTTAATTTTTTCTACTCAAAATTTCATTTGTATGTCAACTTTGTTTTTTTTAATTTAAATATTAAATTCATATTTTAAAATATTAGAAATAATATTTCGTCATAATAATTAAAATTTCTATAAGAATAATATTCTAATAAATAAAAAAGTATAAACTGATTATCTAGTATTAGATACTTCAATTTTATGACTTTAAGCTTTACTTTTAATCTTACTATAAAAAAAAACAATTCTTTGTATTAATATGAAATAATATATTATTTAATAATTTGTGGTATAATTAATAAATATTAATTATAATGGTCGAAATCATAAAAATAAAAATTCCATTAATCTTTAACTTCTAAAGTATATGAAAAAGATTATTTTTGTACTAATCAAATTATAGATAATAATTTTTAATAAGAATATTTTTTGATCTTAATATGTATTTTTGAACCCTACAAGTCAAATTCACATTAAAATTTTGATTATTACATATTTTATATTCATATAACTGAGGGTTTTTAATATTAGTTAATAATTATTTTAAAACTATTTATACCAGAGCATTATCATTTTCACTTTAATTATTATTATTACAAAATTTTGATGCATTAAAAACTGTGGATTCCAATTCCAAATGATTTCAACCCAAAACAAGAGCATGTCATCATTTAAGGTGAATTTACAAAACCTAATGGTAAAACTAGATTACTTTATGGATATGATCGTTTCGTAGTTTGTGTTAAGGTAAATTTTATTCCTATATTAACTAGAAGGATGGATAATTCAAAAAATGTATTAAGTTAGAATTCGATACTAAATTTGAAATCTTAAGATAAGCTATTTAAAAAAAAGACGAAGATGACGATTCCCTTGGACCAATAATAGGAATTCAATTCTAAAGAGATAATGCTGGAATTATGCCTACCTATAAATTAAGTGCTTCTTCTAAATTAATACTTGAATGGAGACAATATCTAAGTCCTAGAATCAACTAATGGTAATTTCATCATATGTTTCGAGTTTTTAAAAAAATTGGGAAGGGAAATTTTGCAACAGTATTAATATATATTTTATATAAGGTCTATATGGCTGAAAGAATAGAAGATGGGGAAGAAATGGCAATAAAAGCCTTTGCAAAATAAGCAGCTTATGCTGAGGAAAATGGAAAAGAAGCAATTTTAAATGAAATAGCAATAATGAGAAAATTGCATAATAAGCATCTGATGAGATTATTTGAAGTTTATGAAACATCTAATTCTTTATATGTAGCCTTAGAATTGTTAGAAGGAGGCTCATTGTATGATTTAATTAAAGATAAAGTGCCAATTAATACAAAATAAATACAATAAATAATGGTAGGGATATTAATTGGTCTTTAGGAAATGCATAAAAAAGAAATAATGCATAGAGATTTAAAACTTGAAAATATCCTATTTAAAATTCCAAAGTAAAAATTAATAATAATATTATAATAGGAAAATGGAAACAGTAGTAATAGCTGATTTTGGTTTAGCTACTTATGTGAATGAACCAGTTTATTTATATTGTAGATGTGGTACTCCTGGTTATGTGGCACCTGAAGTTATTAATATAAAGGATATGAAATCTAAATACTCTTCTATTTGTGATATTTATAGTTTGGGATTAGTCTTTTATTTATTATTGACAGGTAAACCAGCTTTCAATGGAAAAAGTTATGCAACTGTAGTCAAATAAAATAGAGAGGCAAGTATCGATTTTGATATTAAATAACTTTAAAATGCTCCTGGTGCAGCTGTTGATTTATTAAAGTAGATGTTAGAAAAGGATCCAAAAAAAAGAATAAATGCTGAAAAATGCTTACATCATCCATTCTTATCAGATATAACTAAAATTATGATAGAAGCAGAAAAAGAAGATTCATAAAATATAGATGAAATTGATGAGGGGAATGAAATTCATAATATGATGAATAAAATTAATGATGAGTAATCTTATAATTATTATATTAGGTATTCTAAATTTGATGCTACAAGAAATATTAACTCTCCTCTTTAATCACCTAAATAATCTCCAGGGTTATTAATGTAAAAATAAATTTAGCAATAAAAATAAATTGATTCTACTAAAGCAGTAGGACATGATTCACCATTATTAAAAGGAAAAGTTGATTCCATAGACAGTGCATAATCTATTGGAACTCCAAAGAAGAATAACTAATAATATTAACCATCACCATAAATAAAACCATCTAGATTTGCAAAATAAGCTGAAAATAATCCTTTATTAAAATATGCAAAAAAGGATTGAAATTTTATCAATTTTATTAAAAGAAATTCTTTATTATTCATTCTTATTAATCTGTCTTTTCAATATCTTTTAATATAGATTTGTTTTAATCAGATAATTTGCAGAAACTATTATCGAATACTTCTCCATAAAAACTATTTGGTTTCCATTTCATTGTTTTTGAATGTTAATGTAATTATCTAATTAATTTATTTATATATTAATTACGTTAATGCTAAAATTTATGATGGATGTTCATCAAATAAATCGAGAGTGAATTTATTTGGAATAAAAACCTATAATTCTTTTAATCTTTTTGATTGATTTAATTTTTTTTATACTCCTGTTTGCGAATCTATTAATGCCTTATATCTGATCTTTGCTTATCTTTCTCCTTCTTTTATCCAAAATTCTCTTAATTTTCTTTCTTTTTCTCCTAATTTTTATAAAGGTACTTCACCAAAACAACTGCCATCAAAAAACTCTTTTGTCCCAGTTTTAACTACTTTTAAAATGATTATTTACTCTCAATTAGACCTTTCTCTAAATTTCTTTATGGCTCTATAATGTGATATTTTAGATAATCATCTATTAAAGGTTCCTTACATAAATATATATCTTTCTCTTTCTCAAATATACCTCCATATTATTTACTCTAAGAATTAAAAACTAATTTTAATAAGTAAATACTCTTACCTTTTCTATGAAAAATCTTGTATTTATTTTGTTCATTAATTTCTTTCAATCTCTTCTTCTTTATTTCTTTATATTCCATATATCTATCAGCCTTGTATTATTGAACAGACTCTTTTAATTGATGTTGTAAATCTTCTATTTATTTACCGATAGGAGGAAATACTAATTACTTCGAACCAGATGACATTAAATTTATATTATAATTCACAAATAAGGATTATATATCGAAAGTAAAAATTGTACTAATTAATGAGGAACATGAAGTTTCAAAAAGGAATATGGAAAAAGTTAAAGTTAGTTTTCTCCTTCTAATTAGACTCTCAAATATTTTTGATCATTTTTGACTTCAAGATCACAGATTCTTATTAATGTTTTTCCTAAAATTTTTGGAAACTTTTTTTAATTTTCTTCGTAATAGTTTATTAAATCTATATCGATATCTTCTTATCTTTTCCAAATTTCTTGTTTATGATTTTGAACTAAATATTCAATATTATGATGTTCAGCCAACCTTTTTAAAATAATTTTTTCTTTATTAAATTATTCAATTTCAGTAGATACTTCTTCCTTAACTTTATGCTTATTTTTAGTTCTCATCTTTTTATATTTCTTCTAATTCATTATTTTATTTTTAAATTATTTATATATTTTTTATGACTTCATTATTTTTGAACTAAATTTTAGATAAATCTAAAGCTTTTTAATTTTATATAATCATCTAAAAAATAATATTATTTTCTATCATCTCATTTCAAAAAACATTGTATTTTGTAGTAATCAAATATATATTAATCAATATATATATATATCAAAATTTAAATTAAATAATAATATCAAATATTATTGAATGGTTTTGATGATGAGCTAGATTCCATAAAATAAAGTAAATTGCCTTTGATTTATATGATTATGTCATTTCATATTATTTATCTATGAATTAACAGATAGTTAGCAATAGTATACAAGAGATTACCCACTATAACAGAGTACTAGAGGGAAATAAGCGATATGTGGCTAAAAAACTATCAACAGATGAATAATACTTTAAAAAATTGTCTCAAGGGCAGAGTCCAAAGTATTTACTCATTGGATGTTCAGATTCCAGAGCTCCTCCAAATGAATTAACAGAAACAGACCCTGGTGAAATCTTCATTCATAGGAACATTGCTAATTTAGTGATACCTACAGATTTAAATGTAATAACAAATACTATTCTTTAAAGTTGAACTGTGTAATTTAGTATGCTGTGGAACATCTAAATATCCATAGTATTATTGTTATGGGGCATACATGTTGTGGTGGAATTAAAGCAGCAATGACTTAAGAATCTGTAGGAGGATTACTTGACTTATGGTTGAATCAGATTAAAATAGTATATGAAAAACATTAAGATCTTATTGAATAATTCGATAATCAAGATGATAAAGTGAATTGTCTTAGTTAATTGAATGTAAGAGCTTAAGTTATGAATATATGGAAAAATCCTATCATTTAAAAGTCTTGGCAAAAGGGAAATCGTACTTTATTTATTTAATATAATAGCTGTAATGGTTCATGGTTGGTTGTTTAGAGTTGAAACTGGGTATATTGAAGAATTACTAATTGATTCTTAAACACCAGAAGAGATGAGTAAAGTCTATGCTTTAAAATTTAAGTTAGATTCTGAGAGAATATTATAAAAGCAAGCATCTATTTAATCTTCACCAAGAAATAATGCAAGAAAGAGATTTTAATTAATGTAAAAGAAAATAATATAAAATCTTAAAAATTTAAAAGAAAATAGTAAAATTGAATAAGATATTGATCCTGAATAGTTAAGGGAAATGGTTCAAGATTCATAGGAATTATGAATTTTTTGTTAAATATTATATATATATATATTAAACAATTAATTAACAATCTATTTATCTAATGTTCATAATCATACTATATCTATTATAATTTGAATAATTGTATTAATCAATAACAAATTGTTATATATGATAACATAATAAATTATAAAAGATGTTGTATAAAATAAAATTTAATTGATTTGAATTTAATTATTTGGAAATCAGACAATTAATTTTTTTTTTTAATGTGGAACTTAATTCATTCTAATCCAATATGCTTTAAGAAAAAAATAGCTCAGGTATGCTTTTGTAATATCATAATAAAATAGGAATAATTAATGCATTTAAACAACCTTTAAAATTCTAAACCTTTGATTAATAATTCATAACCTTGGAAACCAGGACATTCATTATCCAGACTTGTTAATAAATATACAAATAGTATATATTTCTTAATAGATATTAGCTCATGAAAAAGAAATATCAGAATCTAATAGCAAGTTATTAAGAAAGATGATGGAAATTTAAGAAAGAAATGCTGCATTTAAATAACCCCCAGCTCATAGTTCTTTAGAAAATTTGAGAAAAAGAGAATAAAATAAGATATGCTCAGAGAACTAAACAATATTGAAACGATTATAGTCTGCAAGTTCAGCTTATTCTAAAAAAAATTGGGTTAGTGATATCGAAAAGGTTAAGAAATATAGAGATAATTTATAAAGAAAAACAAGTAAAATAATTAATTAAATAATAGAAACAAATGATGATTTGAATTTATTAGCTGCTTAAGAATAAGTGAAAAGAACTCTTCATAGTCAATCTTCATCAAGAAGTATATATATATATATATATATTAATTAATTAGAATTAAAAACTAGTCAAGGTCCTAGAACAACAACTTATGAATCATTGTATTGATAGCTATAAATATTTAATTTAAATCTTTATATCAAATTATTAAGATTCATAATTAAATCTAAAATTTTATTATTTATTATTAATATAATTGTTATTATTTCTGTTTTTTTAAGTATCATTTAATTTTATATTGATAAATAAATATAGATATTAAATATATGAATAAAATAAAATGATCATATATTTTATTATAATTGATCTTCTTGTTCTTCATCTATTTAACCCATTTAATTAATTTTATGTTCATTTTTAGTATGAACTTCATTAATAAATTCTTAAGTTTAAGCATTTATAATTAAAGATGGTTTATGCTCACTTAATAGAGGATTTGGTGAGTTTGGTGATAATGCAGAATTAAAATCTGATGTTTAAAATTTTTTAAAGTTTCTTCTAGCCAAAGTAGGTGTAACTTAGGATTTGATTTTACAAACAAATTAACCAAATGTTTTCATATTTTGCATGACAGGTACTTTCAAAGAATGAGCATTTTCATCTTCTACTATATCATCTTCAATATGAAAATTTTATTTTTGAGGATTATCTTTAGGATTAAAATTTTAAGTTTAAAAAACAGGAGTATATTTATTATTATTTTGTTAAAATTTGCCTCTTTTAGTTTAAAATTTTAATTAAAAATAATTATGTTCTAATGCGGCTTAAGCTGTTATTCTTTCCTTTGGATTAATCTTTAATAATAATGCTATTAATTCAATTGCCTCTTTTGGTGCTCTGTATAAAGTAAGAAGTTCAAAATTGATTTAACATTTTTTATTAAACTTTAAAATTTCTTAATAATCTGTTCCTGTAAATAACTCTTTGCCTGTCAATCTTAAAAATTAAACTGTATTTACAATTTATAGAAGATACAACCGACGCTAAACATATCACAAATCAAATCGTATTTTTAATTTTAATCTTTTAAGTTAGCAATTTCAGGAGCAACATAACCAGGTGTTCCACATTTTGGATAAGGATAAGTCTCAGCCTAAATAGATGTTGCCAATCCAAAATCTACAATTTTCAATTCATCAAAAGCATTTTGACTCTTAAACATTATATTTTCTGGTTTTAAATCTCTATGCATGATTCCTAAAGAATGTATATACTAAACAGCTGTCAAGAGTTGCTAATATTATGAAATTCATTTACAAACATTATAGTTTATATTTATTCCTATTCAAATAACACTTGTCTCTTATTGAAGGTCTCATTTAAACTCTAACCTTATAAATACTCTAAAAGTAAATAAAATGTATTATCTCCTTCATAAAGTTCTTCTAAGTGTATTATTTTTGGATGGTTCATTTTTTACATTATTTAAATCTCATTAAATAAACCATTCTATCTTAAATAACAAATATTTACAAATCCACCATCCTCATTTAAGTATCTTTTATCGACACACTTTGAAGCATATTAATCTTTAGTCCTTTTTTTTATCACCAAATAAACCTAAACTGTAAATCAAATTCTGTACTTTTGAAGACCCTCCTCTGCCTAACAGACTTATTGGTTAATAGAAATCACTAATTTCCTTAAACATTACTTTGCAAGCCATAAGTTCTTTAAGTTACAAAATGGTATTTGAGTTGGCATAAAAATATTTGAATTACTCTTTATATAAAAAACCAAACTATTCAATCTCATTTGAAGGCTATTTAGTGATGAAATGTATTTAAGTAGTTAATAGTAAAGGCACTTTATATTTTGGAGTCTATGACTATTTGACCTATTATTTATAAGCAATCAAACTACCGTTGCAAGAATCAATTAGTTAGATAATAGATATCCATAATACGTAGTATCTATAAGTAGATGTTTTCTAAAGCATTAAAACTAGAATTTGCTTTCCTGATAATTAATGTTTTACATATTATTTATAGAAATTACTCTAAGTATTATATAATAAAGCTATTTATTTTAAGATTAAGTAATATATATAAATTCCTAGAACTTAGATAACAAACAAAAAAATCTAAATTATTAGTAATAATCTAAAAAAGGTACAAAATTATTGTAAAAATAATAAATTATCAACCTAAAAACACATTAATATATAAATTTTTGTTATTTTCAATCATACTAACAGCAGATTAAGAAGGTAATTTAAAATATATAAAAGAATGTTATAAAACTTAAACTACTAATGTATACTTAAGTTCTTTCCAAATAATTATAATATTTTTAGACATTTTATTTTAAATGTATAGATATATCTATTTCATCATCAAAATAGCAATTATTATACATATTTGATATTCTTATGGAATCTGAGTAGATGTACAATGAAATTAAGATATTAATCAAAAATTTAGGAGATTAACCAATAATAATATAAATTAATTATGCCAAAAAAATTATTGTACTATATTGTGCCAATCTTATAAATATCAACTATCACATTTATTGATAATCCTTGGATGATATTATGGTCTATTTATGTTATAATACCTTTGCTAGATGAAAAACTTTCATTTGATTACTATAATCCAAAATAAACAAAAGAATTAGAAAATGATATTTCATATAAAATACCTCTTTATTTAGTAATTGTATTAGATTGGTGTTTGATGTTTACTGTTTTGAATCATCTAACTTAAAATGATGTTTCATGGTTTGATGTATACTATTTTCATTTAAATTTTAGACTATTGGATTAATGTCCATTTGGGGAGGACTATCTTCTAATAATTTCACAGTAGGACATGAACTATTACATAAGGACACCCCATTGGATAAGTTCCTTGGAACCTATACGTTAGTGAAAAGTCTATATTGTCATTACAATATTGAACATGTATTCACTCATCATAGATATGTTGGTACTCCATTAGATGCAGTATCAGCAGAAAAAGGGTAATCATTACATTCATTTATTCCTAAAGCAATATTTATATAATGGAAAGAAGCTTGGAAGTAAAAGAAAAAGATGTAACGATATACAATCTTAAATATCTTAATGTGCATTTTCATTTATAGAATATATTCAATCAAAGGATTCATCTACTTTTTAATATAAGTTTATTAAAGTATAGCATATTTAGAGGCTTCAAATTATATTGAACATTATGGTTTAAGAAGAAAATTATTGGAGAATAATGAATATGAATAAATTAGTGATCATCATTCATGGAATGCACCACATAGAATTACTAATCATTTATTGTTTAAATTATAAAGACATAGTGATCATCATAAATACCCATCAAAACCATATTAAATATTAGAAATAGATCCTGAAAGTCCTATATTACCATGTGGATATTTAGTAAGCATAATGATTGCTTAATTCCCAAAGGTTTGGATGAATATAATGGATCCTTTAATAACAGGATATAAATCTAAATAATTATATGAAGAAAGCAGAAGAAAAGTAAAAAGATTTATAATGAAATTTGCAACATTTGCTAGTTGTTTAATGATTTATTCTTTATATGATTGAAATTCATTCATATTAGTACTTTAATCTTTGGAATATCTAAAATTTAACTTATCAATTTTAAAGTTATAAAATATTCCTCTTATGGATCATTTTTCAATTTTTCATATAATTCTTCAAATTCAAATGGGATTAAGGATTATTCCAAATGAATAGTAATCTATATTATATTGATTACGTACTCTATTCTTTAACTAGATTGGTAATTTATTATAATTCACTTTATTGGCTGATATTAATCCATCTTAATCAGAATCTAAAATTTAGAATAGTTTCTTCACTACAACTTTATCTGTAGGTAATTCATCATGTAAAGAGATATTAGATGGACTTCTTGATAGATTTTATTTATGTATCTATTTGGGACTTGGATTAAATCTTTTTGGACTTGGAGTTTTTTGTTTAGCTTATAATTCATCATGATTTGATTTTAAATTACGCAAATAATTAGTTTCTGTTTGAGTGTCCTTTAATTATTGATTAAATTACATACGTTATCATCATAATTTCATCATAGGCTTTCATTTATTTAATAATACTATTAGAAATGACTTAAACCATTTATTAGGCAAGATGATTTCTTTAAACAAATTGTTTGGCTTCTAAATATGGATCAGTATCTCTATAAAGAGCAATCCTATCATATTTATTATTTCCTAGATCAATAGTCATTTAAATTAAAGGTTGCATTTAAGACTTGCTAGTTTTGTTTCTGTTATGCATTTTAAAATAATTTTAATGTAATTATAATAAACAATTATTAAATTATACTTAATAAATTCTCATTCAAATAAATCCTTTATTACAATAAATAAGTATGCTAATAACATACCTAATAGCCAGAATTTTGAAAGTAAAGAAAAAATTCCTTAAGGTCTTGTATTTTAGAGAAAACTGTATTTGGCATCAACTGATCCAGATATAATAAATCTAGAATCTGGAGTAAAACATAATGCTGTACATGGTAGTTCATGAGCCTATTTACTAGATTCAATATCTAATTTTCTAAATTAATATATGTATATCTATAATACCTTGCATTTATTATTTTTACAGTTCCATCTGAACATCCAATACCTATAAACATACCTTCTTTTGATTAACAAGTACTAGTTACTGGATGTCCATGAACTTTAATTGTTTTTAATGGTTTAATATTATCATTATCAATTCTCCAACATGTCATATAGGAANACTAAAATACTAATTTTGCCATAACTATTGCTCAATCTATATGGCTTAATAAAAAAATATAAAAATTAATAAATAATTGAAGAAACTAGAAAAAAAATCATAAATTTTTAATGTAATTTGCTACTTTGGCGAGTTGTAGAATAATTTATTCTTTATATGTTTGAAGAGTATTCATAATAGTACTTTGACCTTTGGAATGTCTAAAAATTAGCTTATTAGCTTTAAAGTAATAATATATTCCTCTTCTTGATCCTTCAATCTACCATAGAATTCTTGAAAATCAAATGGTATTAAGGATTGCTCTAAATGAATAGTAATCTAGATTATTTTTAATTTAAATACTCTGTTCTTTAAATAAATTGGTTATTTATTATAATTCACTTTATTGGCTGAGATTAATCCATCTTAATCAGAATCTAAAATTTAGAATAATTTCTTTACAACTACTTTATCTATATAATATCATCTTATAAAGATGATATTATATAGATTCTGTTTATATATTTATTTGGTATTTGGATGAAGTCTTTTTGGACTAGGAGTTTTTTGTTTAGCTTATGATTCATTATGATTTGATTTTAAATTTAGCAAATAATTAGTTTCTGTTTAGATATCCTTTATTTTGTAATTAAGTTACATAAAATAATTTTAATGTAATTATAATAAACAAACTATTAAATTATACTTGATAAACACTCATTCAAACAAATCCTTTATTACAATAAATAAGTATGCTAACAACATACCTAATAACCAAAATTTAGATAGTAAAGAAAACATTCCTTAAGGTCTTGTATTTTAGAGAAAACTGTATTTGGCATCAACTGATCCAGATATAACAAATCTAGAATCTGGAGTAAAACATAATGCTGTACATGGTAGTTCATGAGCCTATTTACTAGATTCAATATCTAATTTTCTAAATTAATATATGTAAATCTATAATACCTTGCATTTATTATTTTTACAGTTCCATCTGAACATCCAATACCTATAAACATACCTTCTTTTGATTAACAAGTACTAGTTACTGGATGTCCATGAACTTTAATTGTTTTTAATGGTTTAATATTATCATTATCAATTCTCCAACATGTCATATAGGAGGATCCTCTCATAGGATTTTTGAATGTAAATATTGTATTACCATCTAATGAGAATAGAGCTGAATGAAATTGTAATTTATGGATATTATTTGATGAAATATCTAATTTATGCAACACGTGGTTATCTTTTAATATTTTACATTCTTCATTATCAGTGGCAACTATTAGCTATTGTCAAAATTAGATTTACCATTCCATTTGCTACATGATAATCTAATGATTAAATTTTGCCTTTCATATCCACTGTGTATTTCAATTAATAATCTTTATTCCAAACTTTCAAAATTCCATCTTCTCCACCTGTGGCTAAAGTATCTCCTTAATAATTGAAAACACCATCATTTTAACAAGGTTCTTTTGGTGCTCTGTCAGTCTAAAATTTAGTTACAATTGAAATCTTGTTATCTTAAACTTTCAATATCACACATTAATCATCGCTATTTCCTACAATTAATCCTGTTTTCATATTTAATCTTAATCTTTGAAATATCTCATCTCCTAATTATAAAGTATTAATAGGATCCTTCAAAATTCCATATATAGGTTTTGGAAATAATTGCTTAATGATTATTGAAAGTATACTAGACTATTAACCAATCCATATCTTTTTCCTCCTCCTCCTAAGCTCACTAAAACAGAATCAGAAAAACACACAACTGAAAAAATTGGACTCTCAAGATCTTTCTACTTATTGTCATTCATTAATTTATATTAAATATTAATTAAGGTACAATTCTTCCATTTCTTCTCTTTAGATTTCTAAGATCTTATATATAATATATTAACATATTTTACTTTATTTGTATTTTTGAATAATAACAGATGCATTCCTTCTTTCTTCATCTTCTTATGTTCTTATTTTCTTACTCTTATATAAAGATACAAATAAATTAGGAAACAACATATATTTCTAAAATTGTTCAATAACAGATTAGTGAAACTCTTATTTATAACTTCTATTTATCTTTCTAACTACATTCTCCAAATTCCAATCTTTATTGCATCTTAAGTTGTGGATCTTATCAAAAATTTCTTAATCCTCTTCTCTTTTATTAGTCAACTATTTATAAAGCATTTATAGATCATTTTATTATTACAAAGTGTATTTATGAATATTTTAATATTTCTATTTAATTAATTCATACATTTCCTTCATACCATAATCATTCATTAAAATATCAATAGTCTATGTTCTTAGCATTTTAATAGATGCTGAAACTTTACATATATATTTATTTTATCTATAATTGCTATCACTTTAATTAAATTTTTCATTATTTAAACAATCTTCAAATCCTTAAATTTACTATTTTTACTCTTAAAATAAACTAGGAACTATTTATTCTATAATTTGATCATTTTCTATTTGATAAATTTTAGCACTATTTGAAATCAATTCATAATCTTAAGAGGCAGAAAAATGATTTCTATGTCTAGATCTTTTATAACAATCACGATATTAATTCTGAATAAAATTGTATTATTTTATAACTTTTTCTTTATCTGGTACAAAGTGAACAAGATAACAATCATCACTAGAATGATTTTTATCTTTACAAACATAACAATACATTATTTCTTTCATTTTTATATATTTTTCCTAATCAACTTCATTTTATTATAAAACTTCCCTTACTCCTTTATTTGGAATAATTAATATACTACAAAATGATGCTGTCTTATATTGCAATGTGGAAGATTAATTACTTTTCATTTCTAAATGACCAAAATATTCATTTTCTTTTAAATAACATAATTATCTCTTAAATTATATAAATCTATACTTTTTATTATTTAACTTCTACTATACCTTATTCTATAATGAATATATTAAGATCATTATTTTCAATTATTATACCAGGTTAATATGTCTTAAACTCTACTTTCTCTAAAAGCTAATGTAAACATTTTTAGGAAAAGTACTACCTAAAAAATTCACATTTATTCATTAAAACCTATGCTGACTCAATTTTTAAATCAGTTTATAATTCTTCTGGTAATAATTAAATCAAATCATTTTATTCATTTTTTTTTTATATTATTTCCTATTCCCAATAAAAATTAAAATATTCTCTCACTCTAATCTAAATATATTCAATAAATACTTATATTGTAAATTTTAACTAATTTATTTTTCTCTCATATATTCATTTATACATGTCATCTTCTATCTAATCTTCTCATTATTCTCTTTTATCTAAGTTAAAATAGTTCCTATTGTATTTACAGAGAATGATAATTGCATTGTTGATAGAAACATATAACAAATACAAAATATTTTCTCAATAGGATCTATATTATTATAGTGTTTTATTTTACTTGTTGGTACTATTTCTCCATAACCTACTGTAAACATTGTAACACTCATAAAATAAAATGATTCTAAATAAACATTTTACCAAGGTTCATCTTCAACTCTTTTAAGCCAATTAATTGTATCTTATCTTTATTTATATTCACCTATCACTACCCTTAATTATTAAATTATAATTCTTACCAAAGACAACAACAAAAATGTTGTATTAATAAAATCAAGAATACTAATTTAAGCAATTCAATAAAAGAATTACTCAACTTACTCAATTTTAATTGATGTTAAATAGTATCAAAAAATTGTAAAATATTCATTATTTATTAATAAAAGAGTAAAAGTACTATTCTAGGCCATCCATCCTCTTCTAATATATATGGACTTTCATATTCTGATAAAAAAGATAAGGCAAGTATGATACCAAAAAGTATACTAAATAATTCCAAACAAGTTGAAATTGTAAATTACTTTTTAACTAATTCAAATCTGTCTTTTAGAGGTAACCCTTTATCATAACAAATTGTAAATGCTCTAAGTATTATGTCTAAAATAAAAAATAGACAGGTTAAAAATATAAAAAGACTATGATATTATTCAATATCTTTAGAATGAAATGTTATAACTATTGGCATCCATATTATCATATACATTCTCATTACACTCAATATCAAATCCCATAATAGTTTAGATTTACTTTAAGGTTCAATCAATGGAATTTAAGAGAAACATAAAAGTAACTGTTATTTTAATGAAGTCTTAAATGCTCTATATTTCATTCTTAATTTTATTCTAAAATCAATAAGATATAAATGTTATCTAACTATATTTGTACTAATATTTGATGTTTTCTTCATATATTTATAAGATGATGCTAAATCATCTATAATTTCAAAATGTTTTCTTTAAAATTTCTGATTTGGTCTAATGAATTGTAACATTTTGTTGGCATATTTGGTTGAATGAAAATAAATCAATAACTTTGAGAATGATTTCTGCTTTGGAGAAATTGAGCTTGTTTAATTACTTTATAAATTTTGAAATGAGACATTAATTTCTGTTTGATCAAATTTTGTTTTTTATTTCATATTCTATGTTAAATCTGCTTTTTTAGTAATCGTTTCATCTATTCCAATAATAGAATGATCAATATTGTTATTAGATTCACTTTAAATATCATTTATCATTAGAGTACAACGACTGATGTTTTAATTTTAATCCATTATAAAATTACAAATAATATAATATTCAAAAATCTGGATGTATAGCAATACGCTTCTTTTTCTTTGAAGTTCTAATGCCTAAAATATTTATAAATTATACTTTTATTAACTAAAGGTTATTATAGAATTTCAGATGGTTTCTCAGTTCGATACTTTTAGAAATAAATCTTTGGGAATAATAAATATTTCGATATTTACTCAAGACCTACTTTTTCACTTCTTCTACGATTTATATAATTTGATGCAAAATTAAGATCCACTATAATTCTTTCTATGTTCCATATCTTATAATAATGTTTATAGCTCTTATATTTATCAATTTCACATTCATTCTAACCTAAAAGGCATTCTAATTATTTATAAAGCAGAAAAATATCTTTCTATACTTTTTCATTATAAAGTTGAATTTATTTGAATTTTTAAGAAATAGATTCAAATTGTTGAATTAAATTTAATTCATTATTGATTTCATTTTTTATTTCTAATTTTCTATCACTTTTTTAGGCTTCTTTATTTTCAACTTTCTGCTCAAATTCACCTCTTTGTCCTATTGGCATATTAAGTATAATAGATTTAGGTTTCTCATCATTTATTTCAAGTAAAGAATTTTGTGTGCATAAATTGATTTACTATTATTTTTCATTATTTGGGAAAAGAAGTTCAATTTCATTGTTGCAATCTTATTAAAATTATTCAGCTGTATCTTAAAAAAACTTTAATTCATTTTTCCATTCTTAAAATTAATCTTTCGGTTTTCTCTTTATCCTTCCTCTATTTTGTGTAGAATTATACAAATATTTTTTAATAACCTTCTCATTATCTGGAATAAAATGAACCTGAGAACATAATTCTGTTTTATGTGATCCTTTACATATAATACATTCATTATGAATACTAAAACTAGTCTATGATACTATTTCCAATTCATTCTAATTTTATGCAACTAATTAGACTAAGGCTGCATATGGAATAATAAGAAGATTTGTAAATGATTTTGTACGATATTTAGTTTCATTTATTAAATCCATAGATACTTTTTTTAATCCAAATTACTAAAATTAACTTAATTAACCAACAACTGTCTAGTATAATTTAATATTATAAATTTACTTAATTTTACAAGATTTCTACATATCCATATTCAATAATATAAATATTTTACAAATCATTTATTATTATTCCTGGTTAGAAATTCTAAACATAAGCTATTTCAACTAATTGATTTAGAAAACCTGGAGTAAATTTCTCTTTGAAAAATTAACATTTATTAATTAAATTAGAACTTCCTTCCCTTTATATACTTTTTTATAGTTCTTCTGGTAGTAATCTTATTATTTCAGCAGTTTCATTTTTCTTTTAAACATTTTCTTATTACCAATAATATGTTAAATATTCTCTAACCCTTTATAAAATAATAAACATTCTCTTACTTAAATTATAATCCACGACTCATTTATCTATTTCTCATATGTTCTGTAATAGCTGTCATTTTCTATTTTATTTCTTCATTGTTTTCTTTTAATTAAATCAAAATAGATCCTATTGTATTAACAGAATAAGAGAGCTATAAAGTACAGAAAAACATATAGAAAATTATAAAGCTCTTTTCTGATATGTCTATAATTTATTAAATTAAATATACTCTATGGTGTTATATCACCATATCCAACTGTAAATGTAGTTACACTTATAAAATACATTGCTTCTAAGTAAATATCATGCCAAGGTTAATCTATATCCAATTTTGCTATATCAAGCCATGAAGATTAAGCTTTCAAATGTTCATATGTACCAATTATAACCCTAATTAATTCTCTATTATATACCATATACATGAAAAAATATGCTATATTAATAAAATTAAACAAATCAATTTTACTAATTCAATTAATGAATTAGTTGATTTACTTGGTTTTATTACACTTTGTAAATTCTCAATAAACTGAAGAATATTTTTAGTCTGGACTATTAATAATAACAATAATATCTTGGTCCACCCTTTATCTTCTACTACTAGCATAGAAGAATTGTTTTAATGAAATTAGATGCTGAAATACAAGGATATTATAAAACTAAATAATTCTATTGCAGTCCACCAATTTATTTAATACTGTATCAATTAATAACGATCTTTTACAGGAAATCCCTTATCAAATCTTATTGTAAAAGTTTACATTGCCAAATCAATTAAAAAAGCACTACTACACACATTAAGTGTATATGCATTCATATCTTCTAAAGTACCATTTTTAAATGCTATTAAAATTGGTATCCATATTAATAAATATATTCTCATTATAGTAATTATTCCATCCCATATTAATTTTGTTGTTGAGTAAGGATTAATTATAGGTATTATACCTATTAAATATTATATTTTTTTCTTTGTTTAGGCTACTAAAGTATTGTTAAATTCTTTGATAATGTTCCGAAATCCTAAAACTGCTCTATTATGTTAGAGTAATGATGTTTTTTATTGTTATTTTTTTGGATAGCTTTTAAATGATGAAGATTTATCAGATATCATACTAAACTAATTTTTAGATAATTCCTTATATGGATGTATATATGACAACATTTTTCTTTTGAAATGATGAATATTGAATTGAACCATTAATTAAGAAAATTGTTTTTTTTTTACTTCTGATTATATAGAGTTTTCTCTTTGACCAGGAATGTCACCAATTCTTTCAAATTCTTCACATTATATTTATTGAACTGTCTAATTTTAATCATGAATCGAATGATATAGATTTGAATTATTGCAACCAGGCAAAGACTCCTCTTAAATCATTAATTGACAATGTGAAATATGAGAGTTATCTGTTATGTTGGTCTAATTCATTTAATTATTTTCAATCTAAAAATCAATAAATATTTTCAATTATTTTATAAAATATATTCGGAAATCATAAATACTTAAAAAACTTTTATTTTTTTTTATAATATTGATATATTATCATTTGGCAGGATGAATCTGCAATGCTTTTCTAAATATAAGTTTTCTACCTATTCTTTTTAATAGTAATTCTTTAGACATTCTTCTTTATCTTTATTGTACTTTCGAAATCTTCTCACTTCTTTTCATACCGTTCAAGTTTGAAACTCTATACTAATTTATAAAATCGAATGGGTATAATAAGTATTTTAATAAATAACTAGCCTAACTTAATTAACAAGTTTCATAACTATTTGAATTATTATATTAAAGTTTTCGTATAGGATAATTTTAGAACTTTAATACTTATGAAACATTATGATGAACATTATATATTTTATATTCTTTTAATTTTTCAAAATCCTAAATAATTTGATGATTATAATTTAATTCTAATTTTTTAATTGTAAATTCCATTTATTCAATATCATGAGAAGTAAATAATTATTTATTTCTTAATTTTTAATTAATACTTTAAATAACATTAAATTCTTCTTAATTTAATCCTCTAGATCGAGAACATGATTATTATAATTTTAATTCAGAATTTCCATCAGGTATATAACTTTTACTCTCAAATTCTTTAATTAAAAGAGAAATAGAATCAGCATCATGTTTAATTTTAAGATGTGGTTTACTCTCATCATTATTAATTTCTTCTAAATCTTGAAATTTAAGAAATGCATGACTCTCATTACTAACTTTAACTAAATTTGCTGCTTCCTTCAAAAATTCTATATCAACTTTAGCACTGAAGTAATTTTTCAACCTATTTCTATTTCTAACAAAAAATTATCTCTCTTAACATTAATTATAAATGTATGATTTTAAAACTTTTTCTCTATCAGGTATATAGTGAACTTATCTACATAAATCTGATTAATGTCTTCTTGAATCACATGAAACACATTATTTCAATTAGATTTAAGATTATTAAATTTAATTTTTAATGTCTTGATATTTCTCTAAATCATTTTAATAATCTTTTAGTGTTTAATAAAATAAACTAAAAGGAATAACTAAAGTACTAACAAAACCAGCACTTTTGTAAACTAATCTATCTTATTTCTCCTATTTTAAAAATTATTCTAAATTAAAACACTCTCCTTCTTTATGAGTTCCCATTAAAGTTAAATGATTATCCTTTTCATTTTTCTCATATACATTAACTTTCCCTGATTCAATTATATGTAAAAAGAACTCACCATCAATATGTGTATTTATTTATATACTAGGTTAATAATTAGAAAAAGATAACTATTTTAATATATCATTTTAAAATTTTTAAGAAAACTCTTAACTTAATAATTTACATTTCTTAAATACAAGAATATTTGATTCATAAGCCAATGATCTTCTTAAATCATCAGATAATTAATTTAAGATCTTTTATTATTATAATGTTTGTTTAGTTTATTCTTAATACCAAAAGTATTATAAATATTCTCTTACTTAAACTTATAGTTCCTTACTAATATTCTTGTTATGCATATACTAATTAATAAATGTTAATTTCTTATTTATTTATTCACTTGTCTTTTTCAGTTATTGTAATAAATGTCCTATTGTATCTAAACTATAAGAAAGCTGAAATGCACATAGAAATACAAAAAAAATAGAAAAGATTTTCTCAATTTTATCTAAATTATTAAAACTAGTTACTATTTGGATGGACATCTCCATATCCTACAGTAAACATAGATATGCTTATAAAATACAGGGATTCTATGTAAATATCATCCCAACTACTTTCTGTCAATTAACTTATTTCAATCCAATTCTTTATTCCATTTTAAAGACAATATCTTCCAATTATTATCCTAATATAAAAATAGAATATACCATAAACAAGAACTTAAATGTTATAATATTAATTATATTCCAAGCAATCTAGTTAATTCTATTATTGCTGAGGTTGCTTTACCAAATGACATTGATTAAGACAAATTATCAATAAATACTAAAATATTCTTTATTTAATAGAATACTAATAAAAGTACTAATTTTAGATATCCACCATTTAATATGAATACATCATCATAAAAATTATAAAACAAAGCAAATATAAACATTCCCATTAATCCTGAAAATTCAATTAAACAAAAAAACATATTTTGGTTATGTAAAATTTGATATCTATCTCTTATTGGAAGGCCTTAATCAAAGTATATAGTTATATTTTTCAATCCCATATCTATCAAAAAGCAAAAGGAAGCGATAATTAAAATTATATGATATTAATCTAATAATTTTTCATAAGTTATTAAGATTGGGATTAAGTATAGTAATTCAATTCTGATAAGATTAAGCAATATATCCCAAATCATTTTTATTTTGTTTGTTGGTTCAATTAATGGAATTTAATTAAAGCATTTAATAGCCAAAAATTCTAATTTTCTTTTATATTGCCGATACAAATAGGGTATATGAACCTTCCAAGAAATGGATTCAAAATTAACTACAGTTAAAGATGGCTTTTTAGACTTGAAAGCTAAAAAATCTTTTGAATTACCTGATCCTTTATCTCCAATTATAGAAAAATGTTTATCCATAAATGAACCATCTGGTTTAAAATATCTTTAAAATCTAATCACAAATGATGCAATATGGAAATATAATATTAATTTAGCAAATGGCTTAAATATTATATTAGAACCAATATCAGGACTTTATATTTCAACTTTCTTATTATTTAATAAACAAAGAGAGGTTTCACTTTCAATCTATATATTCTATTTTGTCATTGTTGTTTCGACTTAAGGATTAGTAATTTTATCTCGATCATATTAAAAACTATTCAGACTTTACATAAAAATTGAATTTAATAATGGTCTGATATTTTATATAAAATATTTATTATATCACATTACATTTCAAGTTAATACAGCTTTATCATTCCAAAATTATTCTTCTTTTAAAGATTATCATAATATCAAAAATAAATAATAAAAAAGATATTGACTTGATTTCCTCTAAATTTTTTATTTTCTATTTAGAATATTAATCTAAATAGTAGTTATAAGATGGACTATATATAATAATGTATATAAAATACTATATGATTAATCAATAATAAATAAAGACACAGAATATAAATAGAAGTTATAAAAAGATTTAGATATTTTCAGATAACTTATATAATAATGTTAAAAAAAAAAGTTATTCCTTTTTTAAAGTGTTAGAGTTTTAATAATAAAGACTATATATAATTAATTTGAAATATTTTACCAATATGATCAAACATAACTTAATTATTATGGAACCTATTATTTTTTGCAATCAGCACAAGATATGGTTTATTTTTCTACAATTGGTTTCAATATATAAAAATCACTTTTAACTGTGTCTTATTATTATTTATTATTTTATTGTTTTTACATTTCAACTTATTTATTTAGGCCTTCAATTACTTCTTAATTTACTTTCTTTTTATTACACATTTCTTAATATTATCTTTGTTTTTCTTATTAAATAATTTCCTAGTCTCTTTGATATTATTTTTTTTATTCAATTAATTTAATAGCTTCTTCTTTTGCCTTTTTAAGTTTTACTTATGCATTTAAATCTAATATGAGTTAATGTTATATTTATTATTTTTCTATTTTCTCTTATTCTAATTAATTATGATAATCTTATAAAGTTTTTATCCTTTCATCTATTTCTCTATTTTTTATTTCTCTTTCTTTTTATTATTTTTTTAATAATTCTTTTTCATGATTTTACTAATTATTATTATTGTGAATCATTTGATAATTCTTTCTTCTTTATATTTCTTTTTCTTCTTATGCTTGATATCTCCAATAAGGATCATCTAATTCCATAGATTAAGACAATTAATCTAATTTTTTTAATCTTTTTTGTTATTCCAGTTAACTTGCAAGTTCTTAATGCAAACTATTTTATTTACTTTTTTTTTCAACTTTTTCTTTTTATAAAATTTCCTAATTTTATTTTATAATTAAGTTTTATTGTTATATCTCTTACTCTTTTATTTATCTTTCTTTTTCTTTTTATTAATCTTATAATTATTTTGAAATAACTAGATTTTATTATTCCAATTATTTTCTATATGATAATTATCCAACCTCAAAATTAATTTTTTATTATTCTAGTAATTAATTTTATTCCATTTATTTCATCAATAATCTCTATAATATAATTATAAATTTACTTTCTCTAATTCTGTTTCTTACTTTTTATTCAATTATTATTTATTTAATAATCTTTTGTTATAGCATGGACTACATAATAATGTTTTTCCAATCTATATAATTGGTTTCTATATTGATTTTTAACCACTTGAAAAAGCAACTTAATATTACTCTTTTGAAGGTGTTTAACTATGATATGATCTTGCACTAACATTTCTATTTGGATTTTGTTATTTGATATTCTCATATTTTTCCCTCATTTATTTCACATTTTACATAATTAAAAAATAAAATTTATATTACACCAATATTCTTAAAAATTTTCAAATTTTGAAAGTGAATTCTTTTTATCAATAATAGAATATAAGAATAATAACTTGAATGAATTGAAAATATGCAAAATAAAGTATCAACATTCTTATTCTAAAATATCGTTTTTCCAAATTCCATTTATGGTTTTTGAATGTTCATATAGAGTGCCAGGTCCATTCTTCTACCCATTTTTATAATATCCATAAAATTTCTTTTCATTTCCCTCTTCTATTGCTTATCCTTCTAAAACTCCATTTACAAATTCCCCCTTATATGTATACCCATTCTAAACTAAAATTCCAAGTCCATTATATTTATCATCATTCCATTGTCCCAAATATATTAGATTTTTGTTTTTGTCATACATAGCACCCATTCCATGCCTTTTCGTTATATTTATTTATCCATAATAAACGGTATCATCAGCATATTCAATTTGATAAATGCTATCTTATTATTTAGCTGGACTCTCTTATCCTATTGTTGTTCTTTAATAGGAAAGATAACTAAATTTTCTCTCTGTTGGAGATGCAGATTTTAATATTGTTTAAGGCGGGCTTGACCTATATGCATCGACTGATAAATCTAATTGAATTATGTATTTATTTACATCTTTTCATTTAGGATTAAGGACTTGATTGAATAGTAAAGGATTAATAAAGTTTACTATTAGACAAAGTGACTTTAGGAGATGAAGGGTACCCTTAAAAATTTTAAATTGTCATAATAGACGCAACTGTCATTTTGGGACAATATTTTAGATATCTAATAATTGGACGTGGACTTCTTTTTCTAACAATATATCTCTAATTCATCATACAGAAATAAAATTTATTATTTTAAAGTATTTCTACAATAACTTATCAAATATATTCATAATAATGTTAATCTAATCAAAAGCTGTCTAAAAAATTGATCATCTTCCATAATATTGCTAATATCCATTTTGGTTTAGGTCTTAATTTTGGATCAGATTATAAACAATGTACAATTAGCTATAGTATTATCTTCATTATCTTTTTTGGTCCATATTTTGTTTGTTTTATCAAATTTCGTTTAATTGCATATGTATTATTTCTATATCTTTCTGCTAAATTATATAAATCATTTGGATTATAATCCTATCATAAATGGGGAAGATTACAAAAGGAAATTATTCAAAAATTAAATTGCACATTAAAATTCCATATGAGAATATATCGAATGCTGGAGTTATTTCATTTTTATTATATAATTCTGGGGCTGCATAAGGCAAAGAACGAGAAAAAACACTTTTATCTTGATCCAATTGTTAAAAAAATTTAGCTTCACCAAAATCACATATTTTAGGGATTAATTATTTTTAAATTAATATATTCCCCATTTTTAAATCCAAATGAGCTATTTATTTGTAATGAAGAAAATCAATTCCATTTATAATTCCAGCCAATATAAATAATTTTGTTCTTAAACTTAAAACTATAGCTTTAGAATTAGCATATTGTTCTAAAGATCCATTATTGTAAAATTCCATAAAATAACAGTCTTTCAAATTTTCATCATAATAACTTGTAACAATATATGCCTCTCCTATGCCTTTCTCTCTAGTTTCAGATAAATTCTTTAATATATTTAGTTCATGATTAACTTTTCTATAATTATTGGGTGATTTATCTGTTTTTATTGCTAAAGCCCTTGTATATGTTTAATCATCCTTTATACTATATGCTAAGATATGATTTATCATATGTACCTAACTATATTTTACGTATTTCAGAATAACCTCCAGATGTAATTAGAGATTACTCTTTCCATTATTTAATAGGATCATCAGATATATTTTGAATCTTAATCTTGGTTAGTAAAGGTAAATTATTTGGCTTAGGACAATCCAAGAAATTTTCTTTTTCTTCCTAAGTCATCTCTTTATTCAACTATCTATTTATGAATTGATATACTACATTACTTTTCAAAAATCTTTCTTATTTAATCGATATTTTTCTCTTTATTTTCAACTGACTCTTCATTTGCAAATCTCTTAAATTCTTTAAATGTTATTTTATTCATTTAATAAAGAATAATAGGGGCTTAAATTTGCATAACTTCTTTATGTTATTTAATATTAAGTTTCAAGCTTTCCAAAAAGTTTTCACTTAAATTTATTTGTTCATATAAAGATATTACAACCAATGTTTTATATTAAAATAATCCTGTCAATGGGTCTATACTTAAAGAACCATTAATTAGTTTATCATTCTATTTCAAAGCGTAGAAACTTATCAAATTTATTATATTCTATTTATGAATTAAATCCTATATTATACTTTATCTGAAGCATATAATGGAGAGGAATCCGTTTTTGTTAAGTAGCTTTTTAAGCATATTTTCTTTGGCCTGTAAATAATATCCATAGAAACACCATATAAGGTTGGATGAAATAAAATTGGAATTGTTACTACTAAATTTTGATCTTGCATTTATGATTGATTATTCAAATTCAATTATTCTATTAAATTGAACTTATCAAAATCTGTTCCCAAAAGTTTCATCAACATATATTCGAAATCATCACCTAATTTGCGATACATCCTAAAAATCAACATATTCGTACTAGTCGGTAGATTTAAATTTTTAAGATGATTCTCCACTAGCAAGGAAGAGTTCATTCAATTTTTGATACTGGAATGAGTAATGCATTTCCACTTTAAATTAATTCTAAATTAAAAATAATTATTTATTCTTAGAATTAATATATCAATCCTTATTTATTAATATAATTATATAAATTTCAAATTATTGATTTTAAGTATTTCATCTGGTTTTATTTGTCCAAGTTCTTCTAATTGGAAAAATATTTTAGCAAATGAATGTCCAGATTATTTATATTAAATTTATAAAATTTCCATGCTTATTATATTAATACTTAATAAATTATTGAAAATCAAGAATTATTATATATTTTAATGAAATGGTTTAAATTGTGTTATTATTGTGTTATTTATAAGTTCTTGAAAATGAGACTATATGATCCAATAAGAAAAAGAAGAAATTTTCTTAGATCTGATACCTCTTTAATTTTGATAATCAAATTTTTAAGTTTTATTCATAACAAATATTTCAATTTTTTTTTTAATTTCTAATTTGTTTGATCAAATGTTTATGATTGAAAAATTTATTTTTAATAAAAGGAATTTAATTACTACAATTAATTTTCAATTTTGAAAGGATGAAAAAGATAATAGCTTACTCCTATTATATATTCCATATAAATTATATGTATTTTTTATAAACTGCAATATATTTTTCTGACTATTCTTCAAATACAATAGGGAAAACTCTATTTTTATATAATAATCTTATTGATTATTAATTATATAGATTTGTATGGATTATTTTTAGAATCTTTATCCAAAATGTAATGTTATTTAGATTTAAAATTATGCTATGTATATCTCATTGATTCCTTTATCATCTAATAGACTAATTCATATACTTAAGTATAATACTAAAATTTATAGGATATTTTATATTCCATTATTTCTTTTATGTTGTCTTTCAAAGTATGTAAATTAAAAATAAAATTTCTTCATACTTTAATTTAAAATTATTTTATTTGGTAAGGATTATTAATTTATAGTGTATTTAAGTGAAAATGAAGCAATTTACATTTGTTTCTATTTATAATGTAATGCATCTTTATTTATAATGATTATTCAAAATAAGTAATAGTATTTTATCATTAATCTTTTCATAACAAACTTTTAGATATTACTGAGAACCTTAATAATGAATATAGCCTTAGAATTATTTGATATAAAAATGAGTAGAATTTTGTATTATGGATGATATCATTTTAATTAGATACATACATTAAAAATAAGATGTTAAATAATCATTAAGCTGGGTTATTTGCTTTCAAAAACTCTTAGGCCTCAACTATTGTCTCTAATGCTTTTGTCTTTTCTTCACTAGTATCAATTAATGGATCATTAATTTTTCCATCCTAATTATATTTCATAAGAATTTTACTAGCCAAACTTAGAGTTCATTCACAGATTCAACAAGTCTTCCAATAATATTTGGATACATTTATACTGTTTCTTATAGAACTTCTTCCTAAAATATGTAAAAATAAAATTTGAACTTGTTTTTTGATATCTGCTTCATCAGCATTTTAGTCCTTAAGCTTTTAGATTCTTTCATTTTATTTCAACTCTTCCTTTTAATAACCAAAAAATTCTTTTTGAATTCTTTTAAGAGCAGCTGTTTTAATCTTGAGTTATTTTAAATCTTTATTGTTCTCTGCCATTATATATAAATTTATATATTTAATAAATTTCGATTTTAGAACATATAAGTATTTTTAATTTAGGGATATATGTTTTAAAATTTGATATAAATCAAAGTTATATTACAAAGCATATAAAAACAGTTATAAATTTTTACAATTCCTATTTTGAAGAATTGAACCAACATATTTGATTTAGAAAAAACGATAATTATATTATAATGATAATTTTGATTTTAGGATGCTTATTAGTAGCAAAAGGATTACCAGGTGACTCTTGTTAGACTACAGCAAAAGGAATATTTGCAAAAAGATAAGCTGAATTTGAAGAATAATTGAATAGATTAAGAAATGAAGTAGCTTAAGGAAGAAGAAAAAATCATGTTGGTGAATTTGATTATGCAGCAAATATGAATATTATTGAATGGTAATAAGGGATTGCAAATGCTGCATAAACATGTTCAGAAAGATGTCCAGATTCTATTGAAACTTGCAAATAAGTAGATTAGCAAAATGTATAACATTTAGTTAACAACTCGTTATGGTGCTTTACATAAATTCAGAACTGTTCATTCAGTCAGTTAGGAATGGGAACCAAGAGAAGTTTATCAAAAGTGGATGGATGATAATAAGGGTGAGTAATTGGTTATTGCAAGAATGAAATATTTTGGATGTGGACGTTCATTGAAAAAGAATATTGATAAATTTATAGAATATGTTGTTTGTTTCTTTGATGAGGTATTTTATCTGATAGAATAAATAGGCTCCAAGAAAAGGCGTTGTTCCTTATGTTTCTGCAACTTAAAAAACAATTGGGTCAGCATGTGATAAAGGAAGATCAAGCACTTATTCAGGATTATGCAAAACAACAATATATTAATAAAAAATATTTGATGGAATCAGGTTTAGTAAATATACTTTGGTTGAAAGTAAGTGATATATATTAAATAATATTAAATTAAAAATGAAAAAATGTAAACTCAAATGTTGTCTATTTTTAATATTGTGCAACTTGAAGAATAAGTTATTAGGATGGTTTGTATTTAAGCCAATTAATCTTACCTATCAATTTAAAGAATACGATCTAGAAAATTCAAATTTATAGGAATATTCAATTTAAAGTGAATAATTTTCAATCAATTTTGTTAAATCTCCTAGCATAAATTTAGAAGATAAATTATTAAGTAATAAGCAATCTCTAATATAAACTTAAAAAAATAAATTAACATTTTATTAGATCTAATTATTATAGGATTTAAATAAAGAATGGCCTAATGATTTGGAAATAGAGGGTTTATACTTGGATACAAAAAATGGAAAATTGGCCATAGCTTTAATATAACCATTAAATTATGAAATTAAAATGGTATTAATTCATTCGCATTCTAATCATCCAGATATTGGATGTTGTATGGATGAATATATTGATTTTTGTAATAAATTCAAAATAATGATTATTGGATATGATTATCCTGGATATGGGCTTAGTCATGGTGTATCTAGTTAAGACAGTATTTTCAATGCTATTGAATGTGTTTATCATTTTGCCTTATCTCTTGGATTTTAGAACTCTTAAATTTTATTATATGGACAATCATTAGGGACGAGTCCTTCTTTATATCTAGTATTTTGATTGATAATATAGGCAAGTTAAATTAAAATCGGTGGAATTATTATCAAGTCCAGTTTTAAATCTATTCTGAATATAATTTCAAATCATGAGTAACTTCACAATTCTGATATCTTCAGGAATTATGAAATTATTGAAAAAGTCACGTCTCCAATATTGATTATTCATGGGAAATTAGATAATTTAGTAGATATCCACTAAATTATGGAAATGAGTTACAAGGCTAAAAACTTAATAGAGGTCTTTATCATTAATGATGGAAATCATAATGATTTTGGATCTCAGTCAAAAGAGTTTTATGAGAAAATATAAAATTTTATTAATATATTACAAACACTTTGATTTAATTCATTTTTTAAGTTTCTCTTTTTTATTTTTGTTTGGATCAGGATTCATGTTTTACCATTTATAACCTTCAATAGCATTAATGAAATTAGAAAGCATTAGCTTAGGGATATTATCAGTGGTAGCCTATTGAAATTTAAATCTATTAACTTATTAAAAATAGAATTACTTTGTCGTGGCTTACTAATTGAGCTATTTAATTTTTAATTGTTATTCTGGCTCATCTGAAATTAGATTTACAGGTTCTAATAATTTTTCTATATATTGTATTTTATTATTTTTTTCTCTTTTTTTATTGGAATTGAAAAATTGATATGAAGGAGAAATTAATTAAGTTTAGATTGTTTATTGAATTTGGACAATTTATTATGATTATTCTCTTATAACTTCTGAATATGCTTATTCTTCATCATCTAATTATTTTAGATTTCTTTCTTCAAGGACATGTTTATTAGATGTGTCATTTTTTAATTCTTTTTCACATTTTTCTGCATATAGTCTTAAATCTTCAGTTACAGGTGCAATTAATTTGGTTGTATATTTATTTTCATCATAAGTTGGTTCAATTCCAAATTTTTTAATAGCTTCAAATTGATCAAAATTTTTCACTGCTTAATCTTCTAAGTTTGAAGCATCTACATTCTATTCCCATCTTACAAAAGTTTTTGTTTTTTTTTCTGATTTTGATTTTTCAATAATCTGAGATTGTGGCATTTGATTTTGTACTTTCAAATAGGTTAAATCTTTGAATTGCACTTGTTTATTATCATTAGATTCATTAGTTGCCAAATTACGAGTGTAATTGAATACTAATTTTTATTCATTTGGTTATATAAGTCTTATTTATCCTTCATATTGAGTACCATTGATATCTTAATATTGGACACATTCTTATGATTTAAGAACCAAAAAAAAATGAGCCAAATTGGCTTACATTTATTCAGAAATAATCATATAATTTATATATAATTATAAATCAATGTCTTAATTATGTTTCAGGTTATGCAATATCATTATATTTAACTTTACGCAAATTGGTATCAAGTGTTTTACTACCCATTTCTAAGTTTTACTCAGGTATCTCTTACAATTTAACCTATTCTTCTTCTAATTAAATTGTATTACATAATTAAATTTCAACTTTATCACTAATTTCTTCCTCATCTACCTCAAGGATTTAATTTATTTTATTAGGATTTTCAAGATGAAATAAAATGAATAATGATACAACCCAAACATTTATTAATGTTATTTGATAATGATCATAATATAAATAATTTGGATTGAATATAACTATGTTTTACCATAAAATTCTTGCAAAAAATGCACTTATAAAGATTAGACTAAATATTTAAAATATAAAAATTCCTTTAAAATATTTATGACACAATTTCATATTGATATCTGTTCTAGCATATTTATATTGAATAGCTTTATTTTATCTATTTTTAATAAATAAAACACCCTAAACCACAATAAAATAAGTGTACCAAAATACCATAAATAATCCAATAAAAGTAAAATTTGATTAATTAAGATAAACTGATGATTGGGGTATGTTTTTCATCATATCCAATCCTGTAACAATTGTAATAAATGATTTTAATGCAGAATAGGTAACACAAATTCCTGAATTGATTATTGCAATAAATTATTAATTTAATCCAAGTAATTTGAAAGTGATAGATATACAATAGAACATAAATCCAGCTTAACCAATTGATTGAAAAATTACATTAAACAATTTTAAGTATAAATTATCATAGAATAATTGAATCAAAAATAAAGGATGATTATTTAGAAAAAATATTAAAAATATTTGATTTCTTACAGATAAAGTAGGTATTAAAACTTTAGCTTGTTATTCTTCAAATTCATCTTCCAACATAAATAATATGCAACAAAAAACTAGTTCTATTCCAATCCAAGCAATCATCATAACTTCATTATATAGATAATAATCTTTGCTTTGTTTCATAATGGCAAAGTTCATATATTAATATTGAATTCCTTCTATCATTACAAATCCAAATAATCTAGAAAAGGATCTATTATCTTTATAGATATGTTCTTTAGTGTAACAAGTATATGATGTTATATTTTTGACACATTCCCAATTAAGAAGTATGGTTGACTATTAGACTTCAATTTATTTATCATAAATAGTAGACTTAATTTTAGGTAGATGATTAATATTTTCATTTTAAGATGCATCATACCAACAAGGTCTTTTTGTTATATCATCAAAATAACCAATAGAATAGGTCAACATAGTTTATGTGACTATGTTTTCTTGATTAAGTAAAATGCCTTTGATTCCAAATGGCTAATCTGGTATATTTTCATGACAAAAGAAACATAACAAATTGTTGTTCAATACTGATTTAAATTCTTCTTGAGTTCCCTAAATCTCTTTTATGATCCAAAGTAGTACATTAAATATTTAATTCATTTTAACATTTGGTATCGTCAACCACATCTGTAAATGTCAGTATTTAAGGAGAAACTTCTGCTATTCCTGTAAATACAGCAACAAGACTTGCACATATTACTAGTAAAAGTATTAAGATCCACTTGCTCATTAGACTGCTTTTGTATATATTAGTATCGAAATTCATTTTTCAAATTATATATATTAAAAGTATATTTATTTATTATGAATAAAATGGAGAACTTTAAAAACAGTTTGCAGTAGAAACTAGAAAATAGACTTTAGTTTATTATAGGTTTCACATAATTTTGTCTCATGAAAGAAAACAATTTCCTTTGGATATTAGCTATGGTAGTGAGTGTACTTTAAAAAGTTGCCATCATAAAATTAGCTACTTTACTAAATAATTTTAATGGATAATCTGGAACCTAAGATTTAGAGTTATTATTTAAAATATGTGTTCCAACTATGTATTTGCCTGAGAATTTAGGCCCAGATTATTTGATTGCATGTTAAAGTGTATTCATAGTATTCTTTTCTATTCCAGCTATCTTAGTTGGAATAAGTATGTCTGATGAGATAACATTTTTTAAATAAACTAAGTTTAAGAATAAAAGATAATTAAATATTAGTTAAAGTGACAATCTAAGTGATTGCATTCAGATTATGCATTAGATTTATAACTAAAATTCATATATAGAAGGATTTTAACATCGTTTGATGTCAGATCAATCAAATACATCCTTATAAATAATAAGATTGAGATAAATAGCAATATTTTTGAATTATTTTCCTCATGTTTTTTTAATTCCTATACTTTATTTCTTATTACAAATTAATTTAGCCTTAGATAAGGCTGATTAAACATAATAAGTTGTTGGATAAATATTGAATGTTATTTTGGCTATTGAAACTTTAGTTATGTCAGGTTTATCATTGGTATGGTGTTAAGTATCATTTACTTTACATGAATCAAATTTTCTGAGACTTAGATTTTCATACTTATAATGGTTACATATAGGATTCAGTATAATACCAATATTGATCAGCTACTCTTATGTTAGGGCAGGCAATCTTATATAAGAGGATGATTTTATTCACATAGTTAATTTGGTATTTATAATATTAGCTTTTATTCTTGATGTCTTAGATGCCTATATAACACTACCTTATGTACAGAAATTTAAGTATTCTACTAATTTGTTTATGAGATCAATTGTAATATGTTTAACTTTATTTTTCATTTGCAGATTAAGTGATTAATAGATAATATGCTTAACTTTTATTGTTTCACCTTGTCTTAGTAGGCTTTTTGTTGTACTTTAAGATAGTAGAATTGAAAATGTGCTCACTTCCACTTTAAAGAAGGAAAAATCTATTTAAGTTCCTATTAATTAATAATAATAACCTTAATAATAAACATTACATACACATGAATCTGAATAAGGATTACGTATAGAAAGTGAGAATATCAAATATAAGGATTTCTAATCAAATATTATTAAATAATATGATATGTCTTATTTCATTCATTTTATTAGAGCAGTTTAATTGATGAGATTGACAGAAATTGGAGTTTTAACAAGAAATTCTGGAGTTTAATTAAAGAATGAAAGATCTAAGATTCTCATGGTCTGTATTATATTGTTGAGAACTCACACTGAAAATTGTAATAATTAATATTGTTTTTGTCGTGGTTTAAAAGGTGAAAAGAGAAAGATAATAGAAAAATATGAAATAGTTAAAGAAATGAGAATGTATGATGATTTTAAAATACTTAATATTCAATTCTATGTTGAATTGATTATGAGATATTTAAGAGATTACTCTAAACTAGTCTTTTAAACTGAAATACGTAAGGCACATCCAAATATTATTTATTTGATATAGATTTTAGTGTTTTTATGCAATTCTGATGAATGTTATTAAGCTCAATTGTAAATTCTTGATTTGAAGCATTTATTAGAAAAAGGAAGTTCTTTGTAGCAAAGATTAGCTTTTGAATTACTAAAGAGTTATTCAAAATATCAAATTTTACATAGATTCAAAGAAGATATTACTAGACAATCTATTGAATTGACTTTGAAATATGAAGATTATAGATACACAGAATTAGAGAGAGATCGTTTATTAAAGCTAGTATTTACAAATTTGTAACATAAAAAACAGTTTTTAATAAAATTAAATGATGATACTCATAGTTATGAGTCACTTGAAGAATTATATTTGCAATTAAATACATAAAATTGTAAGATTTAAAAAGAATTAGAATATTTTAATTTATATTCACCAGGTAGAACTTCATTGTATTGTTATATGCTTTATTGTCTAGAAGTTACAAATAATTATGATCAATTTATTAAATTATGTAATTTAATCAATACAAGGGAAAGTAAATTTTTTGAATATCCATCATTTTATTATAAAACTGAAGAATAATCTTATAAAGTTGGTTATATGTTGCTTAATCTAACATAATCACATATGAAGAGAGGTGAAATCATTAGTTTCTCTAAGAATTTTCCTTCTTTTGTTGGTTATACCTAGGAGGAATTTAGATAATAAGTTAAATCATTAGATCAACTTTGTTATCCTAGTCTTATCAAAGCACATGATGAGATGGTGGAAATGTTTGTATTAACAAATAGACCTATGATTTTTAGATAACCATTACCATTATTAACATAGTAATCAACACCAGGTGTTTTAAGTTATTTGGAAATCTTTATAGATATTAGTTTTAATTTTTCATCAAATGTTCTTCCATCTTTCTGTTTCATGAAAGAAATTAAATAAGGAATTAGATAAGATGGATTAAGTGGATTTATTTTATTAGATTCAAAATAAAATATAGAGGGAATTACTAATAATGCTTTAGAATGTTTTGAAATGAGTAATCCTTCAAAATTATTAGGTAAATCTATTAATTAATTTATCCCCAATTTTAATTCTTTGGATGCTTAATTACAACATTATTTAGAAGAATATTAAAAGGAGAATGGTGTAAGTGGAACATTAACAACAGCAAATAAATTGGTTTAACATTTTACTGTATCTTAAGATTCTATTGAAATGATATTAGACAAAGAAACTAAATTCTAATTGGATTTAGAAGTTTAATTGTCTTATTCTCTTGTAAATAGGATGGTTTTTAAAGTATATGTTTTAAAAATCAGATCTCCTTATAAATTAGGAGCAGTTTGTTCTGATGAATCCCCATTATCCAAGTCTTTAGATGAATATAGTTCTGAATTTGAAGGTATAAAATTAAAGGATTACATTATGCCTGGTGCTGGAGATAACGAGATTCCTTAATTTACAACTTAGCCAGATCCAATAACTTTACGTAGTCAAATGGTTCCAGTTGAATAAGAAAATTAACCATTAAAACAATAAGAATTCTTATGTAGTGATCATCATGATATGATATCAAAATAAGATTCAAGTGAAAAAGATATAGAATCACCAGAATAACCTCATAAATAAATATATATTAATAGTATCAGTAGTAATTCATCTAAACAAAGTGAAATATAAAGAATTTTAGTTAAATCTCATTTTTATCGTAAATTTTCTGAAATGAATACTAAACCTAAATTGCTTTATGCATTACTTTTCATCAATATCTTTTCTTTAGCATCCATTTTAGGATTTACATCTGCAAGTACAATACTTTATGCCAATTGGTAAAGTAATATGAGAAGCAACATATACATTTTATAAGCTTTTACAATGACTGCTTATAGTAGAGCCACGATGTAAGGAACCATGACAATGATTTAATACATTCAATAAGGTTAAAATTTATCAGAATATGGTATGTATTATGATTATAATGCTACCCTACTAGGGTAATTGTAAACAGTATTGGATCGAAATATTGAAATATTTTCAATAAAGATGGATGAGTATTCAGAAAATTCAATTATTAGAGAAGTATTTTCAACAATTGAATTGGAATAATTGGATATATTTGAGAATGTAGACAAAACAGTCAAGGGTTGGACTGCTCTATTTTAGTTAATCTATATGATAAGATCATTACATATCTCTGATTTTACAGATAGTTTTTAATTTTTAAAGTCAATCTTATACTTATTGAGATCATATAGTAAATACAAGGATGCATATTCCCTTCTAAATAATAGATTCACAGATGAAATTAATTCAATTTTAGGGTCTCAGGATAATATTATTGATTATGTTACCTTTATTTTCATTGCTGTATATGTAGTCTATTTCTGTATAGCTTTCCTCTTTTAATTTTCATATATTTAATTATGTAAGAAATACATACGATGTTCAGAATAAATTTCACATTCTGCAATTGCAAGCGAATTAAATCATGTGAACTAATTACTATTAATAAATTAAGATGTATTTATTTATAATATATTTATTAGCATTTCGATCTTTATGAATATCATTTCTCATTAAGAGATAAATTCCATTCAGAGGAAGAAGAAAAATAAAACAATAACTTTTTAGGTGGAACGTCCAATACTAATAATAATAATAATAATAACAAGAAGTTTATCAAAGTTTAGGGATAATTGAATCTAAAAAGATAATTTACTTTTAGCATTCATTTAATTTCCTTTACCATTTCATTGATTACATTTTTACTCATTCGAATGAATGACAAATCTTAAATTAATGATTTAGAGTCTAAATTGGCAATCTATTAAAAGTGCATTACTTTTACAGAAAGCTTATCAGAAGCATGCTTAACTAATTTCATTTTACAAAGTAATAAATATTTGGTCGAGAATTAATTTATTGATCCTGAAGATCCAGCCTAATTTTTTATTTATACTAATGAAAGTTATACAATAGCAAATAGTATTTTAGGAGAGATCCTTTATTCAGAAGGAACAGTATCTGAAGAATTAAAGATTCTATTTTCAAGTAATGTGTGTTTAGTTGTCAATGAACCAGATATTTGTGTAACAGTTAATAATGGAGAATTACAATAAGGATTATTATTGCCATCATAAGATATATTTTAGATTTTGAGAGAAAATATTGATTTATATTAAATTTAAGGTTCGGCAACTTAAATGCTCCAACTCAGACATATGTTATCTGAAAGTTTTATGATAGATGCTGTTAACAATTTTGTAGATACAGTTCGATAAACTGTAGAATAGGGTATCTTGGATAGTAACAATGTGAAATTGACCATCTCTATACTCTTTTACCTTTTCATAATTTTAATAAATATGGCTTAAATTTGGTTTATTCATTAGTATATCACATAAAAATTATGGGGTATTAGACAATTTGTTTATTTGTTACCACCTAAAGCATTGTATAATGAGGATAGCTTTTATAAAACTCTAACATATCTACTGAAAATTGAAAATTAAATACTATATATGTGAAAATCTTATTTAGTAATTTATGTAATATCTAAATAATTGATAATTAACTTATTGAAATTCTAAAATTTCTTATTAACAATTATTTTTTTGAATAGAAATATATTATTTATCAGAATCAATCTATAAATTGAAATAAATAATGATTAATTCAAATAAATTTTTTATTTAATTCTCTTAAAATTCAAATCCCTTTGTTTTATAATAAAAAGGTTTAAAAGTATACAAATATAATATATATAAATATTAAATATAAATGGCATTAACTGATAAACTTTGCTTTGGATTCTCAATTACAGCATTAGCCATATATGTAATATTATTTGTAATAGCTAACATTATTGGTTATGGTCCTGTAAACTAACCAATGAGCAATGGAAGTATATATATAAGCAATAGTCATAGAGTAATGCAAATTAATATACTTTTCGGATCTGAAAGATATTTCAAAAACTCTTTGTTTAGATGAATGTCCAAAAACTGGAGATACAAAATTAAAATGTGATAATTGTTCAGGCAATATTATAAACACAGATGAATGTTATATTTTTTATCATTAAATTAGATAATAATGCTTGTTTACCTACTTTATATGCTTAATTAACATAAGTTATGCCTGCTTTGAAAACACCAAGACTTAGTAATTTTACTTAATCTTTAATATCAAATAGTGAATTTGTTTTAACTGGACTTTTATTATTGCTCTCCATACTTTACTTAAGTTAGAAAATGGTAAGATAATACTTTTCTCTTATGATTTCATTCTTAAATAACTTTTACCCTTATGGATTATTGTGGTTATCAATTATAATGGCATATCGTTTATCAACCTTTCATGATATGGATAAATTAGAGAGAGCAGGAGAATCTAGATAATTAAATTAATAATCTATTGGAATTTTGGTTGAAGCTTTCAATCTTAAGTCTACCTATACAATAATGTTATTGATATTAATCAAAGTATTTATAGGATCTCTTATATCTCAATTTTTTCATTAAAATGATAAGGAAGGATATAGATTGAAAAGTTATATTTCTTTGACAATAAGAAAGAAACTTGGACAATATACATTGAGATATAATTCTGTTATTCAAATACTTGTAATTATTAACTTTTTCATAATGTATTATTCCATTACGTAATAATTATTAAATAATTTTAGTGCAGCATTAAGTAATGGTTCAATAGATTCAACGTAACCTGCTTATAGTCAATATTAAACATCTATTTTAGGAATAATCATAGCTGTTCTTGTATTTTGTCTTTTTATTTATGCATCAAAATTATTAAGATTGTATACTGATTATTTCATATACATTTTTTCATTATAACAATTGTTATGGGAGAAAGAGCAAAATATATAATTTTTTAAGTAAATAATAATTTGATTATAATTAAGAAATTCATTTGAAGCTTTTGGAACAATTTCTTAATTAGCATTTAAGCAAATGATTAATTCACCAAAAAGCTTAGGGATTAAATTAATGTATTTAATTAAAAAGCCCTAAATCGCTCATAAATGGGAGAATGATTTATCCTTATTAACTTCCCTATCACTTGGACGTTAAGTGTTTTACTTGACTCAAAATTAAGTCAATAATTAACCTATAGCCTCATATCAATTATAAGAGAGCATTGACGCCTTAAATATTTAAGATCTAGATATTGTTTATCAATTATGTAGAAATTAATTAAAATTTTTTAATAGACTAATAAGCTGAAGATATTCTTAGGTATTCTGGATGGTCTATTGGATGTATAATTGGATTATTTAATTCACTCTTTGGTTGTGGTTTCTCAACAATTTTACTAATGGTTCCTTTATGTTGTGATTTAAACTATGTGATAAGTGCATAAATTATTAAAGGATTCTTAACATTTGGATTAATAGAAGGAAATTAAGATGATGACTAATTAATGAATTATTATAAGACAGTTATATTGATTGAGAAAGAAGAACTTATATAAAAATAAAGAAAATAATAATAAATTTGAGTATAAATAATAAAATATTTTGACAAATATCAAATTTTTTTATAGTATATATTTATTTATGAAAAATAAGTACAAAATTTCAAATACTTAATTTTCAAAAGAATTTTATTTATTATTATGGATATCATTTTTGAATTAAGAAATATCTTATATAAATTTATTTTCTATATTTTTGTAAAGATATTGTATTTTAATGTCATATTTTAATTTTTTTAATTCTTATTGGATTGTAATTCAATCTTCTCATTATATGGAAAATATAGCATACTTAGTTATTCTTATAAATATATAATTAGATTGATTTAATTCTAATCATTTATTATAAATAAATTTCTAATTAATCAAATGAAATTTATTGGAAGATGATCTAATATGTTTTTATTTGATTTCATTATATATTATTAATGGAAGAAAGTTTCAATAATATATATTTCAAAGGGGAAGTCTATTAAATAAACAGCTAAGTCTTAGATTAAGCAAATTAATCAACAATTTCAAATCATATGAACAAGTTTATGAATTTGTATTTACAAGTAATAATAATTAAATTTGATTAAGAAAGTTCATTTGTAAATGTAATTATATAAATGTGATACTGAAGAATAATGTCATTATTATGTTGAATAATTGAATAAATATTTACAATAATTTTGTGCAGCTGGAAATGAGTTTAATAATTATAAGAAATTCTCTTTAAACTTTAATTGGAGTGAATATCATAAATAGAACTTCATAACTAGAATACTTTATGATTCCAAAATTTATGATACTATAATGACAATCAAAGATAATTATTAAAGTGAGGGAATTGAGAAATTGGTTAATTTAATCAAATCAAAGTAAAATAACAACTCACAAAAATAGTAAAAACAACAAGATAGAATATTGTTGCGATCTTGTTTATTAAGAATAAACTATATAAATTAAAACTCATTCTGATTTAATGAGATATTGGATATAATATAGTTAATGTGAAGATTTAGGCCTAGATGAAATTATGGATTTCGAAAGAAGATTAGAAAAGGCTATCACTGGATTACCTGAAACAGAGAAATAGCTGCCAACTATTCCATTAAATTGGGAATAATAAATACTTTCAAAAAAGAAATGATTTTTTTTATTTTATAATAAATAATATAAAATGATCATATCCATTTCTTAGTTAAATGATGAATTTAGATATACCATATAATTCAAAAAAGATACTCTCAAATTACCAAAATTAAAATTGAAATAACTTGAAAGAAATCAATCTCAAAATTCCATTACTAACAGATCAAAAGAAACACCTTTAAGTTACAGAATAAGAGAATTTAAATTCAATAATCCCTAAGATTCCGATCCATTTATGCCCATACACAGGAAAAGAGCCAATTGTTCTGGTTATAAAAAGAATGAGATTTTGCACTTAATAAAATAATAGTAATTAAATAACAAATAATTATGAAAATTACTCTTCTCCAAAAAATCATCAAAAAACAATCAAATTCTATTATGATTACAATAATCCCTTCACAAAATAATTTAATTTCATATAATTAGACTGATTACCTAAAGAATTCTACATAAAAGAATTTTTGGTATAAAATAACTATGAAATTTCATATTGTGAATCAATCGATTAAAATATGTAATATAATAACCTTAATCATAATAAATTTTTATCCATATAATTAAACAGATATGTAATATCCTTAAAGTAATAATAAGAAATATAATTATAGATTTGCATCTTATATTAGCAGAAGCATTTTTGATTCAGCTAAACCTAAAACTGCTTTAATATTTTACTAAGCAGCCACTCGATTGGTTAGATATATCTAAGATTTAAATTAAGATCATCTAGCTTGACTAAACAAAAGAAATTCTTAGATTTTACAAATTACATTTTAAATCTGAATTGACTTTCATTGAATTAATAGTACCTTCTCTTATAGTATTACTGATGATGATTATAAATATATAAATATTTAATAATTCATTCTTAATAATAAATAAATTGGAAAATAAACTAAATAATAAATCAATTATTACCAAATGACAAATATTGCTATTCTGAAAATATCTTAGCCCTTTTTTACTAAAATTTAATAAGTTGTACAAGTTCTTGGAAAGCATATAGAACCCCTCTATATTTAAACTACAAAGTAGAAAATCTCAAACTATGTATGACAGTCAAAGATAGCAAAAAATAAATTTAATTAATTTAATGCTTATTATTTTACTTATAGTCAATTCCAAATGTGTTTGAATAAACTAATCCTTATTTTGGGCCAATTTTATATATATAATTTAGATTTAAATAAAGAGTTTAAAACGAGTGTTTATAAATAATACATTAATTGGAGATTCTTAAAAAATATCTTCATATAGATATTAAATACCCGCTGATTGTTATCCATTCTATATTAATATATATCAAAAATAAACCTTTTTTTCATTTACTAGATCTAAAGAAGTAATCAAGAATATTATGTTACCAAATTTCATTATAAATAATATGCTCTCTATCTATACTAATATTTTTTGAAAAATTAAAATGATTAAAGTATATTAATTTGTAATTTATTTATTTAATAATTTTGATTTGAAGCAGGTTTTATGATAATTCTAAAATATTTTAATTAGTTTGATATGAATTTCTTTAGATAATTAAATAATTATTATAGTTCGTTATTTAATTTTCATAATAATTGAAATTCAAATTAAATCCCAACTAAAATCAGTCATTCATGAATCTCTTATTATATTAGAGGATTGAAATAAATCAACAATCTTCCTCTTATATGGCATCTTTCCAAAAGCAACCTTTAACTATACAAAATCTTTATAATAAAGAATTCAATATGATGATGTAATAAGATCATAATTACTTCCAAATTAGTTAAAAGTGAAAAGATTAGATGATTATGGATGGGGAGATTGATAATTAGAATTTTTTATCATGATATAATAAACCAGTAATTTATGTTTAAAAAAACATATCTTTTAAAAAAAATAATTATTGTTTTAATTAAAGAATGTTCTATTTTGGTATGGATAATTAATTTTTTATTAAAATTAGGTACTTCTTATTTATGTTATATAAAAACAAGATAAATAGTGTAGAAAATGTTTTTAGAGATTATAATAATATATAGACAATAATTAATTATATAAAAATGAATATGAATGACGCAATAAATTAATTTAAATAATAAATTATAGAACATATCAATTTTAAAAATTAGATTTAAAAAACTACTAAAATATATATTAATCTAATATCTTCAAATTCACTTTTTATTTGTTGATTCTTCTTCACTTGATAAGACATTATTCTAATATGCTAAAATGATATTTTTAAATTCTTATTACTTTCGATCAAATATTATACTAGAAATCCATTCTCTTAAACAAAATTGATAGCTTTTTCATACGATTTACCTGTAAAATTAAGTATTCTTACTACGTCCTCATCATTTGCATTTGGAAAATTCTATAAGAGAATATTAAGTAATTTCTAAACTGTCTCAAATAAATTATATCAAGTACATTTCTCTTCATTTTTTGTGTAAACCCTGATTAAACGCGTTTTTACACTTGATTGAGGGAATTCAATTAGTTGGCGCTATCTTCCTATTTGAACTTGTTTTGCTAACTTTGGTTGAATGCGAGTAGGTTCCTTACGATTTTTTATTGTCTTCTTCTTTTGCTTAGGTGATTAGAATGATTCATAATGCATTTATCGCATTGTCTTCTAAAAATTTATACTTTTTGAGACTCTTTTTGGAAGTTGAGGGGAGTCAGAAGATTCATAATCATATACCCTTCCTTAACTTTCCAGCTAATCTAAATCCAATATCTTAGGCTGCTTTTTGGGTTGTGGAGGTGCTTCTACAACAGGTTTCGGAGCTTGTTCCTAAGGTTTTTTAGACACTTTCTCTTCATCACTCGAAATTGTTATAACCACTTTTTGCTATTACTGCTTTTGAATTTGCAACAGATCAGGGACAACCAAAGGGGTCATTTATCTAGGATAATACATTATTTGATGTGGATAGTATGGATAAGCATGATTATATTAACAAGGCCAAGGTAAGGGATTTATGTAAGGAGGGAAAAATTATACTTATCTCTAGTTTTGTGCATATTAATTTTAATGATCTTAAGGGTTCATTTTCTTTTTGTAATTTTAATATTATTTAATCGTAAAATAAATTCCAAGATTTATTCTGTAATGTTAGTATAAAAATTTAATTGTACATTAAAGACACATTAATAATCTAAAATAAGTCAAAGCATCAAAATGAATATCAAAATGTAATTTTTACATAGAAAATACAGTTTAATTTGAATATAATAAGTTAATGAACATTTATTTAATATATATTAATATTCATAATCATATTTTTCTATGTAATTTGATTAATGATTAAATATCTTCTAAAACTTTTAATTTTTATTAATTCTACAATTCTTCCTATTTTTGAGATTAAATTTAAATTTATTATGCTTAGCAATCATATTATTTAAACTTATCTTCCAACTAAATATATTAAATTTATTTACATTCTTAATTGTTTATCTTAGACTTTCTAATTATAATTTATATTTCTAACATTTTTGTTAATATTTATCAGTCTCTAATTCTTATAATTTAAATTTCTATTTAATATCATTCTCTCTTTATTTTGATTCTTTTAGTTCTTCTTTAGCATTTTGAGCTGATTCAACTAAATTATCAATTTTTTTCTCTATTTCATCCATTTATTTTTCATGTTATAATTTATGATCTAAATGTTCTTATTCAAGATTTCTATTGTAATTTTACACTTAAATAAGTGAATCAGATAAGTTTTGATTATTATCTTTAAGCTAATTATAATAAAAATATATTACCTATTCAATAATTATTTCATCTTAATTAGATTTTTATTCCATTTATTTAATTTGGCTTAATAAATTTGAACTGATTTGTTTTTATTCTGATAATTCTAAAAGTAATTTTTAAATTTTTTCTTCATTATTATATAATTTTTATGTTTGCTAATCATTTATCTGTTTTAGTTCATTATTAATTTATTACAATTTTTTAATATCATATTCTTAAATTTATCTATTTTTATCATCATTATCTATTTTCCTTTATAAATCAGATACTGTTTATTAGAGTTACTCAATCTTAAGTTTTTAAACATTAGCTTTTTTCTTTTTTTTAAATATTATATCTTAAAATTAGTCTTGTTATTTTTTTGATTCTTACTCATTATTTAAAAGTGTAGTTTGTGTATTTTCAGTTACTTTTTGTAATTTTGCTTAACATTCTTCAAATTTTATTATATATTACTATGTTTATGCTTTTTGATATTGTAACTCTTAATTTAAAAAGTCTATTTATTTTAAGTTATCCTCATCTCTAAATTAAAAATCCTATAATAATTAATCAAAATATCTAATTTAAGCTTCTTTTTATTATATTTCATCTAAATATTATACTTTTTCCTCTTCTAATTCCCTATTTTAAGCTTCTTAATTTTTACTAACGACTATTAAATTAATTAATACATTTCAGATGAAAAATCTTCACAAAGTTTTTAAACTCGTTCTAATTCTTTACCAAAATTTTATCCTTGCTCATCAAATTAGTTTTCTTATTATTTTAGCTATTCTTTAAGCAATTATATTTTATCTTTTTTCACTTTCAATTTTTGATGTGAGACATGACATTATTATTATAATTCCTCAATTAATTTTTCTTAACCTTCACACTTTTATCTATTCTCTCTAACATTATTTTCTACTTTAGCAAAAGAATCTTAAATAGATTTTAATTCAAATTCTAATTATTTTATATGCTTTTCTCTTTGACTCACTTTAACTTCTAAGTCTTTATTTGCTTACATATAATCTTTAAGAGTCATCTAAATTATATAAAAGATCATTACTTTTAATTCTTTATTCAAAATTCTTAATCTTTCTTATTTTTCTTTTTCTTGTAATTCTTTAGCATTTAAGGTTTCTCTTAATCTACTAATCTATTCAATGGAATGATTCTTTTTTTCCCTTGATGAACTGTCCCTATTATGTAAAGATTAGAATTTTACTCATCATTGAAATTAGTTCTGCTTTATCGAGATCTAGTTTGATACAGAGTAATTGGTTGAGATATGATTTACTCTGGTTGAATCATCTAGTCGATTTACTGACTGGTTTTTTTGTATCGTTCAATCAATTTGTTGACATTTTTTTCTAAACGATTTTCCATTATATATATATAAAGAATCAAAATTAAGGGAGTTCAGTATGACTCTTCTTTCTTAATTCCTATGAATTGCACATCTTTATGTCTAAAGCACTCAATTATTCTTCATCTTCTGATAATTACATAGGATTATGCAATTATGCAACAGGTTAATTAAAGGTCGATTCATCATCATCAGAAATTGGTTCATTACAAATGTAAAATGGAGCATAAATTTATTACAATAAAACTCTAGGTGATCTATTGTACTTAGTAATTAAAGCAATTAAATGATCAATTTCATTTTTGTTTAATTGAATGTCTAGATTCTATAATGTATCCAAATATTACTAAATAAATATATTTATAAATAATCTTACATCAATACTTATATATCCATTTGTAAATATTTGAGGATATTTCTTTGTTAAATATTCATTAATCTAAGTTCTTTTATTTGAAATACTTTGATTAATAGCTTATAATTCATTATTAGTCAAGATAGTATAATTTTCCATTAAATTCTTAAAAATACTTTTAACTCTTAAAGCTGTAGTTTCAATTTCATTGTTTTCAAGATCTGCTAAATAAGTAGCTAATTATGAAATTTCATCATCTTCAATTAAACCAAATATATGGCCACTCAAATTCTCTTCTAATTATAATAAAGTAAGAGTCTCATTTGTAAGAAGATATTATTCAACTTATTTTAATGATATTTATTAAGCTATTAAATTTAATTTAATTTTCTTAGCAATAGGTAAAATTTCACTTTTTTCAATTTAACCTATTTTTCTAATTTTGGTTTCTTATTCAATATATTTTTCTGGTTCTTCTGGTTAAATTGTTTTAAGTATTACAGTTCTTCTAATAAACTTTTATGATTATTATAATTGTTGATAATTAACTTTCTCTTATTCATATTTATTTTCAAGAAGTGAAACAGTTTTTTAAAGTTCTTTATTTCTTTTTTCTAATTTTTCTATCTTATCTTATTCTAATTATAATTAATTAGTAAAAGATTGTTCTTATTGTTTTAATTATTGTTAGAACTTTCTAATTTCTAATTTCGTTTGCTCTAATTCAATTTATAATTTCTCATCTACTCTTGGAATATCTTTTTAAGAAATTCTACTTTCATAAAGATGCTACTTTTTCTTCAATTCACTAATCTCTAATAATAATTAATTATTAAGTGCTTTTAGTTTATTTTGTTGAATTTGTAAAGCATTACATTTAATTGTTAATTTGTTGTTTGTTTTCTAAATATAATTATTACTAATACTTTAAGTTCTTAATTTTCATATTCTTTGTCCTCTAATAATTAAGTCAGTTATTGGTTATCGTTTTATAATTGTAAACTTAAGAGTTCTAAATTAGTTTAACTTAATGGATTTTTGAGTGAGTTCACAAACGCTTATATTTCTTCTAATTGTTGATGCAATTTACAATTTTCTTCCTTAGAATTTTATTTATAAAAACCTCTAGAATAGCGATTCTTTCTTAGTATAATTATTTGAATCTGGATGAACTTTTAAGGGGACTGCTCTCTTCTTTGTACACAGCCTCTTTCTTGTAATATTGCACTTAAGCTTAAAGCTTTTTAATGTTGATGAACAATTAATTTTTGCTTTATTTAAGAGATTGAATTTCTTCAAACATGGCTTCCTTATCCTTTATAAAGTATTATTTTTGTTTTCCTGTGTCATCTGGAGTTTGATTGAATTTCATAGAATTTTAATACTTAGTAGGACTAGTCAATAAGAGATTTCTTTAGGATGTTGATTGCATTATGATATTTATTTAATTTTTGACCCTTAATGGTATAATAAAATATATAATTTTATCAAGATGCAGTTCCTCTTTCTAAATTAGCTTTAATATCTGCAGCATAATCTCCAAAAAATCTCTCTAATTTTTTATTGAAGATCCTATTTCTTTCATTAATATAAGTCACAGGTTAATCTTCATTGAATCTTCTTCTTCTTGAAAACTCTTTTCTTCTCTCTTATTATTTAGTAATATCAGAACTCAGTCTCTCTAATGCTTCATTTGTAGGCACAAACTCTTAATTTGACTCTAAAAATTAATCTATATATAAAATACCCATTTATTATTTATATTTTCCTTCATCTTTTGCTAAAGTAGTACATCTTTTCTTATAAGCATTATAAACAGCATCTTCATTAAATACATCCCATCCAAAATATTCTTTTTTTCTTTCTTATTCTTCATCATGTTTAATTGTTAATCTATTTAAATAATCTTTATCTTCATCTATTTATTTGAATTCTAATTCTTTTTTTTCTGCCTCCTTTTTCAAAAGATATCTTCTTTTCCTTACATATTTATCATATTAAGCATCAGTATTTTATCTTTCTTCATTTAAAACTGCTTTATCATTTAATACTTTAGATTATTAGATTTTCTTTTTTAATCCCAAATATCTTTCTTTATGTTTTTATGTCATAAAGTTTTTGCCTTCAAATTATTCTAAACCTTCTTATGAATCATCTTCTTACTCTTATTCTTCTGTAGATTTCTTTAACAATCCTTCAACTAATAATTATCCTTTCTTATCTTCTTAATTTTCTTAACTTTATTACTTAAATTTTTCAGGATTCAATGCCTAGAGTTTTTATTCCTCTTCTTTATC